GCAACAACCAAAAAAAGCTGAGAAATACAAACATCAATTTTGATATTATCATTGCGTATACGTACATCACCACCTAAAAGCTGGGTTGGGTCCAAAACAACACACACCCTACAGAGGCCTGGGACTTTACCGCTCTGCACTGTCTATTCTTGTACAAGTATGCTTTGCCTACAAATGAGTGATTTTCTCAATTAACGGAATTTTCATTAGTTCCAATTTAGGTTAAGGTTTTTGAATGGCTACAACATCTGTTGTTTTTTTCCTATTCTTTTCTAACAAGATGACCAGGCGAAGGAGACAACCCGAGAGAGAATTAACGAGGCGGAGCCTGGTAAACGCCAAGGTGAGAAATCGGGACTCAGTTAGGAATCAGTGCAGAGCCACAGACCAGGGCTCAATGCAGTTACTGTGTAGATAACTTTGCTAAGCTACACTGTTAAAAATGTCCGTAAATTTACCGACTCCGTAAAGTGAAATATTCCGTATTTTTGTCGTAATTTTACGGACTTTCCGTAAATGCAAATATTAATTATGCTAATTAGCGTGATTACAATCAACCACATTTGCCCAAACACCTACACATAATAAAGTACATCTAAGTACATATTGTTATTTCACCCACAACCGTGTACACATGTCCAAACTCATGTTAAGGGTCCGTTTATTTTACGGAATGAAAAAAACTTTTCCGGAAATTTTGCTGCAGGAATACGGAACGCAATTTTTTTGTTTGCAAAAACTGCTACAATTTAATAAACTACAACATCAAAACCACATCGGAACATGACTTTTATACACAGTGTCAGACTTGATTACCAGTGGTTACCAAGATATTTGTTTGTTTGTTTGTTTGTTTGTCTGACAGATTTGAAGGAATTCTTGACTCCAGCCGAGGCCAACTCCTTCCTTTCTCCTCGACTTTATTATTGACGACCAATACCCAGATAATTAATGTTTTGAATAAATAAGAAGGTTGTTTTTGTGTGGAGATTACGGAGTCCCGCTAAGATGCGATTATACACTTGCTAAGCCTCATAGTAATCCCTCTAAATCCGATTATCAGTCAAGGTTTATTTTTAGATTGCTTAATTACCTTCTCTCCTTCCAATTAATCTTCGGTTTATTTTTGATTTAGTTTTATTGCAAAGTCTGACGGCAGTACATGTACATGTACACTGAAAATGGGTGCATATTGAGTATAAACATGCACCTTTTGCATCCACTTTTTTCACGTTTGGTCTAAAAGACATGTCTAAACAGTCGTTTAAAATTCAAAGTTTATTTCTTTCTGAATTTGTTTTCAAAAACAAACTGTGATAAAAGTATTAATTTAGCTTGTCAATAGACTTGAACCCGATGTCATTTTTATTTTCGCAATTTGACTTTTTTGATGCATAAATGGTACAAATAAAATACTTTCTTCGCACATCTATACATGTCACAGACATCCATAAAACTGACCATGTCAACTCAAACATGTAAAGAAAGGTGGTGGGGCCTATACACTTTTGTCTTTTTTCAAGACCCTTTAAGATGGCAGATAAGGACCGTAATAATACAAAATTGTTTCCATGTTTTGAAGTTGAAAGAATGTAGCATCTAGAATTGTGTTTTACTTATTCTCTCAGCCATATTCAAGGGGAAATGACTGGGGGAGAAAAGAGACAAACAATCAGGATGAGGATTCCGGCGCCTCTTTTAAAAACTTGAGTACTTATTGAGCATTGGTTGATATCAATAACGATCCGGGAAGCCAAGAATAGTCTTGCATCAGTCAGAAACAAATGAAAGGACAATATTTCTTGTTTTTGGATCTTCCTCAGCATTATATTGCACTTGGTGTTCTGAACATAATTTTAACATCTGTACTGCACAAAATAACATAGCTGTATCGCCTACTGCATAAAGGTATCAATAAATATTTGACGGTGACCTTACAATGAATTAATGCCGTTTCCATTGAATTGTGGGGGTCCATCATCAGGGCTACATCACCAACAGACAGGTTGTCGGTCTCACTAGTACTACGCCCCTCCTGGCGCGCTTGTGTGCCTGACATGGTTGGACTGGTCAGACTGCAATGAAATGCTTCTGCAGCTCGCTCAGATGATTAAAGGGCTTGATGCAACCATCGACCACTGCTTCGTAGCAGCGAAACTCTGATGCGTCGCCTCTCCGACGTTGGGGACCTCCATATTTATCCCTTCTGCAGACGCAGCCAACATCGGGCTCAGCATCATTTGGTTCGTGGTCGCTAGAGATACAATGGGTTGACCTGAAGGGTCTCCCAATGCTGCAGGTTTGCACGGCGAAGGATAGGTCGGAGGCATCCGTGAAATGGACCCGTTTTAATACCCGACAGACTGAAAGGTGAAGGTTTTGAGAAATGTGAGGCAGAAACCCGAGTAGGAGTGAGTTTTTGCCTGGAAGTAATGGGGGGAAGCATTATGGCATTGCTTTGGAGTGCCATCTTGAAAAAGAGCCAGACTTGGCTGGGAGGCACTAAGGCTGAACGTGCTCAAGGGCCAAGCTGTTTTGCATGATTTAGTTTTGAGCAGAAGGCACGGCTTGGAAGTTGCGTCAACCCAAGCTTGCGGCGGGTTGCGCGAAGCTAGCGTCTGGTTCCTGGCGTTGGATTGCGAGAGGCTCGCTGCGGGTTGCGCGAGTATCACGGCGGGTTGCGTGAGACTAGTGTCTGATTGCGCGTTGTTCTTCGCGTGGGGTTACGTAGTTTGGTTTGTCTGTACTTGGCTCGCAGTTGATGGCCGGCAACGCTGGGTTTCTAGCTGCCGGCATATAGCTCGGAACGCTGGCGGGCCGGGGGGGGGGACATGTACAGAGTGGGTTGCAACACTGTTAAGATCTGGTACAACATTTAAATACAAAGGTGTCTCTCACTAGTACTAGTCTGAATGAGTTCAGAATAAATTCTGGCCTGTCTGAAATTAAGTTCAGCATTCTGTAACTGTCTTTCAAGTTCAATATGCCTGGGAATGTTGTTCCCTTTGCTTTGGGATTCGTCGCTCCTCATCATGCTCAGCAGGCAGACGTGCTCTGGCCGGTTCCATTTCTTCTTCCTCCTGCTCTTAAATTAAGAGTGGCTACTGCGATGACTTCGCTGTGAGCCGAGTGAGCTGGAGTGCTCAGAGGGGGGGGGGGGGCTTTCGGGTTCAGCATCCGGTAGTTTCACCGTCAATTGTTCCTCCATCTCATGGGCGGTTTGGGGGCAGTTCCTCGCGGTCTTAGGACTCGCTTCTCCATGTTGTCTTGCATACTGCAACATAGTTCATGCCCTCCTTCTTTCTCCATCATGATGCAACATTCAATCAGTCTCCTTATTAGGTTATATGACGTCGACTCTACCTCTACGAATGAATAATTCACAAGCAACATCGACATCCTGTCAAATGCAAGCAAACTGCACAAAATGACACAAAGCATTGCATTTTCAACTTTTTATACGAGCCCTAATCAATCTGTGAGTATAAAAGAAAATATACACACCAAAAAACAAAAAGAAAAGCTGTGTGGTTCTTTAACCCTGGCAAATGGCGCACCGATATCTATAAAAACTGCATTTGTCCCTGCAGTAGGCCTACACAGATAGACACACCTGGGTTTTCCCAGTGTTCTGAAGTCCACACGTGTTTTGGTCTGCCGTGCTGCAGAGATCTACAAAGTTGACAAGTCAGTGGGTGACTTTCCTGATCCAAGACGCAATTTCAAGTGTTTACAAGTGTTACTCTTCGCTCTACATCTTTTCAATGCTAGTCTCTAGTCAACACGGTACTATATGCCTACACAACTTGGTATAACATGCAATACGGAAAGGTGGAATTACCGATGTCTATCCAGTGATGTTTTAATACTGGCGTTATTAAAAAAAAACATTGAATGTAATTTAAAACAAACTGCTGTACACATAACTTGTACGGCCTAAATCCTGGACCAATATTCTCATCCAACTATTCACTTAGTACGGGAACCATTGTGAGAGTATTAGAGTCCGATCAAATTGTTACAGATGTTGTAAAAGAATACTATTTACGTATTAAGTTTCCTCTTTCAACTGTTACTTCCTGCACAAAACCCTGACGCTTTCACCAAGAAATCAAGCCACAAATTAAAGGGGCATTATACGGCCTGAAACGGGCAAAGATTTTATGTTTGGGATTGTTTACTGATCCTATTTCAAAGGTCTGGTTGAAAATTAACTAATCTAATCATAGTCTTGCCGTTTATAGGAAAAGGCAGTTTGTGGCATCTGTATACGTATTTTCAGCGGAAAAAAATATGTCAGGGAATTATGGGCTCTCTCTCGGCACGGTGTTATCATCAGAGTGGGTGCCGCAAACAGCTGCGCCGCTGCGGTAATTTGATTAATCTAAAATAGTAGCGGTGGTTTTATTGACCCAAATGTTTTCAACGGAACCGTGACCGCGACTGGAATCACGACTAGCCCCAAACGGCTCTATTTTTTTCGGGGTCAACATTTTGACCCCCGAAATTTGTTCTCGCGCGTCATCGCAACAATAACACGAAAACACCCAGTTTATAAGGGACAGTTATTTGGACGTTAATACACTACTTTTAATGTTCTTGCCAATAAACATCATTTCGTTTAAAACGCATTTTTTAGCCCAATTGGGCCGATTTGGGCGCATTCCAGGATGAAATGTCCCTTTAAAGATGAACAACAGTTTTCAAACTCACATCCTAATTCCTCAATAGACGAACAGCAGGAGTTCGCGAGTTCGCCGAGTCCCACTAAAACAAGTTTGCAAAAGATTTCATGAGAATCTCATGTCACTGGGGCACGTTCATAGTCTTCTCCCCCAGGGCATTAATAACACAACCCAATCCCCATACAAGGGGGATCATTTTCCAGGTGCGTGTAGAGCCAGCTGCACATCAGTGCCCCACCCCCACACAGCGAGGAAAACATCACATATGAAACTACTTGTCAAATTTACACAAATTAAAGACACCAAAAGAAAATAAAAGAATTGCAAAACATTCACTCAATTTATAAGTATTAATTTTGAAGCATGATGAACAGAAACATAAAAAAAATTAATTTCTTAAAGACATTTTTACATTTTAAAGATGATCCATTAAAGACCGTTTACGGAAATCACCAATCCACAAAGAAGTACATTGAGACTAAGTACTACCGACTCCTTTTGTTAAATTTCTCTTAAATTGCCTGTCATTTTTTGGGGGGACACATAACCCGTTGTAGCAGTGCCACGTTCAACTGTCCACCCAACCATTCTCGCCTGTTTCACTACATGTTTATATATATTTTTTCGTTCAAACTCTGGTCATGCACAAAACTTTGATTCAGTAGCTGAATATGATTCTCGACCCTGCCCATGAACCCCCCCCCCCCCGAAGATGAAGTGCCATTCACTGCTCCGCCCCTATTTTGTCTCCACCCCACCCATTTCATAACAGTTACCCTTGCCCCGCCCCTTACGCCTGCTTCTCATAAAACACTGGCTTGACATGGGGAAGGGCGGGGCAAAGAGTGTTAGCTTGGAGAAGGTACGAAAGGTACTGGGTGGCATGGGAGGCTTGTGCGTAAAGCGCTCGCCTCTCACCAAGGTGACCACAGTTCGAATCCTGGCCGCGGATCACAGTAAAATTGTGCGTTGGTTCTCTCCTGTGCCACGAGGGTTTTTCTCCGGGCCCTCTGGCTTTCCTCCCTCCGGAAAAATCAAACACTTTCGATCTCAGGCCGTGCTTTATGGTCATATAAGGGTCGATGTGGCCGGCAGCCATAGGCGCCTTTACGTGCCAGCGGCCCGACCACGTTGTACCGCAATTCAGCATACCAGCTGTGAGTAAGGATGATTAGCCTCCCAAATTATCATTATTATTATTATTAATCTAGGTTTACAGTGGATTTATAAATTTTACCGAACTACAGGGCAGGTTTGCCAAGCATCCTTCTCTTCTTGAAGATTCCAAAGTACCACATGAGGCCAGTCAGAAAGGACAGACTGTACCTGCAAGATGCATGACAACTCCGGATCAGATAATATCACATCTAACCTTCCAAATCCTTTTACAACCCATTAATAAATACCTGGGAGAGTTGATGGTTTCTGATTGGTCTAGACTCGATCACATGGTTGGGCATTAACAGTGATAATGGACCGGCTTCAAAGATCAAGCGAATAAATGGCCCCTGAACCAGCATTGATCAAGCCCCGTTCAGCCCCATGCAAGCCAATGATTGGTCAAAATATAGTAACAGTCCTGCGGTAGCTTGTAACAATAGAGCACTGCACATGCGCTCAACCCCCATTGCGTGAGACTGACGCGCGCGTACGCAACACTAGGGATGCGTGCATGCGCGCGCGTAAGGAAGTTTTGAAACGACATCGTACAGCAGTGCAGTATATACTGAGGATGTTTACGACGAAAGCGTAGATCTACGATTTATTTTCTTTGAACACTTCACCCACCGACATATTTACCTTTCCTAAACCAAGCATCTGTGTAATTACGGACACAAGGAATGTGTAAACAAGATTTCAGCTTCCTCCATCAGGTAATGATATGAAAACATTGTCGTATTTTGTTTCGCTACGGCAGCAGTTTCTGTTGAGTTTACGTCGTTATAGCTGTTAAGCTAAAATATGGCCCATGAACATGAACACAAAAAAGTCTGGAAATATCGCCGACAGAAAGTCACAAAATTGGAGCATTTTGACTGTTTATTTCGTTATAAAGGTATTTATTAAAGGGAATAACAGTGTGAGGATCCGGTCTTCACTGCGTGATAATGACCGGGTGTGGGGGTGACTGCTGTTAATGGACCTCGACTTCGTCTCGGTCCATTAACAGCGGTCACCCCCACACCCAGTCATTATCACGCAGTGAAGACCGGCTCCTCACACTGTTATTCCCTTATTAAGGCACTTTGGTCTCTCATAACCGTGTTGAAATCACCAAGGTCCAACGTAAGAGGAACCGGGTAAATCTAACACTGGTAGGCAAGGTGTACCGTTCACACCTAAACAGGTGTGTACATGGGTTGGCTGTAGATTTGGGACTTTCTACCCAGGTAGAGCCTCTCCACCCTAGTCCTGACCAGGGTTGGATTTTACCCTGGGTAGAGCTCTGTACCTATGTACTTATTGCAGCTGGGTCAATTAACCACTGGTAGGCACAGTGTACCGTTCACACTTAGATTTAGGATTTTCTACCCGGGTAGAGCATCTCCCCCCTGGTCCTGACCAGGGTTGTATTTTCCCTGGGTAAAGCGCCGGACCCATCTTTCTTCTGTATACAGGAATTTCAAATTAGCACGTGGTCCTCAGTATTTTGTTGAAAGGATTAACCAGTTTGCGCCGGGTTTATTTTGACTGGGACCAGACCCTGGCGTGGCATTAGACGGGTTCAGGCCAAAATCTGCAGGCAGCACACCCTGATATTTTCGGCCTCGCTTGCTGTGAGTGGGTTTCAAACAGATATTTCCAGTCATCAGGTCATCGATTCCGAATACCAAAACATTTGCATGTTGCTATACATGTCATCCAATGTGAACTGATCAAAAAAGAAAGGTCCTCAATTCATACAATGGCTTAGCACTACGAGCCTGGGTTTCAGTGCTAATTTAGTGTATTGAAACTCACCATGTAATGATGTATTGCAAGTGTTCATTTCGTAGGGTGACCTTTGTTTGACCTCCAATAGGACCTCCGGGTATGTCACATGCTGGGATGATACAAACAACAAATCCACAGGAAAATTACGTCGGGTCAGTGCAACAAGGTCGTAACTTCATGAACTTGATTCTGCAACAAAGTCGTATCTCGGGCGAATACGCTCTGTGCAACAACGTTGTATCTCAATGTCCAGTGACTTTGCGAGTACATCCGGGTTATTCTAAGTGAGATACAACCTTTTGACATTCTGAAACTCGCGTTTTGCATTTATACCATTTTAGGAGATAGGACCTTGTTGCACTGACGCGACGATTAATTAAAAAATTAGCAGAAGATATAGTCCGAGTATCACTCGTTGTCCAACGGGGCCCTCTCCGTAACCAACGTCCGCAATTAAGCGATGCAAATTTTTATTCGACCCGACATGCCAGCCAATTGGAGTCGACTTAAGAAATTGTGACGTCATTTCGATCAGAAAATGTGGACCAGGCTGTTGATTGGTTACTTTGGCTGCCATGTTCTTGTAATACAATAACAGGTTACCAAAGACGCGATAGAGTGTCGCTCAATGTTAGTCATTGAACAACCTATCAAACAACGACCACAATGCTAGGCCTTCGTATCATTTTCCTTTTCCTCCATGTTAAAAAAGAGTTTTAGACCACAAATTTTCACAAAATTTCAAGTTTTTAAAATTCAATTATTGTAAATACAGTTCATGTAAATATTAAATCTAAATGACAGATCCAAAACCACTTTAAATTCACAGTCATCGTTTGATTTCTTACAAATCAATTGATAGGAAAACAAACCAAAATATGTACACCATTTTACAAATTTTCCAAATACTTCAAAAATTCATGGATAATACAACTGTTCAATATAAATGTAAAGATTTGAGTAACTTACAACTATCAGCATCAATCATAACAGGTTCGGCTCCTGTGACCTTTGACATTTCTTCAAGGTCAAGGTAATACCAGCGCCCTCTATCTATGTCATTCTTGGGGACAAAAGCTGCTCGCTGTAAAAAAAAAGGAACGTTCTATTTTTACAACTTCAGCATCAAAATTATAGTATTCCAGCTTAAATTTTCAATTCGTGTTTCACTTACTTGGGAAAAGACTAATCAGCATTTAAATTTTTTACCTTTTCAGTTTTTCGCACAAGTCCTACCAGCTGAATTTCCCCAGAAACCTGTCAAAAGAAACGCAAAATAGGGTAGCAAACAAATGTCATTTCTGCACACAGAAGCTTAATTTTTCCTACATAAAAAAAACAGAGTGTTGCATTTTGTATGTTTTTCTCTATGTGGACTTAATTTTCAACCTCTGCTTGGACATGAATTGCATTAATGATGCATCATAATCAAGAGAAAACATTTTTCCAGCATCTTACCTGGCCCTGTTGCCTCCTAGCTGGGTTGGAATAACGCTTGGGTACAAACCCTCTGTTCACAAGGATACTCACGCTGAATAAAAACAAAACAAATACACATGTATACATGTACAAAATATTCCAATAAATTTAAAGGTCAAATCAAAACCTTCAATTTCAGATATGACCACAAAGAAAACTTTGGTACATTTTTCTGTAAGGCCATGTAAACAAATATATAAACCAGTTTCTCATCCCAGCCCGCTTCCTATTTTGTCCATATCGTTGTGTCAGTGCAACGAGGTCGAAACTGGATTCTGCAACAAAGTTGTATCAACTTTGTATCACGCGCAAATACGCGCCGTACAACAAGGTCATATCTCGTGTATCGCGATGTCCATTGACTTTGTGTGTTCATCCGGGTTATTATAAGCAAGATCCGACTTTTTGACATTGAAATCTTGAGTTTCACGTACATGACGTCACACACCATTTTAAAAGATACGACCTTGTTGCACAGACACGTCGATATATTGTCAATATATTGTCTGTTTATTTGTTTCCAACAAATTGTAGCTGTGTAGAAAGGGTTACGGCTTCTTTGGAGACAATTTTGTCCCAAGCAAATTGTCGAGAAAAAATTGAAGAATACATCTAGCATCTTGGGAAATCTGCCATCTTGGGAAAAGAAAAGAAAAATTTAAGAAAGCGCCCACCTCCTAAGTCCTCCTTCATTTTTGTTCAAATAGGCTGGTAGACAAAATATGTAATTTTTGTGCTAGGCCTGAACGAAAAAGTACAGAGTTGATTCATAAAGTTTTACAGAATATATTAACCCTTACCCAACTGGACCCTCCAACGCATGCCATTATGTGCCTTAAGAAAATGGCATATGTTTTTTGCACGGCCCTCCAATATCTGCCATGTCATTTCAAGGGTAACTGGACAGGCACTCCAATACATGCCACAGAGAACAATGAGAGTCCTCTGATAACAAAGTGAGTGCCCCCAGCTGGTCAGTATCAGGCACCCTCCAGGGCCTCCAACTCCTGCCAATTGGAGCCTTCACTGTTAAGACAAACTATCTGCCAATAAACTGCAGCTGGAGGGCATTGGCATAACCAACTGACATGCAGTAAACTACCCTCAGAGAGTAAGGGTTAATATTTTGATTGGGCTACTACTTCTAATCACAACAATGCTTAAGAAGTGATGAATAAAATGATGTGAATAACTGATGACACTCACCCTAAATCTGGGCAATAGAATGGAGTTACCACGTGCGCACCTGATTCCCCTCTGGATATCAAACTCCCAGCATCCCCTGCCTGAGGTTTGTTCAGGGTACGGGGTAAGATGAGAACCTCTTTGGAGTGATCGAACTCTCCACGGATTGTCACACGTCGGTACTCCAGAGCCTCCAGATCAGATTTCCTGGAATTTGAGGAGTATCAAAACTTTGAAAGACTTCATAACTACAGTTTTACAAAAAGTATGAATTTACAGCTAGAGGCAAAACTAAAACACACTCATGCTAATCAGGCTGATGTTTGCCCTAGGATCGGGTACCAGTCTACTAAACAACTTTATCCTTCTAAATTACTGTTCAATTTGAGATGTGTAGTCATGTGTTTGACTGAAATTGTGCAGAAGTGACACCCAAGTCGACATAAAAATAAGCCAGACACAAACCAATCACATGTTCAAGTGCACAGGACACCACATTATTTTGTGCAATTATTTTGAACTACATTTATTAAGCTACCAATGCCACGATTTCGAGTCAACTCGGTCCCAAACCAACTCGGGTCGAGTCAACTCGGTCCCAGGTCAGTGGCGAAAAATCCAGTTGCGTCATGAAAGGGGTCACGCCACATTAAGGGAGACAATACAAGAGACCTTACATTTATCTGACCTAAGACTGGGATGGCCTGGGACTGGGTTGACCTGGGACTGGGTTGACCTGGGACTGCCACTGGGCTGACCTGGGACTGGGATGACCTGAGACTGGGATGACCTGAGACTGGGTTGACCTGGGACTAGGATGACCTGGGACTGGCATGACCTGGGACTGGGATGACCTGGAACTGGGTTGACCTGGGACTGGGATGACCTGAGACTGGGATGACCTGGGAATGGGTTGACCTGTGACTGGCATGACCTGGGACTGGGATGACCTAGGACTGGGTTGACCAGGGACTGGCATGACCTGGGACTGAGATAACCTGGAACTGGGTTGACCTGGGACTGGAATGACCTGGGACTGGGATAACCTGGAACTGGGTTGACCTGGGACTGGGATAACCTGGGACTAGGTTGACCTGGGACTGGCATGACCTGGGACTGGCATGACCTGGGACTGGCATGACCTGGGAATGGGTTGACCTGTGACTGGCATGACCTGGGATTCGGATGACCTAGGACTGGGTTGACCAGGGACTGGCATGACCTGGGACTGGGATGACCTAGGACTAGGATGACCTGGGACTGGGTTGACCTGGGACTGGGATGACCTGGGACTGGGATGACCTAGGACTAGGCTGACCTGGGACTGGGCTGACCTGGGACTGGAATGACCTGGAACTGGGATAACCTGGAACTGGGTTGACCTGGGACTGGGATAACCTGGGACTGGGTTGACCTGAGACTGGGATTACCTGGGACTCGGATGACCGGAGACTGGGTTGACCTGGGACTAGGATGACCTGGGACTGGCATATGACCTGGGACTGGTTTGACTTGGGCCAAAAATGACTGGGACTGATTTGGTCTGGGACCAAGTTGACCTACACCCAGTGCCACAATCCATGGTCCAAAATGCGTCTCATGACTTTGCAGGGTAAAACTACTTTTTCGTCTCATATACATGTAGGACTCACTCCAGAGAATTGAGTGGTACCGGCGCAGCCGTGGTGCGTGCCTCCAAGTCTCGTATTAACCCCAGCTTCCACTTCCGTCGTTTGACCTGCCACGTTCCCAAAAAGAACGCTGCAGCGGGAATAATCAAGAGGAGGTGACCGACGGCTGAGGGCGGTGCGTTGTCGGAGGATGCAGCACCCTCATGTGTTCCCTTGGAGCTAGCCTGAGATTGGTTCAGCCTGGTTGACGAGAGGTGTCGAACTGTGTGGCGTCTTCTGCTGAGGCTAAGAAGCCTTGACAAGTTTTCCTGAAATAAATGTTTTGTTAGCGTAAGGGATAAAGCTGTTCATTCACACTTTACATTATGACTACATTTGGGTATATCATTTGTTTTCGTAGTTGATTAATGTTAAAACTTAACGCATGTAGGTCTCTTTCCCATAGTAATAGTAGAGTCCTGAGGAGTACACCAATTCCAAAAGGGGGGGGGGCACCGGTGGCAAATGAAAATTTTTTGGAAAGATTTCCATATACGAAGTTCACTCAACACCCTGTGTACAAACCCTATGAGATTGAACTGATAAATTCTAAGTGTTTTCTAAGAAAATGCTTGTATTTTCTCGCTGCTCAAATTGACTTTGATGACATGAAATTGCTATCTGAGGGCTTGTTAGTCAATACAGAGGAAAATTAGTGAACTTCGCATATGGTAATCTTGCCAATTTGGAAGTTTACTTCAAGATTTGAAACAGCTAACAAACAGGAGGCTTGTCTCCTCCTCCCCCCCCCCCCCCAACTTACACAAACTTTAAAACCATAGAACAAAATTTCTGGAACTTGGATAGTGTAATTTGGGAAGTTTTTGGAGTAATTACAACTTACTAGGTTTGCTTTTACAGTTTTGATTCCACAACGTTAACAATTGAAAAATAGGCTGGGTCTAAAAACATTGGTCCCATGTAGGCCTGGTGGCTATTTTTACTGCACCAATAACGCAATTTTCAACTGCTATTGTCACAGCAATTTTTAACTGTCCTGCTCGTCCAACTACAGTAGCTCAATTAGTTAAACATTCGACTACTAGGTATTTATAGTACCTAGCCTTTGGTTTTGGGATCGAATCAGCGCTGCGCGTAGGGGCGCGGACCGGCCTAGGGTAACTTTGGTTTTCTTTTAGTTTTAGTTTAACTTGAGCACTCAGCATGCTATCAACATTGAATTGCGGATTGCGGTAGAATCGCATCAATTTAGCTTGAGAAATATTGTCCAATTAGGCCTACATGATATACGAAAGGACGTGGAATGCGCAAAATCTGAGACAAACAAAACTTTGAAACTCCATTGGGTTGTCTAAGGAGTGTGGCCAACTCGCAAACGGTAATACTAATTACTAGGTCAATTGCCACCCATCATGCCCATGGCACGCTAGGGCTAGGCTAGCTCCAATTTAATGTATGTAGATTCAAATTTTGTTTATTATAAATCAGTGGCATTGGAAGATTTTTAGTTTAAAAATAAAACAAAAGGAAAATAAAGTCCGAGAACTATTCGGTTGATAGTCTAGTCTACCCGAGTTCCGACAGCCAAAGAGGCTGAAGTTGAATACAATTTACTAGGTCAGGGAACCAGGCGATTGACTGCCGTACACTGCGTTTGGTTTTCGTCGTCTGCTAGTCACCTAGTGCTACGATCCGAAATTCAACTCAGCCAGGCCTAACATAAGATGTAACAAACCTTTGGCACATGTGGCACAAGTTCAGCTCTCGTATACAGACATGACAAACGTAACACTGACTTTGAAAACCTCTGAAGAGTCATTTTCAAAGGCTAAATCTGCCAAAGATTGAAGAAAAGCTTAAGCTCAGCTTTGCGCAGTGCTTCTCGCACAGACACCATTACGCAAACTGATGGCGCCCTCTATTGTCAGATTTTTTTCTCTACACAAAACAAAATAATTCACTCCAACACTTGGTGGCGCTATTACAATAACAACCGGCGACGCTTTCGTGGCTTTTGCCTTTTGGGAAGCGAAGTTCGTTCGGAAATTTGTTAAGGTTTAATCTGTTTGCCCAATTTCCACGTTTTTTTCATTTGTAATGGCTGCCCATGGCTATCACTTGAAGCTTGGTCCAGGCGCTGCTGAATCGATCGATCAGTATTTGGAGTACAAACGGTAATTTTGTCATTCAGGATCATTCATAATCATAAATCATTGTCACCAGAAATTAAGACTGAACTGAAGTGCAACTTCTTTGGTATTATTGTTTTACAGGAACGGACTGCATGGTTTAATCATAGAGCTATGACCTAGCTTTAGGGTTCAATACATTGAACAAAATTATAATAATCACAACATCACGTGTGTGTAGGCAAAGATCTGTTACAAACATGACTTATTGGACTTGAATATGTTGATATTTGTTTCTTCTTGGCAATCGTTTACATCTGGAAATCCTGACAAGATTTTCCAATAATATTTATTAAAATGTTTGATGATATTTAACAGTAAAAAATGAACATGTAATTTTAAAGGAAAGAGTGTTGCAACCTGATGCTACTTCAGCGGTTGTGTACAAAGTCTATGGAGAGTCAAGAAAGTTTTCAAAGTATTTCCTAACAAAATTGGAAATGTTTCTCATGAAATACTTAAACTATATAGTCGTGTTCCCTAACGTGGCTTACTTCGAAGCTTACCCGACTTTCCTCGTGTAGTGTTGCCAAACCTCTTTGTTGACAAACCTCAAATTCATCCAATGAAATACTAGTACTTTTACCTTATCAATGCTTGCTATTTTACCTCTGTGAACAATTTCAGTTTCATAAAATTTAATCCGAAATTCAAAAACGGTGGTGTCCGGAAATTGGGCACAAATTGGCGGAGTGTTCCCTAAAGTGGCGCACTGGAATAAATCTTGGAAAATTCCAAATTAACACTTACGAATTCCTGTAATCTTGATAAATTCTGATAAATAATTCATATCTTTACTTACATACCCAGCCAAATGTTTGTCAGAAAATTATTTTCTTATTTTTCAGGGCATTTTCAAAGGGTTCACTTTGCACTTGAAAATAAAATCGGAAAATCACGCCAAAATAGCTTTTCCTTCTAACTTTGTTACGGGTAAATAAACTCGCGATTTATGAACAGGACCGTTTAGAACTTGATGAAATTTCACTTTCTGTGAAATTTCAGTTTAAAATTTTGCTCTAGCTAGGCGCTACCGGGGAAAAATCCAAGTGCGCTACGTTAGGGGCCGCGCCACGTTAGGGTACATCAACAATATTATTAAAATGTTTTACTTTTAATCTGATGATGAATGTACACTAATGACAAATAAAATGGTTTGGTCTACAGCATCGTTGGTGAAGATGACGGTGGGGAGTTACTCACGCCAGAGCAGTATGAAGCTTACAAGCGAGACGTCGTACCAGCTCGGATGAAGAATCGACTCTTTGTCAGCTGGACTTCTCCTAATGGATGGGATTGTAAGCTGATTGGTCCTGAGACGCTGTGCTTCTGTCAACACAGGTAATACTAATAGCCTGTTTAGGTCTGAGTTATTCAATTGATATGTCTGGCGTGATCGGTGGATCTGCGTCAGACTGAGACCTTGAGTGCTGAAAAAATGCAAAATGAATTAAGGTCAACTGTAGCCTACTCACTCTTTGGCAGACAAAATTCTCAAAAAATGTTCATGAGGCAAAGACAAGGCCCTCAGTATTTCACCAGCCAAGATCCAGGGTGCTCCAGGGGCAACCCCCCTCCTCCTCCCCCCCCCCCCCCCTACACACACACACATTGCAGGGGTAGGCAAACAAGACAAGCAACTCCCCTTCCTTCCTTCCTTACAAGTGCTGCCTTCACATGGTTGAAGATAAATACACTGACAGAAACACCGGGGCAAACCCCTTCTCTTAATGATAAGTGCTACTGGGTTCTTTCACGTGCATTACACACGGGACCTACGGCTTTACGTCCCATCCGAAGGACGAAGCAATAATGGTTAAGTGTCTTGCTTAAGGACACAAGTGTCAAGATTTGGGACTTGAACCTGATCAGAAACATCAGCGGAGCTCGAGTCCGGTGCTCTTAACCGCTTGTCCATGACACTCCATGTCACACTGCAGCTCTAATACTCAACTTGAACACTGCAATCTCAATTACTCTGGAGGGATTCCTAAGTTTACTTGCAAGATCCCAATTGCTCTCAAAATATTTGCCTTTCCAACATTTAACTGTTAACAACAAAACATTGTTTTGCATCTGACATTCATTACAGCACCACAAGCACACTGCAAACAAAGGACTTAATTAATATTCACAAAAGACTTAATAAATATTGACAGCACATAATTGATAGCACAGCATTATTACCAAGCATTATGTAAGCTTTATGTAAGTCATGCTGTATGTGAGGTGTTCTGACAGAATGAAACATTGGCAGATGTTGCAATAGGGTTTGCAGGTATTAGCAAAGAGAATAAAAATTTCCTACAATAGTGTTTTTTGCACTTGGGACATTCTGTTGACAAGTTATGACTGTTTAAAGCTCACATATATCAACATGTTAAAAAAGTAATATACTTGCCAGAACGCCTCAAATATTTGATACTTAAGACAGCATCTGTCTTTTTGTCTTGATTTAGATACAAGCAACACAAGACAGACTTCAAGGAGTTACCGACAGGGAGACCGATACTCCTTCCGTGTAGGGTTAAAGGTTGCAGGTGTCAGTCCTACAACTATGTCCCTCTCAATGGTAGCAGGCCTCTGCGATGTCGCTGTAAACACTTCACTGATGAACACTCGGAGGATCCGAGTCATGCTTGTATGAAATGTGAGTCAAGTCTTGACATTGTAGAGACATTTTTGACTTGAAATCGCTGAAAATCGCTTTGAAACCCTTTTGTATTTTTGTTTACCCTTCTCCTAAAGGGGGAGTGTGGCCTAGTGGTTAGGTTTGTGACTCATGATCAGAAGGTCAATAGTTCGAATCCAGCCGCTGGACATATGTTGTGTCCTTGGGCAAGCCACTTCATCCCCACTTGCCTCTCTCCACCCAGGAGTAAAAGGGTACCGACATTAGCTGGGGAGTAACCTGCGATGGACTAGCATCCCATCCAGGGGAGTAGAAATATTCTCAGTGGTTTCATGCTAATGAAACTGGAGATAAACACTGGCCTGATTGGCCACATTGGCTCGTGACAGACTTTACTTTTTTTTGACTTCTCATAAATTATTGCTGAAGACAGCTCAGGATCCTCATCACTTTCAGTAAAAGCACACGGAGGGTCTTAAACCTGCATAAGACCTGGATTTCAAATTCAATGGTTACAATCAACTGTGGAGTGCTGTGGCCTCGTGGTTAAGGGCACTGGATTCGTGGCCTGTGGGTGAAGCTGCAAGTTGTGGGTTCGAGTCCAGCCGGGGTCATGGTGCGTGTGCCCTTGAGCAAGGCACTTTGTCACTCCTTGCTTCTCTCTACCCAGGAGTAATTGGGTACCTACCTGTGAGGGCAGAGATGGTTATGTGATTGAATTAGCTTTCTTGTGCCTAACAGGCAGCATTCGAGCTGTATACTCCCCAGGGAGCTGAGATTGTGTTTGGAATGTTTGAATGGCCCATTGATCAGGAGTAATAATAATACTGTAAGCGCTGTGATTTAGTTTACTAATAAGAGCGTTCTTAAATGCCAATTATTATTATTATTATTTGAATTGTTTATTTCTCAGCGAGTTGTAATTGCGTCGCCTTCAAGAGTTCATTCACCTGTTCCTGTGAGCAGCCCACTTACCTTCATGAGATGATCGTTGAGACAAAGGAGGAGAGGCTAGCTCGAGGTCATCCCGTAGGTCACGACACCCCCTATGCAGCCATGGGGGGTCTGACAGGGTTCAGCTCACTGGCCGAGGCCTACATGAGGCTGGACGACAGCGGGATTGGTAAGACAAATTCAGATTTAAATGTTGGGTTATGGGAATGTCATGGGATTATTTGGTGTAAATCCAGACATTTCTGAAAGCTGAAGAAAAAAATTTCAAAGTTAAGATGGCAGAATTCTATCAACAAGAAAATTCACTCGAGTTGTTTTGTTATGCATGTTCACAACACAAATACTGGTAACCATTTCAACCAAATTTATAAGTACATGTGTAGCAATATTTGTCTTTAAAACTTGTAAAAATTGTACAAAGGCAGTTATTTTTTGACGGAGAAATCTCATTTAATGGAAAAGCGTTAAGGAAACACTCAGAATTATCACTGCATTATCAAACGAATTTTGCTCTAAAAAACTGTGATAGTTACATTACGAAGATAAACTGAGCTTTATATTTCATACTCATTTATACATGAAGGTCCAGCGAGCGAAGAATTCCTGAATCAACCAATCACGTCGTCGGATCATCCGTTCCTTCGGATGCACGCCAAGACCTTCCAACAGCTGGAGCCGCCGGACCAAAAAGTGGATGCGCTGACGGAAAAGATGGCTAACTTCAAGATGACGGGCACGGATGCTGATATGGAGTATTACGAGATGCGATACCAGCAAAGGGTAGGCATAGGTTTGAAAAATCAGCAGTAAAAAAAACCAAGAAATACAAACAAAGCTTTTTGTGTTTCTGTTCAAACCAAATGGCCTCAAATCTCTTGCATCATTTTAAAAACCACATTTTTGAGTAACATTAATGGTAAACCCATAAAATTAAATACATGTCTGTTGTGATTTATTTAATAATAGGATAACAAGGAAAACGTTATCTCCCTTTTAGTTTTTCTGATACTTTTTAAGAATGGAGAAAACAACTTGATGTAAAGTGGCTTGCCCAGGGACTGTAGCTGGGTTCAAACCACAGAAACACTCTCATGTCATAGAATTGCAAATCAGTTTTTGTAATCGTTTTTATGTTGAAATCCATTTGCAGTTAAAGGAGGAAAGGATGAAGAAAAGAGGTGTACAGCCTGGCCCTAGGAGACCACAAGAGGGCGCTGTTAGTCGTCAAGTTCAACCCAGCAGTGCAAAGACTGGTGCCAGAAGACCTGCCAGAAGTGCCACCAAGAAATAATAAATAGCGCTTGCGTTCAGCAGTCCAGAAACCAGATTTGAACTTGAGGAAAATATAGAGGAATATGAGACTAAAAAGGGTCATTAATATTGCATAGAAAATTAATTGATATTGTCTGGTGAGGCAGAGTTGTAAAAATTCATATGAAGAAAATTTTGTGGAATACACGCATGATGTGAATTGTAGGATCCTATCATTTCAGTTATGCATTAAAAGAAACCGCTTGGTTTGAAATATACTTTGTTTTACAAATGAAATGACATGTTGTACTATTTATCTCACTACAAACTTCAGTTACATTAAGTTTTGTTTCAGCAAGGACTTCGGTTTTAAACTTCTGTTTTGTATATTTGTGGTTTTTTGAAGTGTTAAAAGATCATTTGTGTGTGGTTTTGGCTATATTTTAGATTGTATTTTATTTTTTACTGAAAGGTTATTTTTTAAGCATCCGTTTTATTCAGTCGTATTTTTTTTGCGTAATTGCATTGCAATAAAAGTGTACCAAAATATATTGGACATATTGGATGGAAACCATATTATTAGAGATTTTGTTTCACTTTCAGTCAGATTCATCTTTTTGAACAAGAATTACTGGTTTAAAAAAAGATGAAGAAAATAACTTCAATTTCATAAGCTACCATTGCCATCACGAAAACATTAAGATTATGATCAAGGAAACTATTTTTAGAAACATCAAAACCTAGTCTTCCAATTCTTAACAAAAACAATTGCAAACGTTGTTCAGTTGAAAGACACCGAATTTGAACTCCCAGGACCCCGGACAATAGACGACATTGTCGGTATTGGTTCGCGGATTAAATGGACACAATGTTTGGAAATGCGAGATTTGTTGAACATTTTGCGGTCGTGTTGTTTACTTGTTCCGATAAACAAGAACACTGATAGGGTAACGCTATACGCGTAAACGAGAAGCTATGAATATTTAGGAGCGATAAGTCATGAATATTCAGTAGGGACAGCTGGAAACAGCCAAGGGATTTGTTATTCTCAGAAAGTTCAGAGGGATTCGTGGTTATATTCATTAAAAGTGCCGGTTTTTAACAGCCTGGAAATCCAAGCGATTGTTTTCAGAATGATGACTACATTCCCGCCATTTCTCACTGAAACAATGTTACACCATGTGTTCTTATTCCTCCATGGTTACACAATAACAATCTGACTTTTACTTTAAATTACTACACCTTCATGGTTCAAAGTCAGTTGCCCCAAAGGCCAGATCAAATGACCCTTACCCTTTTGTTTAGAGTAAAACAAACCAAACACCTCGACCTTAAACAAGACACTCATGAATAGAAACTACAGCCTTTTTTGTTGTCAAGAAGTTTGTAATGTTTTCTCTTGGGGGAAATGTAAGCCGTGGTTTTGTAACTCGGCCACCTGGCTTTGTTTCCGATGACGCGTGTTCGAAGGCTGTTGTGTCGGCGATTCTCCCGCCGACAATTTAGCAGTTTCCTCCCTCTACATCATACCATCTCAGCCCGCTCGTCTTGTTTATTTGCCGAGGTTATTCGGTGGGAAATGTCGTGCTGCTGAGAGGTGTGAATATTGAGTTTGTGGACATCCATCTTATCAGATATCAAATTATTTTTGAAGAGTACAAGTTTCGCCGGGTTACGGAATAATTTGGATAAATACTGCCTTGTCAGATGAGGAATTCACAACACAACGAGGGGCGAACATCATTTCACCGCCGAGTGATAAAACAAAAATAACTTTCCAGATGTGACTAGCGCTGCGCTTGGAGGAAGTGATTGTTTGTTTTCTACATCACAGAGCACTGGCATTTTAAGTTCTTTCTTTACACGCGTTAATTATCCTGTTTTATCGAGCACTTAACACTTTTGGCTAAGTCAAAAGGCCAACATTGGAAAGAGTGAGAGCAAACATCTTAAATGCTGCGATTTGGACGACTGCAAAAGCTTCAACTCGCACGATATTCTCGCGGAGAACAATCAGGCATGTTGCAGTTGGGGTTTCGACCGGCAAAATAAAATAACTTTCGCTCCAAGGAATCGGAAGCAATGATCGAGGCAGTTTTTATTCGCGACTGACGGAGTTTGGAATCCAGGGCGAGTTTTACGTATCGGTGCCGTGGGAAACCAACGGGACGACATCAGGACATTTCAGACTTTCCTTGTCGGTTATTTTGCCCGGTTACCCCGTATCCTGCAATACGGCAATCCAGCTAGGGAAACTCCTGCCTTTCCACAGACGGTGTGACACCGGCAGCATTTTGCCTTTGAGCCGGTTGGTATTATTATCATTATTATTTTGTTTAAAATATGAACGACAATAGATAGGAAAAGATGGAAAACGCGATTCTTGAGACATGAATATCTACAATTCGATAAGAAAGTTCAGAGGAAATTTCAGTAGCTACAAGAGCATGGGTATGTCGGCTACGAATGTACAACTTGGCCGTCTATATGCACGATGAAAACCACGTTAATAATTAATGACTTAATGCATAACATGACACAACAATGACCAGATGGATATTATTTATAACAAAACAAAAAACAGAACGATTTTCATGATTAAAACAACCAAAACACGACATTTGTATATGAATATAGCAAGGATGCTGTGCTAGGATGGTTCGCTTAGCAATATGTAACAACTTGAGTAAAATGTTATTAATTTGGGAAAGTGTATCATCGACACACGATCATGCGATGGTGATGCTAATGAAGTAGACTGGTTTGGTATATAGGCCTATATCTTGTGATTTCATTCTTCGCATTTTTAGTTCAGGAATGAAAAACGATGCGAACTCGTATTTTATCAGACACGCATAAGAAGAAAACGCTATATTACGAATAATGTTAAAAACAAAAAAGTGAACACTGCGAAGATTACTTTGTACAGAATCAGTTGTGTGTGTAGTTTAATATGCAAACGAATAATAAATTAATCAATGGATGAATTATTTTTGTTTTCCTTTTGATTTTGACAACAGCATCAATTGAAACAATCAGATCAAAGTCTTTTTGAAAGTGCTCTCCACCGCCGCCACAATGTCCGCAACGGCAAAGTCCGAGTCCTTAAGGACCCATCGTGATGCACGGCAGTACTGCCAGCGTCGACACCAGAAAACCATGGGGAAGTGCGCCCGTGAGGAACGGCAGAGCGACGCGCTCCTCGCACGCCAACTCCGTCACATCCAGAAATCCAGAGCCTACCGGGAGAAGGAGCTGGACCGTGAACAGGAGAAATGCTTGACGGACCTTGTGGCGATCTTTGACCGCCAGTGTCAGATAGCCACCACCAGGCTTGCTCGGAGATTGAAAGACGCACTTGGAGACAAAGAGATTGTAGAAGGATTATGGAGTAAGAAAACTGACAATGACCAACACGTTGGCAGAGCAAAACGAGATGGTTTAAAACAAGCAGGAACGCATCACTCCCTGCTTAACGGCAATGTTAGGAATTCATTTGGTAACACTTCACGAGGGTTAACACTTACTGATACACCTTCACATAGGCAACACCACAATGGCTACAAAGTACCAAATAATAGAATAACACCAGTGACTAGTTTATCTAAAGATAATCGCATCATCAGACCTGATTCACCGGTACCATGGCAACAGAGGACAAGAGCAAAGGGGCATCAGCAACTGCCAAATCTGAATCAAAATCAGTTGTTCAGAAACCAACTCAGCATCCGGGAATCTGTACTGCTCCAAGTAACCAATGGAGGCGTTGCTAGGAGACCAACATCTTGTCAGCAGAGAGCCACAAGACCAAAGACAGCCCCGGAAATAGGGGAGACATGCTGGTCATCAAACAGCCGTTGGGATGAGCTCGCTTCCCAGGTACGGTGTCCTCAACACTGCAAAGATGCTCCCGCTCACATTAGTACGGCTAGGAGTCTAAGGTGTCTGCTACATGACACCTCAGAAAGCAAGACGGCAACACCTGTCTTGGATGCGCCAGAGGATGTAAGTTTCCGTCGGCAATATATGGCATGCGTCATGTCACGTAAGCTACCAGTGAGCGGGTTACGAAGCGGGAGCTTCGCTCAACAAGATGACGTCAGAAAGAAGATGGAAGCACGGAGGAAATGTATGGAAGAATTGCGCATGACCAATAGGCAGAGGGCCAAGTCGGCTCCTGCTGGACTGGTGCGCATGTTCAGAAATGACCTTTCAGCTAACTAAAATGTAAGGACAATTTGAAAGCAGTAGGAAGATGATCGCAACACATTTGCCGAAACATTTGTTCTTTGACAGAGCGTCACAAAGGTTGTTTTTAAGTGTGATATCGACTCGTATGGAACAACAAATGTCTGGAGTGCCATTTGTTTTTAGTAATATTTGGTATTTTGCACCTAGAAAAAAGTGGTTTGATGTAACACTGATTAGCTTAACACGAAGTTACCCAGATTTTAAAGAGGTTTCTGTGAATTGAATTTAATACTTGTAAATTGTTGTAGCTTGTAAACTGGTGATGTAACTAAAGGATGTTGCATGTATTAATATAACGGGGGAAAACAGTTGTATTGTTTGAAGCGATAGTGTGGAAGAGAAAGACTGAATACATACGTGTCCCAAAAAAAATACATGTCGTAGTTTTGATCCAAAATATCTCTGTTGTTTACCAATGGAATTAAACCAAAATTTCAAATCATATAAACAAGGCATGACAAATTGTATGAAGCAAGTGTCATCGGCTTTGTGCAAGAGGCTGCGATCTAAACGACATACGAAAAAAAATACTTTCATGATGTCGATACGGCGCTGGTACAGAAGACGCGTGTTGCGGCCGACAATGAAGCTTCTGAAAGAATGCAACCAGGATCACCCTTGATATCACTGCACACCTCCTCGATCATGTTTTGCGACAAACTATCGAGGTGTGCAATGACATCGCGGATGATCCTGCATTCATTTACGGAAGCTTATGACCGCAGCACGCACCTTCCGCAACGCGTCTCCATCGTTGTATCGACATTGGAGGACACCAAGTCGAAAGTGACAGATTAGTGAGTATTTTTGTTTCATATGGCGTTTAAATCTTACCCTTTTGCCCCAAGCTGATGAAACTCGCTCCATAAAAATTGCCATGCCCTGTTTACATGATCTGAATGTTTGGTTTAATTCAACTGGTAAATAATGGAGTTATTTAGGATCAAAGTTGGACATTTTGAGTTGGATTTCTTTAACAACCAGGATGATAATTATTTGGCACGCAAACAAGAAATAGAATCAAATTGTGAATGTTAATCAAGTTTTTAAAAAGGTAACTAACAACATATTGAACACAAACAATGTAAAATCCAATGTCCAACAACTTTAATCTAATCAATCACAAAAAATGTAATTTGGCACAATGATTCTAATACTGTTTTCAATCTCGAAAAGCAATTACTTTCATGAATATTTTTAATACATTGCACTAGGCAGTGAATATTCATTTTTTTAAATATAAGTAAGGCCAAAAAAAAAGTCTCCGGTTTCTGGTATGCGCGCGCGTCGCCGTAGCCATGCGTGTCGGCAAAATGAAAAAGTTTTCTTTTCAATGAAAAATGATGTCTCAAAACCGCCAAACTCACTGGTTTGACTGGAATTCTGCTGCTGCGCAATTTCAACGTGTTTTTAGATGGGGTTATGATCGAGAATAAGCTTTATGTGGCCTCTCTGGACTCCCATATATTTGCACTAAGTTTAGTTGGGCACCATTTGCAGTCATCAGCCGACATTTGAAGCAAAAAAGTCGTGTAAAAAAAAAAAAAAGCCGCGTCGCCGCACCACTTTTTGGACAAGCTCCATACCAGAAACCGGAGACTTTTTTTGGCCTAAAGTGAATTGTACTAATTTTAGTAGCCTATACATTGTATTTATAAAATGGGCAATCAATTTGGCTGTTCAAAACTTCAAATCAAATTCGAAGAACCAACATCATCCAACTGTCATGCTGGCCAACAAAAACATTTTTGATCTTTCGATATAAAATTGTATCAACGTGTTAGAAACTGAAAACATAACAGTGAAATACAAATGAAACCAATTATTGCAAAACTCTTTTGGCAAGAAAAACAGTCCAACTGTTTGAAATATAAACCAATACTCAATGTAAATTTTTCAATTAAAAAATTAAAAAATTAAATATAGAGCACAAAAAATAATTCGAAGTTGTTGCTGAAAAAAGCAAACAAACTATGCAGCAATTTGAAACGCATAAACAACATTAACTAATCGGTGAGTTTGCATCCCTGTGTTATTTTGACTGATTACTTTTCCTTTGTCTATCAAAGAACTTCCAAGGAAGCGTAGTTCTTTCAGTGATAGAAGTTGTAAGTCCACTATACCAAAATACAAGGAGTGCGATCTTCCCCATCAGCCAGCTAATTTTAGACACACACAATCTCAACGAACACCGCAATTCTTCAGATCCAAGTATTCTGTAGTCAAACATCTCCTCGTCAATATACAGAATTTGGACTTGAAGGTATATTGTTCCATCAGTTCAGGTGAGACTTTTGATAAGTTTTTGGTGACCTAAAAATCTTTTTGTAAAACCAACAAACAAAGCAAGGGATGTCAGGTTGGCGTAGTGGTATCCTCGCCTTCCACAGCTGTTACCCAGGTTCGATTCCTGCCCGGGCCAATATGTGGACTGGGTTTTCAGTCCCTACTGTATTCCATGGGTTTTCCTCAGAATATTCGTCTGGGCTTTTCCTTCCACTTCTTTATTTTCTTCACACTGTCTTCTCTATACTGGGCCACATGGGAGACCAGTGGATTGCACTGAATGGGCTACCCAGATCAAATTATAATTAAATTAATAATAAATATAAATCTACAGCAGCAACAAAATCATGTACCAACGAACAAACATAAACATACTTACCAAAGCAACTTCAGCACCAACTTAAGGGAAGCACGGTAACAATACTACTCAAGCTTTTCATCCTCCTTAAAAATTCTAAGAAGATACATGTACACATTTCAAACTTTCTGTAGCACATCTTAGGTGCACATGATGAACACAATTTCAGTGTTTGGATAAAAGATGTCCAGTTGATTCCAGCTTATAGCACAAATAGCAACTGGCATTCAAGTTTGTCTTTGTTGGAAATGGCTGACAGTAAAGCACCTTCATAAAGAAGACAAGTATTTCTGTTTTATGATCAGACATCAGCTTTTTGCTTTGTTAAAATCGAAAGGCAAGAAAAAGACAAGCCTCATTGTTATCAGTTGGGATAATAAACTTTAACTAACAATGAATTATTGTGCTCCAAGATGTGTTGGGATTTGTTGGCGAAAGGCAATGCAATAACTGGATTTCCAGTCTGAAACATGGAAAATAAATCAATGTCAAGGAATAACGTGAACTACAAAACAACTAAACTTACTCGCCGTAGAAATGTTCTGCATAGTGCATTTGAGATACCTGATAAAATATTGTAGGTTTTCCACTGGTCAGTGGTCTTGTTCTTTGCCTTAAGTTTTCTGAAATGATTTAAAAACTTACTGTGCCCTATAGAGGCGACCTAACCGTTCTAATAAAAATATAATAAGATCAATTTTGTATCGTTAATCTACACACACAGTCATATAGTACTTTGTACTCGTAAAATTTGTCACACATAATTTTACACTACATGTACAATTTGATAATATTTCTAGAATGATACCTACCGTATCTCATATCAGTTCAATACACAAATATTGGCACATGGGGATCCCCATTGTAAAAGTGTCAAAAGTACTGAGCGAGTAGCTCCATACAAATTTGTGCAGGACTAGGTCAGAGATCTGTTGCCCACAGCTTGTCGCGTTGGCTGTCCAGTCTCACATGCATTAGACTTGTTAAAGTGCTCCTGTAGCTTTCTCATTTCTATAAAATCTGTGCTTGGATGGTAGATGGCAGTGTGTGCAGACCACACGCATGAGAGCCCGGAAGGGGGCGGGGCTCCCCTGACGCCCCCCCCCCATAAAAAAAAAATCCCCCCTCTCTCTCCCCCCCTTCCTCAGCAAAAACCATAAGCATCCATATTGTATGTATTTGTTTGTTTTTTTAGTGGTGTGCCCCCTGGCTGGTACTATTCCCTCCTCCCCCCACTCCCCCAATGGTTGGAGTCTGACACTTAGAGAGTCGTACTCTCTTACATGTATTAAGGATCTTTGTGACCCGGGGGGGGGGGGGGGGGGGGGGGGGGGGGGGGGGGGGGTGGGGGGGGGACTTGTGCATGCAGTTGCCAAACAAGGGCAGATCCACAGTGGTATACTGCTAGGTTGGGGGGGGGGGGGTGTGAAGGATTCTCTCAAGTGAAAAATGGTCTTTTGGTCTGCACTCCCCTAGATTGGCCAATGCCAAATAGGACTCACCAAATTTTCTGACCTAATTCTCTACTCATAGATAAAAAGTTACTGTGAAAAACTGACTGCCTATTTCATTTCACCTATTCACATCCTACCGAACACACGATTAACGTTATGGTAGTATTTACAATGTACATGTATATGATGATGTGCTTCAATAAATCCATCCATGCATCTTCAATAAGTTATGTCATAAATATTACTAAAATATATGAAGACCCACGAATATAGAGTGGGCTGGAAGTCATGCATTTTGTGTATGGTTAAAAACTCTATGAAATGTCCTACACATAAAAATTGCACACACATCACATTGCCATAATAACAAAGTTAAATCTACTTAATAAATATATTAAAATAAATATTTTACAGAATCTAGCAGACAAATTAACAAAAATAAAACATAAATACGCTCTTAAACACTGTATGTGAATATAGAAATATATATAAATAAATAAATGAATAAATATGGCAGGATTCAAACAATCCGGGTTATACGCCAAAGTTGGATTTTGATAAAACTCCGAGAGACGGTGAGACAGTAACAACTGCCAAGCAGACCTGTTCACTACAGGGTGTCTTTGTGACTGATGACATTCTAGAAGGATTTTGGGTTTTCAACATCAAATATCATTTTTAAGATTGCAAATGAATTTCGGGAAAGGAAGTTATTCTTCTTCATGACAACTGCGTAAAATTGCCAGATGTTACGATGTGAGAAAATCAGCAAATGAATGTACTTGTTATTCACTTGATAATGGCCAAGTCCAGTTTGAAATTGCGTTATGAGGGTTCCCAATGGCAAGAGAACTCACACCATTTTTGAGATTGAATCAACTTAACGATTGCAATATCATGATTATGAATCTAAAGCAGCAACAGGTTAAAAGTACTGGTATATAAAACAGATCTAAGAACTTACATACAAGACACAGCATGCAGACTTGAGGAGATGACCTCTCCTCCTTTTCCATCCTCACCTCGTCTTTAAGACTCACTTCTCCATCAGTGAAGACAGCAGATCAATGGGCAATGGGAAGATGATTGTCGAGTTTCTCTCTGCTGAGATGGTGTTGAGGGTCTGCAGATAGCGGAGCTGGAGGGCGTTAGGTGACTCGGCCATGATGTCCGCTGCTTCCTTGAGAGCCCGGGAGGCGTTCTGCTCACCCTCCGCAGCTATCACCTAATGAATGACAAGCATAATCACCATCAGTGGCATAGCAAGGAGATGAGGGGGGGATGGAAACCCCACCCATGGCCAAAAATTGAAAAAAATGGTGGGGGCAGGAGGGGGGTACAGCAATGCATCTAGTGAACACACTCGCCCACTTGTGCACTATATGCGGATGTGGTTCTAATCATCAACACAGTCGCCAAGCAAATTTTTTGAGGGGGGTATTGGTAAACCCCACCCCCTCCCCCTAAAGCATAATTTCTCGCTTTGCTATTGAGTGCCATGAACAGAAGACAACATTTCATCATTAACAACCGTTGACAGATGCATAAGCACCCTGTTTTGCAAGCGGCACGAAGTACACATGATTAATCATATTTTGAATGCGTATGTGCACAAAGCTATTGTCTAGACTTGGTGTGAGCTACAAGCTACAATAAATGAAACTCTACTCAAACTTAACGCCTGTTGCTAATACTGAGAGCCAGAATCATACCTCAAATGACATTTTAGCTTATAACATGTTTTACACTAATCAAAGGTTTCCATTTTGCATTTTGGGTGCTTAGTAGCCACATCATTCTGGAGTTATAGGGACAATGACTAAGGCCGCATCCAAATTACTCGGCTACGACTTACAATTGAAGCCCCTTCCCACAGACCTGTGTGTTAGTGCCAGCCGCAGCCACAGCCTTACCTTAGCACGAGCCTCCCTTGAAGCCTCAGCCTCAGCAGCCATTGCACGCTGCAACATCAGAGGCAACCTCACATCCTTACTGAAAACGAAAAAGAAAACAACTTCAACTTTGTTCATCATGACTGTAAAACAAAGAGTTCAATAACAGCATTTGGCCTTATTTCTCTCCGAGCTAATTGAAGATTTTCAAATTGGCACTGAAACTGAGAGCCTCTGTGCTATTTTGTTGTTGAGAGGAAAAAGAAAAGGTTCTCAATGTCACACTATGGCTTAGCACCAAAAAACTAGGTATCAATTTCAAGTGGAAATTTGTCTCTCAAAATGAAGAAAACCTGCTCACATTTCAACTCTCTCCACTTTGACGCCCCACGGATCCGTTGCCTCATCCAAGACCGACTGCATGTGACTACTGATGGACTCTCGGGAACTCAAGACCTCTGCAAGGGTCTTAGTCCCCAAGACGTTACGCAGAGTCGTCGCAGACAGAAGCTCGGTAGAACGTTTGAAGTTCTCCACGTTGACGATGGACATGGTGGGATTCTGGACTCGGAAGTAGACCACTGCATCCACGGTAACGGTCACGCTGTCTTTAGACAGAATCTACAAAGACACATAGAAAAGTATGGGGAAACTCAGGCTAATGTTGAATTAAGTGACTATGAATTCATTGAATGTGAAACAGTTTAATGTCATCAGGCATGCAACTGGGAACTAAGAAAAAAAATGAGGACATTCCAAACAAACAAGACTTTGTCCAGTGTTTTTCAATTTGAAATGGCTTCATGAGAAGTAAACAACAAGGAAATCAGTGGGTCTGAGGTAAAAGTTGCATGCCATGTGTAAATTAAGACATTTTATTTCTCGAAAGGATTCCTCAAAAGTCCCCTAGATAGGCACTGTAGCTCGCAAGCCTGAAGAAACCTGTAAGAAGACCATGAGAAAAACTTACGGGAAAATCAAGAAGAATATCCTGGGTAAAAGCCAAAGGAATCAAATTGCGACTGAAAATCAACCAATCCACATGTGGTCCGGACAGGAATCGAACCCGGGCCATATAGCAGTGGAATTATAGGCAAGGAAAGAACCACTATGCACCAACCCGACTCCCATAATTATAATTAGAATTGGGATGTTGTCGATCCATCAAGTTCATTCACAAGTGCACTCACAATTAACAGTGGATGAGTATAAGAACAAAGGAATCCCATTGTCAATTTTTGTTTGAATAACTTGTGTGTTGAATTGGGACAGGAGGACTTGCAAGTGATCACATGCAGGCATTTGTGATGGACTCAACTCATTCCCTGAGAATGATTAGAGTCGTCCTTACCTCCTGAGGCGGTACATCAAAGGATAACGTCCTGAGATCTACCACTCTGAACTCATCGATGCATGGCAAGATGAAGAACAATCCAGGGCCTTTAGCTCCTCCAGGGAGAAGACGTCCTGCGCGGAAGATGATTGCTCGCTCGTACTCTTGCACTGTCTAAGCCAAGAAAATGATACAAGAGACCCCAAAATAAGAAATGCTTGCAATTCAGTTACGATGCTTTTAAATTGGTGTCTTTTTTCAAGCTCAGCTCTGTAAAATATCCCGGCATTTTAAAATCATTCAACTTTTCATTGGTTGCTGAAAAACCAATGGTTTGCAATACCATTACCAGTCATCTGTGGCACGTTATATTATGGTCACGTAAAAGTTCAATCTAAATCGATCGAGTTATGTACATTTAAGACTGAGGGGGATTACTTGTAAGAGCCTAAGAGGAGGGGGGATGAGGGGAGGTGTTCTATTGAAAAGAAAGTCTATGACATGTGAGCAGAATCAGCAGATCAGCAATTAATCATAAAAAACAAGACTTCATCTGGACCTCCAGATTCTGACCATTCAGTGGGTGCCTACTTTCAGGTCCTCCATTAATCCGTGGTTGTCTCACAAAAAAAGTGTCAGCAAAATTGACCAATCAACAGCTAGGGGTAGCGCGAGATTGTGGAAATTCTGGGACTTACTCTGAAGACAAAGCAGAGCGACACTGGCACGGTGAGACAGCACAAGATGAATGAACAGGCAAAGAGGATGTAGTAGCACACGCCCATACTCGAGTCATCGCCTCAAGACAATAGCAAAAAATACACACATTACAAGAAGCTGTATGCTGAAAAAGGGGCGGGGCTAGACGGGGATATTAGAGGATGGCAAAATCCAACCATTTGAAATCAATTAGAATGTCATTACTGAGCCTAGATAAACAAGAACACCTTATCATGAATGGATACAGGTAATTCTTGATTTTTAGATTTTGACGCAGTACCCTACATTACATTCAATTAGTTGAATTAGCTGTTCATGCAGACTAGCAGTTACTTATATCTCAGTAGTTCGAATTACACAGACGCTTGTCTTTAATGACTTGAGTGTTTCAGCTTCATTTGAAGCCTTAATTATAACACCAAATTCTCAGGAAATTATCCAGTGATGATCCAGCAAGACTCGTAGTCATGACAACTATATCCCGCTTCAGTGCACAATGTGTGAACTGGAGCTTCAAAGATTGCATCGCCTACACCTCTATACAGAGACAGGTGATCTGAGTGCAAGCAGCGCCCATCTGGCTGAAGGTAACATCCCTCCACGTATTTGCATTCATAATGTTTCCCAGTCGATATTTAATGCGCCAGACACATTACATGCCTAACTTCCTTTTTGGCTTCTACAGAATTGAGAAGGGCTGTGGCTTATCAGGTGTGCAGTAATTGTGATAGCCAATGGCAAAAGGCCTAGCCTTAGCCAATATAGACAGGTGAGCTCGAGCCAGAGCCACCTATCGATAGAACCCCTTTACAACACATTATTTGCATAATTATATCCAGGGTAAAGGAAGAAAAATTTGCCATATCTAGCCCCCCCCCCCAAAAAAAAATATAAAAATATAAAAATTAAACACCTATATAAAGTAGTGTACATTTTCACAACAATCCTTACAGCAAGAGTTTTACTTTAATAATTTTTAAAATGTGGGGTTTTTTTTGGGGGGGGGAGGCGGTTGGCAAATTACTAAGGCTAGAAAAGTATATATGTGTCAATATAATCTTCATGAATATTAATCATACCATAATGAGATAGAAAAAAATGTATAAACACAGAAAACATGTGTGATGTGAAGAAGATTTAATATTATCTACGTTGTTTTTTTTATTTTAATTTTACAAGAAATGTCATTTTGTCTTACCACCGTCTTCCGTTGGTTCTCCAGTAAGCCGCAATGGACGGTCTCCAGCCATGTTTAATGCCTCAACTCAGTCTATTTACCTCAACTTCAAGAGTCCAATTTACGGTCCCCTGATAACTAAAATTATGAAACAACTAAATTTTTCAATTTAAATAGGCATGACATATTATTAATTGAACAAATTCCATTCAATACATAGTAATTAAATTGAAATTATAAAGGAAACTGAAAAATAAAAAGGTATAACTATAAGCTGATTTCAAAAATTATCAAAAAAAATTATTGTTACTGTAAATGATATCGTCATAATTTATGGCCGATATGAATTATAAATATTCTGTGCAAAATTTAAATTTAAATCAAATTGCATGAATAAACTGACAGACATGACAGACATAAAAACAATGTAGAGTTCTACCTCCATGACAAAATTCAACAAATATTGAAACACATTAAAATTCAAACTGAATTAGAAACAAACAAAAAGATTTGAACCGTTTCACTGTGTAAATTGAGAAACTGATAAGATTAATAAGCTCAAGTCTTGAGGACGCAAAATAGAATAAACAAACCATATCGCACAAATTCTCATCATCTTGCAGTTGCACATATCGTCAAACACTTTATTTGTAATTGTATCATCTCATGCCTCATGGCGTGAAAGAAGCATAACTTCCCGAAGCGAAAATTGCATTACTAAGTTTATTAATAGTAAGCCTATAGTAATTGACCTACTCTATTCCTTCCTCCGTTTCTAACCCGAACAGGACGGGAGGTTCTAAAAACAGATCGACAATTCCATGCATAAACACGTACATGTACTGCGTAAGACAGTGCAACTTTAGGAGCAGTCTATTATGTGCGTGCACAGCGCACTGCATAAAACAAGGAATGTGTCAAAACGTTCTTCAAATCCCCGATTTTCATATACATTATTCATTTTGTAACTCACAGAATCAGTGCAGAGGTTGCACAGTAAACCCTTTTGTAATAATCTTGCAACTCACCGGCAAATATTTCCTCCCTACATCATAATATCGATGGTAAAATTAAGAGGCAAAAGTAAGAAAGATCGGACGTCATTCGCCATGTTTATCTTCTTAAAAATTCTCCTTCTTTTTCTGTCTCGCTGGTCCTCGTGCGATATCATCGCGTGAATTGGTACGGAGATTGATCGGTAACCAGTCAGTCTTGGCATTGATTCAGCATGTCAAGAAAAAACGTCTGCTCTGCAAATTAATTATTCAAAAATCTACTTGTCCGCAGATTTCATTGGACCGTGAAATAGGATTCAATGCGCGCAACACTTTGACGTTTACTAAAAGTTAAAGGGGCGTGTCTAGCAATTTAATCCGTCCAATCAAATTTCCTGGAGAACTTCCCGCCCACGTGAAAACGTAAACGAAAGCACGTGTTCACGTACGTGCATGGATATGCTAAGTACACTCTTTTGCATGTACGCTGCAAAGTCGGGGGGGGGGGGATTATTGTATAAATGCTACTCAAATTTTAAAGTCGTTTGCGATTAAAAAACAAAAAACCAAGATATTAAAGCCCAACTAGCTAAGCAAAATACAAACGCGTAGAAATACGTTACCATAGGGTACTTTAATGTTTATTCTTGATTATTAATAAATATTTTCGGAACTTAAAAAAAAAAAATGTCCTAACAAGTGTCAAAATTAAAACACAACGTGGTCAAATTTTTCTTTCAGAAAATTGTCATTAATCATCAAGTAGATCTGTTCCTGGCATTATGATGCATCAAAGAAATAATAGGAACAGGGATATTTTACAAAACTACAAAACACTGCCAAATGAAATCGTGTGGTAAAATTTAACATAAATAAAATCATGTGGAAACTATTTTCATGTTTTCTATGTTCTGATCATCTGAGGTCAAATAAAATATCAAATTGGTTTGATACGAATATGCAAAGCTTGAAAAGACAAAAAAATACAAGCTGTTAAACCGTACTGGATGGGTTTGCCGTAATTAGTGACGTAAGAACGGAAAGTTATTTCTAAATGTTTGTATTGTACCCAATTATTACTTCACTTACACTATCATGTTTCGAATGATTGTGTGACATGGGAAATTAAGAAAAGAAGGTGGAATCCAGACGCCACTTCAGCGGATGTGTAAAAATCTATGGAGAGTCAAGAAAATTTTAAAAAGTATTTCCTAACAAAATTGGAAATGTTTCTCAGTCCCAGATTCATGTCTTTTCATGACCTTGATTGAGATGATAGACATGTATGATGAAAAAAAAAGTGGCGTCAGGATGCAACCTTCTTTCCCTCAGCAATTGATCGCCTCCTAAATCCTTCAAATACAAACAAATGGTTGGAATGCCGGGATTCTAATAGATACGGGAATGCAATGATCGCCCAGTAATGCTGTATGTGGGGCAAGATGCTGTCTCAATTTAAAGGAGTTAGACAACTTTGTTGGATTTTGGAAAATTCTATGAAAATATACTTAGAATCAAGATAAAGGTAGTAGAGCTCTCCATTTCGAATAACCTACTATTCAATTACTCAAAACTACGTTTGACCGAATATTCGGATATTAGAAACTGCCAGCTGCAACTGCGTACTGCGCCTGTAAAAAGCTGCACGAAGAGCGCGCGAGTTAAAGGTTGCGTGCGGCGATTGATATGGGACTGTAAAGAGCTTTAACCTACATGTACTATAAGGATGTGACCAATGGGAACCGCTGTCGACAAAAAAAAGATATCTCCAAAAAATTGTCAGCTGGCAACAAAGTACAGCAACTTTACGATAAACTAACATCACAGTCATGTGTACATTGGCATAGATTTAGCAAAAAGATATTCAAATTTGATGATCGAATATTCAAGCTTTTAGTATATTCGGGACAGCCCTAAAAGGTAGTATTTTCTGCTTTTAATGCCTTCATTGAATAAAGGTAGAGTGTTAAAATGCCACAACTAATGCTCCTCTTAAATTATTACTACATTACACTCATATACTTCTCAGCAACATATAGCGACCAGCCATTAAGCTTATTAGAATTACCAGGATCCTTCGCAGCTTTTACATTAAAAATCTATCTATCTCAGCTTCACCAAAAAATACAAGTCACAAAAATACGATATTAAGCTACAATATATACATGCATTGACAATGATAAAATCCCATGAGTACTTTTTATCTAATCACTGAAAAGTTACATTCACCTCTCCTTTTTAAGGGTGGCAAAAAGTCACAGAATTTAGGTTTTTTGTCTCAATTCAAGGTTTTTGGTTGTCTCGCATATGTACATAATTTATACACATGCAACAACAAATAAAGTTAATGGTAATAAATACGTTGTTTGTAAAAATACGTGTGTGTACACTTATACACATAAATGTGCAGATTTATAAATAAATACCGAGAAATGTTGAGCTTTTCTGAGCGTCTGTATAGCAATTCAAATTATCTTACTTTAACAGATAACAAATATACGAGATTACATAATTGAAATAGTGCTGTATTATTTTAAAGAGAGTTTTCACGAACTTCGAATGCTTGGTACAATTCTGGGAGTAACTGAAGTGTCCAAGATGAACTTGAATGGCACTTGTCTTCTTTTTTTTTTTGGTGACATCCACAATATCAGCGTGAACTTATATAGAGGGCATGAAATCAGCATGAAATATAGAGGGCGCTTCTTTCATCTGCTAGTATGTCATGTGATATGCAACAGGTGATGTCAGCCGAGGATGGAAGGGGGGGGGGGCTGGTCTATGTCACACAGACCATGCTAGAGGAGCATTGCTGGTCATCCATTTCAACAAAAGGAATAAATAGTTGAGAGTTTACACATGTTATATAATTATAAACAGCACCAAAATATATATGTGTATACCAAGCAGCTAGGCAACTAACACAAGCAGTAAATCCGAAATCATGAGATCCCTTAGCTCTTAAGATGACATTTAAATGTTTGTTTGTTGTTGATGTTGTTTTCCCGAGGAACAGTCATAGCTTCATATAGGCAGGAAAAATAAAATAAGAACAATAATCATAACGATTACTAATACTAGGATGGCCATCCATTGCCTCCGATCTGTGAAGAGAAACAGACGAAAAAATCTATCAATTGATGAATGAATTTGTCATTAAAAGTTTCAAGGTATTTAACGTCCAATAGTATTTGGAGGGTTTGACCCCATAAAATGAGCTTTTACTTTAAAATCATCATTTTGATGCCAGGTTAATCTTCACTACATTTTATTTTTATTAACAAAAGTTACAATCAGGCTTTCTGCTATAGAACCTAATTGATGTGACAGAACCCTGAAGGATCGAATGCGTTACCATTAAACCAAAGGACAGACACACAAGTCATCAACAGAGAGACTTAAGACAAAAGGAATGCTTAGATACACAGACAGACATACAAGTCATGAACAGACAGACTCAAGACACAAGGAATGATTACATACACCAACATATAGACAGACAAGTCATTAACAGAAAGATTCAAGACACAATGAATGATTAGATACACCAACAGATAGACAGACAAGTCACCAACAAACAGATTCAAGACAAAAGGAATGATTAGACTCGCCAACAAATAGACAGACAAGTCATCAACAAACACACTTAAGACACAAGGAATGATTAGATACACCAATAGATAGACAGACAAGTCACCAACAAACAGATTCAAGACACAAGGAATGATTAGACTCGCCAACAAATAGACGGACAAGTCATCAACAAACACACTTAAGACACAAGGAATGATTAGATACACAGACAGACAGACGAGTCATCAACAGACAGACTCAAGACACAAGGAATGATTAGACTCGCCAACAAATAGACGGACAAGTCATCAACAAACACACTTAAGACACAAGGAATGTTTAGATACACAGATAGACAGACAAGTCATCAACAGACAGACTCAAGACACAAGGAATGGTTAGATACACAGATAGACAGACAAGTCATCAACAGACAGACTCAAGACACAAGGAATGATTAGACTCGCCAAAAATAGACGGACAAGTCATCAACAAACACACTTAAGACACAAGGAATGTTTAGATACACAGATAGACAGACAAGTCATCAACAGACAGACTCAAGACACAAGGAATGGTTAGATACTGACCGCTTGACATGTGAGTGACTTTGGCCATCTTCTTCATGACGGCATCCAACTTTGTTTCTGTGTTCTCCATCTCCGTGTGAAAGTCATCTAACATGCTGCACAAACAAAGAAATCAATTGTTAATTGATAAAAATATGACATTTTGAAATGGAGAACCTTAACAAATAATGTGTGAAATCTAGACAGAAGCACTGCCATACAAGACGCTAAAATGTGTTCATCAATCAAGAGTAGCGGACGTATACACGCCAAAACATCAGATCAATTCAGAAACAAACAAAAACATGTTCTGTGAATGGTTCGTTCAATGTTCATGGTCCACTTTAGTTAAATACGTTCACTACAGAAACAAAATCTTTCATTAAGTTACAATTTAAGGAATGGAACAGGCAAAAACTTGATTGAACAGGCTTGACAAATCTTGATTACACTACTCACACTGCTTGCTCCTCCAATTCATTGCCTATTGTCTGTCCCATGTGCTTCAAGACCCCGACGCTGTCCGATACACGAACTAAGTCATCATCCTGAGCTTCCATTAAAAGCTGTAGGAATGAAAATTAAACATACAACTTATGTCATAGTCATCACTGAAATACCCATCGTTGATTGTTTCATGGTACTCATCAGGGTAAAGGAAAAAATGCCGCAAGTAAAACTTGCGCGATCCCCCTGGCATGCTGGCAGTTTGTATACATGTACAGTCAGTTAACTAGGACAATTTTTAGTGACGGCCTTGATTGTCCACCCGGGAAGTACCACTTCTCAGTTGAATGGAGAGTTTGGTTTGAATGAGGAGTTTCGGTCACCTTATTACCAAAACATCAGGAGCTTATTGGTCAAAGGGCACTGTTTGATTGACAAGAAGGAATGGCCCATTATTCTAATCTGGTCACCTGACAAAAAGTTGTGATCTAATTGGTCAATGGGCACTGTTTGATTGACAGGCAGGGAGGGCTCATCTGGTCACCTGACCATAAGTCACGATCTCATTGGTCAGTGGGCACTGTTTGATTGACAGGCAGTGAGGGCTCATTAATCTAATCTGGTCACCTGAGCAAAAGTCCCGATCTGATTGGCCAATGCTTGATTGACAGACAGGAAGGGCCCATTATTCTAATCTGGTCACCTGACCAAAAAAGTCTTGATCTAATTGGTCAATCGGCACTATATGATTGACAGGCAGGAATGGTCCATTATTAGCAACTAACCTGTTGTTGCTGACGTGATTCGTCGACGTAATTCTGGTTATTTTCTTCCATCTCGTTGTCCAATCGACTGTATTTACCCTGAGATTTACTCGGTCCATTATTCATCAAAGCCTAGCAACAGAAATTGAAACCATTGTCAGGAAGAAATCTCAGAGCATTTAAACAGCAAACTATTATTCATCAAAGTTCTGTGTTTATTACTGTTTCCACTAAGAAGTGAAATTCCAAGCATACCTCACGTACACTACATACAAGCTTACGCGTACACACAAGGGGCCAATTTTACGGCGCTGCTATGCACACATATTTGCTTAGCACAAAAAAGTCTGGCTTATAAAAGCAGGTTACCAGCCAAAACTCTACGTGATGTATATTGCTCGTGAGTAGTATTCAGCTGTTGTTTGCTTAGCAGGAAAATCACATGTTGTTTTGGCTGGTAACCTGCTTTTAAAGGCTAGACTTTTTTTGTGCTAAGCAAACTTTAGTGCTGAGCAGCTCCATGAAATTGGGCCCAGGACTATAGATCTATCCAGGTACACTATCAATTCCATCATGAAGGCCCCCTTCAATGGCAGAAGCATTCAATTAGCTATTGTTCTGGTAAACCGCCACAGAGCAGTTGCTTTGTACAATAGCAGGCACAATGCTGTGGCCATTGAAGGGGCCTCCATGAGTGTACACCGAGTGTACATGTACACGGAGTGGGCGGGCCATCACCACGTTATGAGAAAGTGTGTAACTGTTAGGGAAATTAGGACCGAGCTATGGGAGCTTTCTGCCGTTCCCACAGCGCGTCTTCTGTCCCAATACCATGGGACAACACGTGTGTAGTCCCCACAGTTACGGAACAAGAATGTGTATACACATGAGTGTACAACGTCCTCTGAATTTCTCGGGTCCACATGGCAAAATTTCCAAGATTTGATTCATCTTTGTGACAGCGCCCCCATTGTTAAAAGCAGCCGAACTGCATTTGCTCGGGATCCGGATGTGTATTTTTTGGGGGTTTTTGCAGCATACATCGTATTTTAACCAATCACATCACGCACCCTAACATGAATATTTATCACGCTGTGTGGATAGAAGACACTTAGGTTCTCGTAGTGTTTTCTCTTTAATTAAACTTCCCAACCAACAACAAATATTTGATGAAAATGAACACGGGTTTGAACCACAGATCTTGCGATCCATAGCTCATGCCACTATCCAATAGGCCAGTGTGGCAGCTCAACGAAAGCCGTTCTTTGCAATGCTTTAATGTACATGCATGACTGTGTGATAGCAATAGTGTGACATCATTGTTATGTTCTAAATGTACATCAAACTAGCGGAATAATCATGTTCCATTGACGATGTGTGCTGCAGATAAAAATACCGCGATCAAGATCAGCTGCATTAGAAAAAACCACATTGAAATCCAGTCTAGGACCTAGACTACTGATGCAGTAAAGGCATGCAATTTTAATACCCCCTCGTGAGTACCTGTCTCGTTTTCTTTTCTTCTCTTGATCTTGTACTTGGACTGGCCATGTGCTCCTTCATTTCTGCCACTTTTGTCTTGGTATCGACGACAAACTGTCGTCTGATTTCCAACTCATTTTGCTCCAACTTGAACTTCCTTGGATTGGCTTCGACGATACGTGCAAAAATCAAAGTTAAGGTTGATTAATACTAATAGCAGCAAAGAAAATGTATTTCATTATAATATACATTTTCCGCATGGACAGGAAGAAACTCTGGAGATTGAGGAACAGAACATTCTGAGTTAGGAATTAATCAAAGTACTTTAACCGAAATTATCAAGCTTTTGAAAACGAATATTTCAGAAAAAAAAATATTTAACATTAGCAGTGAAGCTTTATTTAGCATGCTTTATGTACTTAACCCAAACCTTCGGAAAGATTTCCGTATACGAAGTTCACTCAACACCCTGTGTACAAACCCTATGAGAGTGGACTGAAAAATTCTAAGTGTTTTCTAAGAAAATGCTTGTATTTTCTCACTGCTCAAATTGACTTTGATGACATGAAATTGCTATCTGGGGGCTTGTTAGTCAATACAGAGGAAAATTAGTGAACTTCTTATATGGAAATCTTTCCCAAACCTTCTATGCCAAACAGATTTTCAGGATTGAGGCTATATGGCAAAAATGTGTGGTTGATTTTGGAGGATGCACTGTGTCAAGGTCTTGGGTCGCACCTTGTGTTGTTTATACTCAGCCGTGCATACATTTTAGGCCAATATTATGCTTGAAATCCACCGCACTGCTCCAGGATGTCACTGGTTCTGCCTCAACTAAATGTATCATTGTATGGACAGAATCCTCCCTCTTCCCACAAAGACATATTAAAAATCACCAACAATCCAACTCTTAACGTTAAAGGGAAAATACATCATTTGCTTTTGCTATAAATTTCAGAAATGGATGGAATTGGGGGGTTGGAAATATATAGCAAATATAGTTACACTGACTTTTTTAAGGTTTTGGGTTTGAAAATGCTATAAAAACCAAGAAAAACGATCATTTTCCTGTAGTCTGGTTCCCTGACTCCATATAAGCAGAAACAGAGCAGTTTACATACATTGGGGAATTGTAAGGTCAGGGAACCGTCTAGCTGGCTCATACCCGTTCATAGGCTTGTAATCGATTGCAAACAAGTGGGATGGTCAATTGGGGCCAGTATTTGAAAAAAAAAGCCAGTTGTTTCCAATGCTGATCGGCCGATCAGCGTTGGAAATTGATACAAAAATAACACTTTTCTTGAAAATGACAGTATACCAGGTGCTATGATTTTGCAGGATGCTTTACACTGTCATTCACTAACAGTCCAGCAAGGTATTTCCAAATGATTTGGTAGTTTTATTTTTTGATGTTTGCAAATGTTGTATTTTCCCTTTAATCCATTTTCTAGCAAACAAGTTAACCAACCCAACCACCCCCAAACCTCCATCCCCCACCCCCACATTGTCAGACTAATTTGGGACCATTGCCATAGTTGGGCCGTAACAAAAATTCCGAGAAATGTGCTCAAGGATATCAATGGTTTCTTCCAGATCCTCCAGATCCCACTCGATGCTTCGGAGACTATTCCTGAGTTCATTTGTTGTCCAATCGTATTCCTCCTTGCCAACGGAGTTTGTGTCATCCAAGAGTTCGCACCATCTTTGATAAAGCCCTTCCGATGTATTCACCGCTTTCTCAACTTCCCTGTAAAGGCAAATAAAAGTGTGTCAAATTGTTAGTCTTCAACAAACATGTACAAGTCCAATTTGGAAAGAATCGTGCATCCTGATGCCACTTTTTTCTTTATTTCAATGAAGGGCAGTTTTATTGCAAAAAGACAGGAATCTAGGGCTGAGAAACATTTCCAATTTTGTTAGAAAATACTTTGAAAATGCACTTGACTCTCCACAGACTTTATACACAACCAAAAAAGTGGCGTCTGGATAGGCCCACTACATTTTTTCCCCAAAAAATCAGGAATACGCAAAACAATGAGACAAATTTAGCACAAGTAATGTGAACAAAATTGTGTGAGTACAGTGCACTCTCAGTATTTTACCATGTTTACCATGAATTATTGCAATAATTTGAACAAAATTTTGTTCAAATTATTTCAATAATTGATTATTTCATGGCATTATTCCATTAAAACAAATAGCCTAGACAGAAGTAATTTGTTGAACTTTGTTTTGCTTTGTTTTTATCGTGAAATTTCTTTTAAGTGACTGATATAGTGATAATAATTAATATCAACAAATTATAAATTAGGACTAATAACATTGGTAAACTCCATCATATTGTAGCCAATACTTAGTATTTATAATGATTTTTGCTGGCTTTTTAATCCCCCCGAAATTTAATATCACAACTGGTGCATACGAATCCCAAACAGTAAACATCGCCAAATTCGGACGAATCTTCCAACCATAACTTACTCTTTCACGACAAAGAACGGATCCTCCAAAGACATGGTAAAAACTTAGATACTGTCACAGCTTCATCTATAAAATAAAACGGGAAATTCTGAAAATAACTCTCAAATACTGCGCTACATTGTGATTAATTTTGTGTGGATGAACTACGAATCCGTGTACACGATGGCGACTCGACTGAATTCGAGAGTCGGAAGCAATGACGTCATCATTCCTATTTTCCTAAACAAAACAAAAACGTCCCGCATGTCATTTTCATACATTTTAAAAACAAAACAAGAAAAATCTTTCTTTTTTTAAATGAATTTCAAGCATTTTCAAATTACTTGACGCAATTTTTGATTTTTGAGAAAAGAGTCATATCTCCCGAACAAAATAAAGTTGTGGCAAAACTAAAATTAGGCATTTAACTTGACCTCTGACCGAATAAACCATTCCTAAGCCACGGGTTCGTTTCAGCCATGGATTGTCATACAGATGGCTTCGGGAAAAGTGAGACAATCAGATTCATTAATCACGACAAAATTCCACAACCCTTGGTGTGATACCGTTGTAATTTGTCTTGATGGAAAAATGAACTGTGAATTGTTTACGTAGCTAGATTCTTCTCAATCGGTTTATAGAAACAAGACCTAGTTTTCAAAAACTGCCATTGCATGATGGGAAATTTCAATGGCGGCGCCCTTACTAAATTCTTTCGCAGCATAAATATCGTCAAAAGTGATGGTAAGTTAGCAAATTATGCATTTGTTTAAAGTTTGCTTTGACAGAGAAGATAGAGTATATTGCATTCATGCTACAGGGTAAGAATTCGGGGAGTTGGGATGTAATTTTGTGGACAAAACAGTTACGATATTAATACGAACAGAATTTGACATGTTCATGATGTTTGAAAATTGAAATGAATTTTTTTGTACCGCCTGTGTACGTGAACAGCGCCCTCAGCGACTAGATTTTCGATGTTCAAACAATAATATATTGGGAAAAAATTCCATACTCGATCGCCACTTTTTTCAATTAATTTTCTAGCGCCAAAAGTTACATCTTTTATGGTTATTCCCTCCACTTTCCCTCCTCTACTTTCACCCTCTCCTTTCCTTAATTTCTATTAATCAATCAGTCACTTACTTCATGGATTCGAACCTCGGACGCTTGCTTGATACAAGAGACTCTTAACCGCTAGGCCGCGCACGATCGCTGTTGCAATAATCAATCTTTGGACGTATTTGAAGTAGCCATTGATATAAACTAAATATTCATGAGAAAATAAATATTCATAATGACGTATTGCACTATCATTGGCCTGATCATGCGACGTCATGGTTATCGATGTCATGCGTATACCGTACCGCTGTCTTTCAGCCACTACATGTAATCAGTTTTGACCAGCTGCTTCAAGTTAGTTCTGCACGACGTGTGCATCCACAATGTGCTCTAAATGTGCTCTAAAAACACATTTTGCCTAATTTTTTTTCACATTTACACAGCTTCCTGGATTCCTCTTGGTTGAAATCACAAGGTGAGGTGAAAATTGATATGTTTGGCGGCAGTTAAAGTGGCGATCGAGTATGGACATTTTCCCTATAATTGTTTTGATGATAATTAATAAAACATGTGGATTGCAATAAAACATTCGGGTAATCCTTATCTTCTTCGTTTAGGTTTCTCAAGCTAACCGCTAACGGGAATGAATAATGAATATTCATGGCTGTTTTATGGATACCGCCATCTTTGTGATCATGATTCATTTCATCTGTTCATGTGGCATGTGTGGTAATCTTCAGTTTATTGTAAACATACGTTACATGCCTCATCATGCCATTTTGTATCCATAGCATAATACTGCCCCCAAAAATTGCCATGTGATCCAAGACAGAGATGACGGTATCCGTCAACTATGGCAAATGAAGTAGGCCCTAATACTTAAGTGTCACATCTGGTTTTCTCCCTTTCAGATTATTTCCAATTTCGGAGCAGGGAGCTGGATACATCACAAATAAAGTTCAAGTTCCAATGACGGCACATGGAATTTCTCTCTTAATATTTTGACTTTAAGTACATACTTGTCATCATGCCTTCGTCAGTGAAAGTGATCGTTAAGGAACCAGATGTTCTGAAACTTGTGTTGGACTTCTTGAGTTCAAGGGAGTTGTACATGTCCATGAGATCACTGGAGCGGGAAAGTGGAGTCGTTAATGGATTGTTCTCCGATGATGCACTCTTTCTGAGAAACCTTATCTTAGATGGACAGTGGGATGATGTCTTGGAGTTCATTCAGCCCTTGGAGAGCATCGAGAGTTTCGATATTAAAAGTTTTCGTTTTCTGGTTCTGAAGCACAAGTTCCTTGAGATGCTCTGCATGAAAGATGAGGATTTACAACATCTTCAGATGGAGTTCTCCATCGATGAGGTGGTGTCGTGCCTGAATGAACTAGAACCCCACTGCCCTAATAAGGAAGACTACAGCAATTTGTGTTTGCTACTCACCTTGCCACGGTTGACTGATCACGCTGCTTATAAGAACTGGAACCCTAGCAATGCTCGCGTGCAGTGTTTCCAAGATGTCTACCCCCTGGTTGCAAGGTTCCTCCCGGCCGATAAGAACTTGGAGATCAGCGATCACACAGCGAGCAAAGATCGCCTCGTTCAGCTCCTCGTCAAGGGTCTGGTCTTTGAATCCTGCGTGGATTTCTGTCAACAGAGGGCCACAGCTAAGGATGTCCAGTATTCCACACTTCAAGGGATACTGACTGGCTCCGATGCGGATGATGCAGATCTGAGCCTGTTGTCGTGGTTGCAGAGCATCCCTCCAGCAACCTTCAGTTGCCCCTTTGAGCAGAAGTCACTTGATGTCGCCGTCGAGCAGATCAGCAAACCCAGCGCCTCGTGGACGGAGCAGATTATGACTCCGATGACGCCTACGCCGAGCAGTAAACAGCGAGGCTACCCTTCCCCGTCGCCAACCACACCCATCTTATACCGCAACAGACCCTGGTCGGCAGGTTCCTCCCGAGGCTTATCCCAGTCGCTCACCCCGACCTTGGAGGCAGTACTCCTCTCTCAGGGGAAGAAGAAAGAAGACAGTCCTGGTCAGGAGGTTAACATGATGTCACGTTCCATGGGGAACGTTCATCTATCAGGAGGGATGTCGGGGAGTTCGATGAATACTCTGGCGCCCGTAGCTGAAGATGTAGAGAGACCGCCAAGCCAATCAATGAAATTAAAGAGTCCGCAGAAGACAGGAAACCAGACTTTACCAGCCGCTCAGGTGAGGCAAAATTGACACAAAAATAAAGCAATTTCAGTCAAGGAATTATTGTAATTTAGTATTTGCGATCATATTTGTGACGTTCTCCTGCTAATCTCTTACAGCCCATGACGCAACGTTCTCAAGATCCTGGGAACTCAAGTTCTGACGTCTACGCTGAGTTTGTTGCCTCTAAAGCGTTATTCCAGCAGGATTTGGAGCGTCAGGAGAAACACCGGCAGCAACTACAGCAACTTCTACACAGCGAGGGCGCCGCAGGAGATGCGCAGCGTCTGCACAGTAATATGGGAAGCGGAGATAGTCTGGCGTCTCAATCCAAACTGTCACCTGATGCTGGTGTTGTGAATAACAAAGGAAATCAGGTAACACTTGGAACCTATTATCTTTAACCATTTCTCATTTGGATATTTCATTCATAACTTGAATTAAAGTTTTGTGAACCTAACAACACACAATGAAACCACACATACATGTGTAGGAAAACTGACTAGGTGCATTAACAAAGAGATCGACTGGAGTGGGATTTGAACTTGACACTGACTAAAAAGGGAGCCACAGACAAAGGGTTGCATAGCTCAGTTGGTAGAGTTGGTAGAACACCATAATGGTAATCCAGAGGTTGTAGGTTTAAACCCCACTCCAGTAAATTTTTTGATCAGCCTTCAAATAACACACAACAAAAACTGTGTCAGTATCCTGCGGCGCAGTTGCTGTAATATTAACTATTTACGATTTCTGTTATAACATCGTAATGCAAACTACATGTACCTCAAAACTTGAAGATTGTCGTGGTATTGATGTTGTTGCATGTGATGATGGTGTTTACTGTTTACCATTTCTGCATGTATTTGTATAGTACGTTTCTTTCATGTTTTTTTCTGATATCAGCATGCTCGTTATTAACTGTCTTGTTTCTTTCCGTCCTTGTGATTGGTGCTGTGTGAACTTTGACCCTTGGTGCTGTGTGACCCTTGAACTTTTGGTGCTGTGTGAACTTTGACCTTCGTTGTCACGTGACCCCTGATGTCTCTAGGCCACACCCGTGTTTCTCCCCCTCCATATGCAACAACGTCACCCAGCCAACGTTCATTCCAGTACCCCCAAGACCAATCGCTTTGACCCCACGGTCACACCGGAACCAGAAGCTTCCCCAGTCTTGGCTAAAACTAAGTTCACCTACCCTCACTCCTATACCTACAACTCCCGAGGTGACTCGACTGAGGAAGCCGCAAGCGTCGATCCCGTCCGCAGGCTCGAAACCTCTCTGGGAGAAGTGTTAGCGCCTGGCGGCAATTTGATGAACGTTACATATCTGAGTCCTAGCCTCAACCATGTGAAAGGGAACAGTGACGTTGCCGCGGATCAGGCCAGGCCAAACAGATTTCCAGCTCAGGAAGCCGAACGCGATCCCAGAAACTTACCGAATGAGAATCCGGCTAGAAGTCTGAGTAGCTTGCCAAGGGTTTGTTGATAAGTTATTCAAAGTAACAGCTCATAACCAAATTGCTGTTTGTTTTGAAATTTTTTGAGTAGAACGATAGAGTACAGGTAGAACAGCCTGGAGGGCAAAGGCCAAAACTGAATGAGACGTCATAGAAAAATGGAATTAATTTTTTTTTTTCTGTCTAGTTCTTGAGAAATATCAGGTTTTTGGATTTTGTTGATAGTATTGTGTTGCATGCAATCTGTGATGGGTTAGTGTGTGCTGTTTCTGTAACGTGTTCCTTAACATTTATGAGTGAGTTTTAAACTGTTGTGATATCACCCTAATGTTTTCTATTTCAATGAACAATCTCACTATTGTCTAAATTTCCTGTCTGTGGTGATATATCCTATATTTCTATTTCATGGGTTGGCTCAGGGGCTGCAAGGTGCTTTTCAAACTTATCGGAACTATACCCTAAGATCAGTTCTATGACATGTTCATTTGTCATTGTAGAATATGTAGCCAGAAAGAGGACTTCCACACTTTGGCCTATCATTAAAGCATTAATGAATTATAAATTAATTAATTGACCCTTACCTTACCAGTTCCATCAAAATCTATCCCCCTAGTTAGGGGATTTAGGCAGATAAGCCATGTGTACCAAGTCCATCAAAATCCACCAGCACCAGTTGTGGATTTCAACGGATTTTGTCCTGAAGCATTATGAGTGAGTGATGGATTTTGATGGACATGGTCTTCTACTTAGTAAAACCAAGAAGGGAGTTTAGGGTTAATAAACTACCAAAAGAAATATATCAGCAAAACTAAATATCAAAATTTGTAAAAATTTTCATTCCACCAGGACTCAGACAGGACAGCGCCTCGCTATGTGGCTGTGACTACCCTAGAGGATGTGCAGGCAATACGAGCGGTGGCCTTTGACCCCACTGGATCCTTGTATGCTGTGGGGGCTAACTCTAAGACCCTTCGTATCTGCTCCTACCCTGACGTGTCGCATGTTACGTGAGTAATCAAGATTATTGGACATTAACCCTGAATCGTTCTCTAGAAACTTAGCTGAAACGGAGCTCACAAAGTTGTTGAAGTTCTAGCTTACACCAATCAAATATTTAAATGTTGGCATAGGGGGCTAGTGTCTAAAGTGCTACTTTTTTTTTTGGCTGTTTTATTTCCAGTGAGGATGAACCCAAGCAACCCACAGTATTATTCAAACGCACCAGGCATCACAAAGGGTCCATCTACTGTGTCGGGTGGAGCCCCTCTGGTAATCTAATAGCCACAGGTTCCAATGATAAGTTCATCAAGCTGCTGCGGTTTGATCCACAGAAGTGCAACGCAGATGGTGAGTTTTAACTCTCTGGACTTGGTCCATCAAAAGTTTCATTTCATTAGCTTGACAGTTGTGAGCTATCATTGATCTTATATTCCTGAACGCCACATAACCTAAAATAATGTAATAGTCCAAGTGAAGTGAGTTGTGCAGAGGCTAGGCAACTGTAGTCCAAACTTTTCAGGCCAACTTTTTCACAACATACCTGCATAATTCCCTATGGACTCTAAACCTTGCTGAAGTGGTACAACGGTGTGGTGTGTATTTTGCATGAAGTGGTGAAGTAGGGAGGCAAGTAAAAAAAATTGCCGCTGTCCCCCCCCCCCCCCCCCGAAAGAAAATTGTTGACTTCCATGCCCCCACCTCCCTCCCATTCGCTCTCCCATGCCGCCCCTCCCCCCCCCCCAAGAAACTTGCTAGTCCCATATTAAAGTAACCATAGTTAACAGGTTTAACTAAAATTGGGCCCCCATCCCCCACCCAATGTAACATCCAGTCCCCCTTTCTTTCCACCACTCTTGACCTTATCTGTGAAATTTACAGTGTTCTATGAAGTCGTTCACAAGTTGATAATTTACAAATTATATATTTCGGCCCCCAATATTGACGTGGCAATATTGCAATTGTATAACATTGTAATTTGCTTGTTCATAGGTTGATATTTTCTGATAAACCCTTTGTTACTTGCAGGCCCTGATATCGACATGACGATGCACGACGGTACAGTCCGTGATTTAGTCTTTCAGCCAGAGAGTACTCACGGCACTGTGTTGGTCAGCGGTGGTGCCGGTGATTGTAGCATCTATGTCACCGATTGTGGTCGGGCGCAGACCATCCATGCAATGGCAGGACACTCGGGTAAGAAGATGATGCACTCTAGAATCACTTAGAATTACTTACCGTTCCTCATCGATGTAGTCAAGTCCATCACAAGTCCACTCGCAAGAAACAGTAGATGAACAATGACAAAGGAATGCCTTTGTCAAAGCTCCTTTGAATAGCTTGTGAGTTGAATTGGGACTGTGGAGGACTTGTGACCATCCTGATATTGGCTCCTGTTTTGCTAGCAATTCCATTTTTCTGAAAGAATATTTGTGATAAAAATTATTTTTAAATTTTTAACTTCATAAGCAACGAACACTTACCAAGCAAATTCTCCTTTTGATATATTCCCAGAAGCATATAAAAACATAAAAATCAAGTGAAGGAAGTGAATGGCAAATTCAACATGAAAAATTCGACATTGAACAAAAAAAATATCAGTCATCCATTAAAACACCGAAAAAATATCAAGGGCATTGAGCAATTTTGCAAAGTCCACTCCTCCCGACTTCCCCAAATACTGTATAATAGAAAAACTCCACCCTTGCAATAGGCACCTGTTGGATGTGCTCCCTGTTGACTTGTACATTTTTGTTGAATGACTTGGTTGTATATGGTCACTCTTGCAGGCCATGTGTTGTCACTCTACTGCTGGGGTGCTCATATGCTAGTCTCTGGATCTCAGGATAACACAGTCCGTCTATGGGATCTACGGACTCCTCGCTGTATACAGGTTATCGGTACACCCGGCTCGGACTCTGGCCAAGGTAAGACTGTTGTAGAGTGCTTTTATGGATTCTGTTTGCAAGTACCAACTTATTTGGTTACAAAAAGAGAGTTGGGGGAGACTCAAGCGCATCACCTCTGTATGTCGAATCTGTAAACTTGTCAGTGGAAAAGGATTCTATTAATATTAAAAAAAAGAAACTTTTAAATGTCATCTCTTGCTCTTAATCTCAAAAACCAAGTTTGGATATCGCTGAAATCGTTGAAATCACTGACGTCACTGTTATCATTGAAATTACTGATGTCACTGTTATCATTGAAATAATTGAAATCACTGAAATCACTAAAATCACTGAAATCATCTTAATCACCAAACTCATTGAAATTACTGAGATCACTGAAAAAAATCTTAATCACCAAAATCATTGAAATTGTTGAAATCTTTACCAGGCACAGCTGCAGCCACAGTTTGCGTGGACCCGTCCGGCCGATTACTAGCCTCTGGTCATGAGGATAACTCCTGCCTGTTATACGACATTCACGGCGGACGCGTCGTGCAGACGTATCAAAAACACAAAGGAGAAGTTCGTTCAATGAGGTTCTCTCCTGAAGCACTGTATTTGATGTCTGGATCGTACGATGGGACAGTGCTGATCAGTGATTTACAAGGTAAGATACTCTATTCATGTATTACAGTTTATAAAAAAAAACATTCACTCAAACTTTCCCAAATCTGCCACAAGAAAACCTTCCTGCCTGTCACATAAATAAAACAATGCACGTTGACCAGACTGGGACATTGAGTGCAGAAAAACATGCAAATCAAACTCAGGCCAATTTTACTCACTCTTTAGCCAACAAAATTCTCCAAATGTTCATGAGGCAAAGACAAGGTCCTCGATATTTCACCAGCCAAGTCACATGTCAAGCACAAGTCAGTCACATGTCAATCAAATGTCCATCATATTTTTATCTCAATTAAATTTTGTATAGGAGACTTTTATTTTTTCAACATTTTGCACTTGAGAGTGATGCAAAGTTATTTCAATTTGAAGCCTAAGAATAGACTGGTGCATTTCCAACGTTTTTGTGAAGAGTGACCCTTCATTAGTCTGGTGGCACGACTATGGAAATGTGTAGAAATAGAGACTGGTACCAGATGTTTCTTTTGACACAGTTGATTGATGCATTATTAAGGGGTGTTGGACTGGTTGTTTCATGTGCCAGTATTGCATGTTTTACTATCTTAAGTTTTGGGACTCATAGTCATACACAGTATTGAGAGTCCCACATTTTCAAACTAGTTTTGCACGATTGTGATAGATTTTCTTCCCTCTGTTACTTACAGTTATTCTTGTTTTATTTCAGGTGATCTCACCAAACCCTTACCAAGCTCAGTAGCAGCCGAACACAACGACAAGGTCATTCAGTGTCGCTGGCATCCAACTGACTTCACTTTCCTGAGTTCTAGCGCTGATCGGACTGTCTCCTTGTGGGCACCTCTGCAACACTAGGTTCGTTATTAGACAATCAAACAAATGTAAAGCGCGGAATGGAATAGTAGGTCAATTCTGCACTCTCATGTAAGTTGTGTGTGAAGCTAACAGCATGATACAATGTGCAAAATTGAACCTGCCCCCAAGCTATCCAACTGCATAATGTCACCTTGTCAGAGTTGGAATCAAATCACTCATTAGTCAATTGATTGTCCATCACAAGTCAATCACACGTCAATCACACGTCAGTTACATGTCAGTTACATGTCAATCAAATGTCCATCCTATGTCAGTCACATGTCAATCAAATGTCCACCACAAAACAAGTCAATCACATGTCAATCACATGTCAGTCACATGTCAATCAAATGTCCATCATATGTCAGTCACATGTCAATCAAATGTCCATCACAAAACAAGTCAATCACATGTCAATCACATGTCAGTCACACGTCAGTCACATAGTCAAATGTCCATCACAAGTCAGTCACAAGTCAGTCACATATCAGTCAAATGTACATCACAAGTCAGTCGTAAGTCGGTCACAAGTCAATTACTTGTCAATCACAAGTCAATCACACGTCAATCACAAGTCCATCACAAGTCAGTCACAAGTCGGTCACAAGTCAGTCACAATACCTGCACAAGTAAGCAGTGGTATTAACACAGGATGCCAGTGACAAGCAGATTTCCTGTTCACAATATTTGAATAAGTTGTGTCTTGAGAATATAATGACTTAATAATAATAATAATAATAGTGGATATTTATAAAGCGCACGTATCCACCAGGACTGGTGCTGAAGGCGCTACATCATTATCATGATGACTTGTGATTGACTTGCAATGACTTTATCACAAATCTTCACAATGCTTGGGATTTGTGCATACTTAATTTCAAAGTTGCACTTACTGCTACCAGGGCTTGAACATGATGAACAAACCAGGGCAGGCATGTACATGATGTGCTTCTCACTTTGTTCCTGTGTATTTGCTGTAGAGCGCCCTCTTATGGTCTTGCACAGAGTCTGTAATCCTATTTAAAATCATTCAAGCTTTTTGTGGCAGTCAATTGAACATGTTAACACTCTTTGCATTGTGAAATTGCATTGATGTGTAAAAATTGATCCATACATAGAATAATTTGCCAGTTGTAAGTAAAAGGCAGTGTAATGTGCAATATTCAGTGTGTATTATAATCAAGCTAGTTTAACTGTGCTAGTGTTTTTAGGACAATGAGGTCTATGGTCAATATATGTTCATAATGTCAGGTCTAAACCAAGACCACTGGTGTAGGTTGGTAAATTTTCTGTAGAGGATTTTGTAAGGAAGCACAAATGATCGTGGGAAAGCTGACTTCGATATTTTCAACTGCGCATGCGCACAATGATGTGGGTCATTCGGGTTAATTTATTCAACGCTTATTGAAGGCACATGAACGCGCAGGGCCGGAGACGGGCCCATGACACTAGCGCATTAATTACGAGTAGAACATGCAGAATGGGCATGCAGGCAACATCGCGTAACATCACGTCCATTATTTAACCAAGAACGGCACTTACAAGGTGCAGGGTATGAGTAGAAAAACTATCAAAAATTGTCTTTGTGGGGAAAAAAAAAATCAAAAATTGTCTTTGTCGGAAAAAAATAATCATCTTATGGTGTGTATTATTATATGTAAATATGCTGAATACCTGTTTCACTGTAAGACTTAGTGAAGGCTACCTCTATGTTAATATAATGTGTAGGCATGCTTGTAGTTCAGGACTCTTGATTTTTTTTGTGAATTTCAATGTATTATTGTTGAGATTGTATTGTAAAGCACCGATAATAGGGCATATGATATGTACTTCAGCCTATGACTTATAAACTCTTGCAGATTTCGGTTCCGCTTTATCGGATGGGCCATGGAAAAGAAGTAACATGATGTGCTATAAATGACTTCATTTAATTTTTTATGAACAATTCATTTTTGTTGGGAGGGGGCTCAAAACAAAATTGGCAACGGCAACTACAATGTAGCATGCTCTCCTTCCAAGTGCGTCTTGAAAATTTCTCCTAATCCACTATAAATGAAGAAACCTTAGTTGTGTGTGATTTAATGAGTTTGTTTATGTTTGTCTTTGATTTGGACATGCACACAGAGAGGTTGAGTATTTTGAGGTACTTGTACCTAGGAAATTTTACTTTGTATATTTAGTATACATTCAACTTGAAATATTTTTGGTTTTGGAAACATTTAATTTATTTTGCTTTGCTTTACACTTTGCTGATTTGTTTTTAAAGAATTGATTATTGTACATATGTAAAGATACCTTGTTTCTTTTCAAGGGGCTTATTTTGTCTGTTGAACTTGTGCTTCAGAAAAAGAATTCAACACCTTGAACAACTGCTCTGGTGTCCTGCAATGTTTCATTTTAGTACCGATAAACAAATTGTTTCCAATATCAAGACTTAATACTGAACTGCAGTCTCATACAACTTAAGTGTTGAAACGGAAAGCAGTGCTGCCGGCATTTTAAAGGACCCATGACATGAATTTTACTTGTGAACATATTTTTGTGCAACTTTCTACTCCTCTTACATGGATGAAAACTATTTGACATCCAATTTTGGTTAATTTGATTGAAAATTTTTCTTTTTTAAACATTAAAAATGTTCCATGCTTTTTCTGACGAATGGGGGCAATGTTGCTGTGATTTCATTTCAGGAAGACACTGTTCAGTTTTGGGGTTTTCTGTTCAAATTGTGAACCCACAATTTGCTCACTGACAACGTTTTGTAAGAAAAGTTTGCTCATTGGTTTACTTCCATGTACTGACACAACAGCGAATCGCCAAAGAAAAGAACATTTCGACAGCAAAATATCCAAAAATTCTGGCAAATGTTGGTGCTGAAATAGTTGTATCATTGAGGTTTTCTGCCTGAAACGACATCACACTTTTGCTCATAAAAATGTAAATTTTCATTAGCATCAAAACCAAAAAGTCACCAGAATGCCCTTAAAAAATGAAAATTGAAAATACGGTTAAAATGAGACACAAAGTTGCATTTTCAAGGATTACATTTAAAAAAATGAGCCCTTTAAAAGCACTCGTGATTAATTGGGTTTGCAAACATTGTTTGCTGTTTGGAACAAATTTTTCACAGGTTTGAAAGTTAGCATCTTTATCTTTAATTGCAAACTTAGCACGGAAAACAGGCTTATAATTATAATAGTTATTCTTCAAGAGGCATTTTTATTTATAATTATTGTTTGATATTGGATGTAAATCTTGCAATCAAAGATTTCAGAAGACAAAAAAACGTGAATATACCTCAAACAACAGCTTGGATTTAAAGTATAGAATATGCTAAAATTTCATTTAAGGATAGAGTCAAATCTATTTTAGGATTATTTTATTAAACTTAAAAGTCCAAAATGATATCTCTTTTCTAACATTGTCAACCTTAAGAATGAATTAAGTGTTTTCACTAATAAATTCCCATCCCAGAGAGACTAATGACTTTTGACCTTTCCCAGAGACCTGTTCTGTGACCTGTCGATTTTTAATTATACAACTCTGTATAGTGTTGATGTTGCCAAAATATTTATTGTAATAAAGGCTGCCCCCATGCAGTATTGCAAAGAGCTGCAAACAATGTCAAAAACGTATTGTGTCCTTTTTTTTCCTGAGTTGCCCTATATGCCTACATGTACATTGTACATGTACATATTTGGCATAAATTTTATTCACCAAGAGTTATAAATCAGCATTACACCACGGCGGGTCCCAGTAACTAGTTTTCGCATTGCGGTGGCCATGAGAACGCCCAAAGACACGCAACAACTCAAGTCCGCGACGTCAGAAAATTTAGTTCACATGAATAGAATCTTAGGTGTAGCGGGTGAACTTTTATAGCGGTGTGTGCAGGAATTTGTTATTCTTAGGGCCGGGAACAACGTGAACAGTGCGTCGACTTGCTCAGAAGGACCGTGTCTACAGAAGGGAAGGGACCTTGTGTTCTGGGCTCCACTCAGCGGGATTCTCACGCTCAAGGATTATTTCGTGACACAGCAGTGGAAATATATATACAAAAAAGTTGATCCTTCAGATGCGAGGTGTGAAGAAGATAAAAAGGTAAAACCTTATAGCTTAATTCAGATTGGTATCTCAAGGGCACTTTAAAATGTTACTTTCTTAACTCAGTTTCTCAATACATTTTGAAAGGCTATAGGCATCAATGCTGAAAGCTCTTGAACACTTTCAAATGGCCGATTTTTCCAGCATGCATGGGCTACATTAAGTGTTTTTGGTGTTATTGATTTAAGAAAAACTCAATTTCTCAATATATTGTAAAAAGCTATAGCAGTCTCGTGTGTCATAAAATATGTAACTGGTACCATTAAAAGTGCTCTGTTTATATTTAGTTATTTGTTTAATGTTCATTTAAAAATGGTTTGTTCGTAAGCAAATTCATGGCAAAGAACCTCTATCTTTTCAAACAGAGTGCGAAAACATTTACCGATCTCTAGATACAAAAATGTGAAATTACATACCAATTAATAAATTTCCGTTTTCACAAAAACAATATCAATCAGTACAAGTGGACCGCAAATTCTACTATACCCGTATTCATAGAAATTGGTCTTTACTGTAGAGTCAAATCCAGGGATTTAATTTGGCAAACTTCGTAATTTACGAGCGACCAAAATATCCCCTTGTAAATATTTTTGTGTTTTGATATCAATGCATATCGAAGCCTACTACGTGACAGCCACGTACCTAACCTAAGGATCACGCTCCCGACACGGCTGACAAGCGAACTTTACTTGAACAAATAAACAAAATGGCGGGTGGTGAAAATTAATTTCCACGCAATATTATTGTCTGTTTTGTTCTAAAGGGAACTCTGATATGAGCATGAATTCATTGTTTCTAAATTGAAGCAACAAAAACACACATAAGATTACTGCGTCGCAAAGAGTATGTATACTCATTATAAGCATTACTTTCGTCGGGGCGGGGGGCACCGTCCCCCCCCCCCCAATTTTCACAGGCCAACGAAAGCGGTTATAAATGTGCCCCCTCGAGATGAAAACAAAACTACCCCTCAAACGCACGCGTATAAAGGCATGATCGCGCTACAAATAAAATTGTCTCCTCTCATAATGCAAAACTTCCCCTTAGTAAAAAAAAAAAAAAGGACCCCCTCGCTTTAACAAGACTGTGCACCTTCTCGAGATGGAAAACTGCTCCTCGAAAGCACAAACACCCTTCTTGCAATAATAAAATTGTGTCCCTCTCGAGATGGAAAATTGGCCATCAAAAATAGTGCACCTCTCGCAATAACTTCTCGAGATGGGAAACTGCCACTCGAAAGCACAATTACTTAGTGGCCCGCTCGCAACATTATAATTGTTCCCCTTCATGACCCCCAAAATGACAGTGCTCTTCACGAGAATAAAATATGGTCACTGACCTGGCCATCAAAAGCAACAGTGCCCCCTCGCGATAAACAAAAATGGTAAAACTAGAAACACAAATGGACAACGTATTCATAATTTGTTCCTCCGATCGTCATTATTGCTTTAGCGAAATGAACGGGACCATTATTCTTTTCCGTCACTTTCACACCGACAGAAGGTGTCCCCTTTTCCAAGCAAGTGCCCCTTTTACGTGGTGCCCCCCCCCCTCTCCACCCCCCAGTTTGAAATGCGTTCTGCCGCCCCTGACTTTCGGTTACACAAATCAAATGTCTCCACGGAGTTCTGCAAAAGTATTTATTATTCTAAGCATTTTTTCACCACACAAATTCATTGTTTTCATTCCTCCCGGCCTTCGCACGGTCCCGACTATTATTTTGATAGAACTATTGTGTGAGAGTGATGCCTGAAGGTCATCCGAATAGAAGGAACTCCGGTCTTTTTTGCTTCATTTTTTTTTTACAACAAAACAGCATGTTTGAGCCTTGATGTCATGCACGGAATAAAATATATAAATTGAATCATACATGTGCGGCAAACTTACGTATTTCGTGTATGCTGTAATGAAGTTGTTTCACAAAATATATTGTCAAGGAAACGCAGGCGACGCAAAGCACTGTGGGTGGGTCACTTGTCAGAAGCAATGTACGCGTACATGTACCATAGAGCTATTTTAAATTTAACATAGCTCTATGACATGTACCTACATTTCGTGCGCACAGGTCATGCACAAACGGAAGTGCTGACCTTGGGTCACGTGCTTCAGAAATTGTATCAAATCAGAGCTTCAAGAAATTATAGCCACAAATACGGCGAAGGGACATGCGAAGAGACGTGCGAAGTACTGCTCAGTGCACGGCCGTTTAATCATAATCACATTTATACTATAAAAAGTTCGAAGTACCGGTAGTATTTTTACCTCAACCATTTCCAGTAGAGAAAATAGTCATTGATTTATGCATTTCGTATTCAAGGTGAACGGCAAGAACGGAGTACTTACACGGTTTGGTGACAAAATGAGGGGAGGTTGCGAAGGGCTTGGGAGACGCGACGGGACGGCCAGGTGGGCTGGGCACCGGGTGAGCTGCGGGCCTTTTCTCGTGGTGATATTGATGGGGATTGTGACACTCCGGACTTTTGGTCTAGCTCAACTTGCGGATGCTGATACGGTAAGATCTACCAAAGAAAGTATGAATTGAAAGTCATATTGTTAAATATGTGAGGAAGATTACAAGAAGTTATCCACGTGTAAGCCTATATTTCTTACTAACGCTCTAATATTCTTTCCGACCGGTATATATTTTTTTATAATTATGCACTCATATTTTGTTTATTTTTCACCTTAAAAAGCAATTAAATTTGATACACAAAATGTCTTAAAAGAGCATGTTCTTCCACTCATCTGAAAAAGACAGAATTACTGTAATTGATCCATGCTCTCAGAAGTTATGCATGTTTTACTAAAAGAACCCATTTTGGATAGCTGCCATAGAATGCAATTGGAAGCTATGGAGCAAAGTGAGAATTACAGATTACACACAAGCATTTAAATAACACAATTTTAATCACAAAATCAAGACTGAAAATATTTAAACTAATTTTTAAACTAATTTTTCCTTCTATTCGGTCACTTCTTTTTGACTCAACCTGTATATTCAGTCGTCGATACTGCGCTCTCAATATTTGGGGTCGTCCATTTTGAAAATAAAGACAAACTTTAATTGCACTTTTGTTCTGTCCTGACTGCGGGTCATTGCTTTTAATAATATTAGTAGTTTAATAAAGTAAGGAAAAACTGTATAGTAATAAAGTCAGAATAAGTTCGCAGTGAGATAAATGGACAATAATATTTGTATGCATTTTGTCAAAAAATGCCGAAATGTTCGGTACATTTATGCATGTAGATATACAGGATGAGTAAAAAAACAAACAAATGGCAGGATCAATTTTTGAAGAAAGTTTTGCCTGTAGTACTTTCAAAATCTAGGATATGAAAGCCCAATAAAGCATTCTTTTAGTACAAGAATCATTCAAATCACTCATTTACTTTTCGAGTTACGGAATTTAGAGCACAAACACCATCTTAAAGTTCTGTCAACGGATCACAAAAAAATAGCGGCGTTCTGTGGTCAATATATATTTTTTTTTGAGAAAAAAAGTATATTAACACAGTATTTCCCTCAGCTTTACCCACTTGAGCCGAGTGCTCAACGCCTATTCGTGGTGTGATACAATGTACTGTCAAAATATTTGCAACGCAAGTGTCAAGCTCGGCCCCGTTAAATAAATTTTGCTGCGTGGAATTTCTGGGGTGCAATATTCTTGGGGTTCCGTGGATCAGTGCACGCGCCCGTGTCACCGGCGCGCCCCTCCGAGGCAGCCGCCGGTCAATCTAGTTTGATCACCCCTAGCACTCCCATCGGAGGTGCGCTGAACTTTTAATTCCTTTCTTTTTCTCATTCATCATTCTGTGGTTTGGTGGATGGAGGTTTAAGGGGCGTGGCAAGAGGGGTGGCCGTGGGTACGGGGCTCATCGGCCACAGACGGCTGATGATCGTGTTAGTTCCGCAGATAGGTGATGGGGCTGTACCTTTGATGCAAGCATGGCATTTTGACATAGATAGAATAGAATATACATACATAATATATAGATTAGAATACCAAGCAATGCAGCCATTTTGAAAATTGCTTGTTATTCTACCAATATTTCTTCAAAGGACAAATCTGCGATGGCCCTATAGCCTAACATCTTTCTTGAGGCATACTGTGACCGTGTGTCAAGTGCCATGCTTGTATCATCAGAGGCGTAATTCCCCAAAATATTTCCCCTAGGCTGCCCCTCTGTGTATGCTCCATTTACGCTATACGGACCTACCATATCTCACGGACAAAGAAGTCTAAATCTTGGAAAGGCATGAGGGCAGACTGTGTCGCCACTCCCAAGCCACACAAATACTCCCAAACCAGGAGGAAATTAAGACAATTGGTGCTTTTTAGAAAGAGCACCAGACGGAAAAAAATCCCCGTCTGATCGGAAGTGAGATCGCCCGCTTCTCCTGTTCAAGGTTCGAGCGTTTTGTTCGCCCCTTCCGGCAGCGGTGATACAGCCTCATTAGTAGTAAAGGCACAAGTGAAATGGTTTAGAAAGGTCACTAGAGTCCACGAAATAAGAAAATGATTATTAAAGCTCTTCGGGTTGAACATTTAATTGATTTTTTTTTATTTTTTTTATTGTCAACAAATTTCAGACGAGTGACCTTCTCAAAGATGTAGACACACTGGAATCAAAACCAGGTAAGAATTTACCGTATGCAAGGGATCGACGACAAAATTTGCGTTATTAAGAATACAAGGTGAAAGACCGAGCTTTTTATTTGTCCGGACTCCTAGGCAACTGGAAACTACCACCATACAATTTGGAATCGCTAAAAACCAAGGGCCCTCAGAAAAAATCGGCGTCTGAGATTCAGAAAAGAAAGTGCCGGAAATTTTGCATATAATTACCATAAAGCCCATACGATTAAAGAGTACAAAGAGGGAAATATGATTATATACGTTTGTCAAAATATTAGGCCTATGCGTAAAAGTGCATTGCATCAAGTTACAAGTTGTCCCAGTAGCACGAACTTTCAGTGCAGACCGATAATCCTACCTTGAAAAAGAGGCGCGCCCTCATAATCTTGCCGCAGGCAGTCATTTACAATAAGCTAGGGGATTTCAAGCTCGATAAACCTAAAGCGGTGAATGAAATACTTCAAAGAATTAGACCTATTCACATTCTGAAAAAAACAGGAATCTTATCCTGACATAGTTCCACAATAGTTCAGAGAAAAACATTCAATAGGCCCACTTACTTTTTTGTTCATACCCGAATTCACATATATACCAATCGGATAATTTCACTCGACCTCTTTGTCGAATAGTTATGAGGACGAACGACTTTCTGGCCCCATTTAATGTGTCCACGACTGCCCCAATGACACGCTTATTTTCTTCCAACTCCCCCAGCGATAATCCTCTTATATTACCTGAGCTTATATTTAAACCACGAGGCCGCCCCCTCGACATCGCTGGAATGCTTCACTCTCTGCTCCCCCGGCCGTCAATCAGACAAGCTTAACTTTATTAAGTTTGTGCAGTTTTCTCCAATCTATTGACGATTTGTTGTAAAAAAAAAAATTAACGAATTGAACAGGTATACATAATTAAAAGAGTACAGTGAATATGATAACGTAATCAATTCATGACATTTTTTAAAGAAAATATTTGATACCCTCATTTTCAAAGATGTCACTTCTGCTGATCCGAGACACACTGCCACAGTTACGAGCGCAACACAACACCCCGAGAATCTGAGCGAGCAACCGTCAGGCTGCTTGGCGGGGCAAGAGGCCGATTCAGCCGGCGGGGCTGGTGACCCAAAGTGCCGGGACCAGTCCAGGAATTCCGCGGCGAGGCTGGACACACATGTAGGTTTTTAGAGTTTGACTGGCTAAAGTTTCGAATATTATATACACCCCTTGCATTTTAAGTCACGTTCTGAGGGTATAGTCCTGAGGGTATAGTTCGGAGAACAAAAACTGCCCTACGAGGGCGCGCCGTTCAAGAAAAAGAACTTCTTTTGAATACATTTTCAATCGATAAAAGGGACATTCTTTGTTTTCTTTCTCAAGGTTGACCTACTTCAAGTCGGATCTACTGAACATGGTAAGCTCTACTTATTACAGTTACGGGTCAATCCTGGCAAAGATTTAGAAATGCGGGTTGTAAAACTGATTAAAAATAAATCTAGCGACGGAAAACTTAAGCTGTTATACTTGGTCATACAATTTCCTGGTAATACGCGCAAAGGTGCTACAATTAATAAGAAAACGTAAAATGTAAAAAGTTTCTCACATTTGTTGATTTGTTTGCATCCAGTTTGTTACCTCAAATAAATATGTACGAAGCAAATGCGTTCGGTGTGTAATGTTGTGCAGACTGAGGACATAAGATATAATATCAAAGCAATAATTACTGCAAAATCAACGCATGTCGCACGATGTTGACAAAAAAACGTTTTCTGATTGTTTTAGCACCGACAGAGAAACGTTGATCAAAATAAATTTTAAAAGACCGTCACGGTTTTCTGACAAGATTGATGGCTTAAAAAATACGTATATTGCGCCTACCAAGATTGTTTGACGGAAATATGTGTTGTAATCAAATAAACAAGCGAGCCTGAAAGGAAAAAAATCTCCTCCCTCCAAAAAAACCTACGAGACTATTGAATGTACATTTGCCACGTCACGAGCAGACATTTCCTCGGGCGATAGCGGAATTGCCGTCATTTACCGTAATTGTGTTATTTTCACGGATATTATGGCGATTTTACGGTTGGGTGTCCCCACACAACACGGGCAGGAAAGCAGGACACAAAGGAAAGAATGCGTGTAAACACCGTACCAAGAATTCAAAAGATAATACAAGCAGCATGTGCGTCATTACATTACTTGTGAACTGGAAGGAAAGGGAAAAAAATCACATAACACTGAACAGTAAAATATCATGCACTTTAAAATTACCACTATTCATAAAAATAATAAAATGTATTTTTATGAATGCTTAATAATATTTATTCGTTTTTTATTATATTGTTAATGAACTTATGCCATAAAAAGTATTTAAATAAATTCAAAAGAAAATTACCAACTGCTAAATTTGTTGAATTGTTACATTCTAAAACCAAACATGTCAATTACATAAGAAATAATTGAACGCCGTCTATGAGCATATTTATTTGAAGAATATGTAATAATAATGGACGATGCTTTGCCGGAAAACTTCCTAAAACTGGTACAAACTGTACCTCGATGCGTTGAAAAGCAAATGGCTATCCAGTTTTTGGTGCATTTATAAGTATAGAAATACGGTGTAACAAAGAAATTGTAACTTGCGAAAGATGAATTTAAAAAAGTTTACATTTAATTCTATGTCCAATAACGTTCACCTTGTCTAGCGTCTCGATTTGCGAAGCGCATTTAGTGAAATAATGACTTTGCTGAAAGAAACGACTTCACTTGTTATACAGGATGTTGCTCCTTTTTCTTGACAGATGCAGACCCATGCTCACTACAGCCATGCGGGGACGGTACTTGCGAGGTGAGAAACAAATCACTAAGAAATTGTAGCAAAGACTGACCCAATCTTGACTATTACATGTACATACAAGCATTGCAGTCATAGCTGGGATGCGTCTTTTATTCCGCAGGGATACGCACAAGAAGATCTCTTGTAGACTCCTTGTTACCGAATTTAAACTTTTGAACGACAATCACTGATGTAATTAATCATAAAATTACAATAAAACGGTACATTAACAATTTTACAACCCTTTTCTTTGAATTCTATTTCTTGGAATAGAGGCTGCAGTCTGGTTTTCGGTGTTTTTGCGCTCCACCTTGGACTGGACCTTTATGCCTGATGGAATTCCTTCCTTCCCCCTGCGAAAGTACACCGTGTACGAATCGGGCCACATGCCTGGAAACACCGACCGGCTATCGGTGTTTATGCCCTGCAGGTTTCACCGGTTCAAGCTGTGAGACCGACATTGTCGACTGTGGTTCTTCACCGTGCGAACACGGCGCTATCTGCATCGATGGATTTGAGTCTGGGGGTTTTACCTGCATTTGTACGATGGGATACCGTGGCACTCGCTGCCAGATCAATGTCGACGATTGCTTGCCGGGACGGTGTCGACACAATGCTACATGTGTCGACCTTGTGGCTGACTACGCCTGCATATGCCCCAAGGGATTCTATGGCAAGTTCTGCGAGTTTGATGTCGACGAATGCATGAGCAATCCTTGTCGAAATGGAGCAGAATGTGTCGAACTCAGCGGGGACTACAGTTGCGAGTGTGGCCCAGAATTCACCGGCAGAAATTGCGAGTCTCGTCTGATCGACACCTGCGCAACAAGCCCGTGTGAGAACGGCGGCACGTGTGTTGATCACAGCCAGGGGACGTTCAGCTGCCACTGTGCGGTAGGGTACGAAGGGGAGAGATGCCAGACCGAAGTAAACGAGTGCCAAACGACAAAGAAGAAACGAAAGTCTGATTCGACAGGATTGTGCAACAATGGTGGGACATGTGAGGATCTAGTGGGTGGGTACAAGTGTCATTGCCTTCCTGGATTCAAAGGCAAACACTGTCATACCAAAATCAACGAATGTGTGAGTTCTCCATGTCAGTACGGTGTGTGTCAAGATCAGCATAATAGCTACAGGTGTGTGTGTCTCCCTGGATTCCAAGGGGTGCACTGTGAGATCAATGTCAATGAATGTGACAGTGACCCCTGTGTGAATAATGCCACATGCATTGACCTCATTGATGGCTTCTACTGCGCATGCCATCGGGACTATCATGGGATGTTCTGTGAACTCCCGACCAACCGCTGCTCTTCAGACCCTTGCCAGAACCAGGGTGTGTGTTACAACATGGAAATGGATTTCACGTGCGAATGCCAGCGGGGTTACACTGGTAAGACCTGTGGGCTCGAGGTGGATGAATGTGTGTCCGATCCTTGTCAGAATGGCGCAACTTGCGTCGACACCATCGGCGGTTATTCCTGTTTCTGCCTTCTTGGCTTTGAAGGACTCCACTGTGAAATACTTGTGGATGATTGTGAGACGGACCCATGCCTGAACCAGGGAACTTGCCTAGATGGCATCGGCACGTTCTACTGTGCGTGCTCACCGGGATACTACGGAGTGATCTGCGAGCATGACATCAACGAATGCTGGTCAGATCCTTGCCAGAACTTCGGTGGATGCTTGGATCTGATTGACGATTACATTTGCAACTGTGCACCGGGTTTCACGGGCAAGCAGTGCCAAATTGACATACAGGAGTGCGTGTCGGCACCGTGCTTACACGGTGGCACTTGCGTGGACTTGGTGGCTACCTACAGGTGCGACTGTCCTGTCGGCTACACCGGGCAAAACTGCGAGGTGAACATGGATGAGTGCGCGGGGCGGCCCTGCTTCAACGCGGCGACCTGCGTGGACGGGATCGGTGAGTTCCGCTGCTACTGTCGAGACGGTTATGAGGGGGAATCCTGCGAGGTTAACGTGGATGAATGCGACTCAAACCCATGCGAGAACGGCGGTGTTTGCTACGACCAGGTAGATGGGTTTTACTGCCAGTGCCCGGCTGGGTTTGTCGGTCAACGATGTCAGAGCGACACGGACGAGTGTGCTGGTAACCCCTGTTTGCACGAGTCGACATGTCTGGACATGGTGCATGATTTCATTTGTCTGTGCGCAGCTGGTTTTACCGGTACCTACTGCGAGGAGAATATTGATGACTGTGAAGATGGACCCTGTGTGCACGGTACTTGTATAGATGGAGTCGATGGATACCTGTGCTCCTGCCAAGACGGTAAGTATCAAAGACCCAAGATGAAAATGTTTGGTGCTGAAAAGAATGAGTGGAGGAAGGAACAAAAAGTGATATTCGAATGCTTGCAAACACTAACAAAAATTAAAAAACTACTTTTGAAACAATGCAACCATCAACAATTTATTATTCCGAAATACTAAAGCCAGGCTGAGTGGGAACATTCAAGTTGTTTCACTAACCGAAATCAAGAATTGTGGATTTTTAAAGTTTTAGAAAACTCAGAACTCATGTAGAACTCATGTTTTTTGTCACCCAGGGTTCACCGGACAGAACTGTGATGAGCAGATTGACGAGTGCGCCAGCTTTCCCTGCCAACAAAATGGCTCCTGCGTCAATCAGAGGAACAGCTTTGTGTGTCGATGTTTGCCAGGCACTGAGGGAAGACTTTGCGAACTCACCACTGACAACTGCCTCTCTGCTCCCTGTTTGCACAACGGGACGTGCTGGACGGACGACTCGGCATTTAGCTGCGACTGCGCCGACGGCTACGGCGGAGAGAGATGCGAGATCAATCTGGACGAGTGTTCCAGCTCGCCATGCCAAAATAACGGTCGGTGTGTCGACAGAACGGGCTGGTACCAGTGCGTCTGCGCACCCGGCTATCTAGGGATCAACTGTGAGGTCGACAACGATGACTGTGCGCCGAATCCCTGCGCGCATCGCAATGCTACGTGCGTCGATTTGCCGAATGGGTTTGAGTGTCTTTGCCCGCCTGGTTTTGAAGGAAAAAAGTGCGAAGTAGAAATTGATGAATGCAAGTCGACACCATGTGCTGGAAACGCTACATGTTTAAAAGGAGACGATGGTTTCACTTGTTTATGTCCTCCAGGAGTCACAGGATTTCTGTGTGATGTGCAGCTGTATGAATGCAGCAGCAACCCGTGTCGAAACGGTGCTTATTGTGTCGATCAGATGAACGCATTCGAGTGTCGATGCCGTAGAGGATTTACAGGTTCACAGTGCGAGATGGAGATATCAGAATGCGAGAGCAGCCCGTGCTTGAACAATGGGTCGTGTGTCGATCTGATCGACGGCTTCAAGTGTGAGTGTCTTGGAGGATACATCGGAGTCCACTGCCAGGCAGAGATTGATGAGTGTCAGTCCAATCCTTGTATGCATGGCGGGGAATGCGTAGATGAAGTGGACGGATTTACTTGCGATTGCTTGCCAGGGTACGATGGCGTTTTATGCCAGGAGAACATTGACGAGTGCAGAAGTTCACCGTGCATAGATGAGGTAGACTCACAGCACGCCAGTGTGTGCGTAGACATGGTGGATGGTTTCAGGTGCATCTGCCCGCAATCTAGGACAGGAGAAAGGTGTGAGACCTCAGTCAACGTCTGCTGGAGTAACCCGTGTAAAAACAACGCAACGTGTCTTTTGGTAGACGGGGGATTGGAATGTGAATGCCCAACCGGAGTAGCAGGACTTCTATGCGATGTGATACTGCCTGCTTGTAGTAGCAGTCCTTGTCAAAATGGCGGCAGCTGTTCCAGCCACCCAAGTGGTGGGTTCTTGTGTTTGTGCAGGCCAGGGTACACCGGGGATCGATGCGAGAATCAGACGAATGAATGTGCCAGCGATCCTTGTCGAAACAACGCAACTTGTCTGGACTTGGAGGATGGTTACCGTTGCGAATGCGTGGAAGGGTTAGCTGGGTTGGATTGTGGGATGGACGTGGACGAGTGCCGGTCAGAACCGTGTATGCATGGCGGGCAATGCCTGGATCTGATCGGGGGTTTCTTCTGTGAGTGTCCGCTGGGCTTTGACGGCGTGCTCTGCCAACATGACATGGATGAGTGTGCCAGCTCGCCGTGTGTCGGTGAGGGCAACGAAATCCAGGGATACGGAAGCGTGTGCATAGATGTGGTAGGTGGATACCGATGTATTTGCCCGCCCAGTCAAACAGGGGAGCATTGTGAGGTGTGGATTGATTCCTGTTGGAGTGACCCGTGCCAGAACCAAGGCACCTGCCACTCATTAGAGGGGAAATTTGCATGTGTCTGCCCATCGGGCTTTACAGGTGAGACATGCTCCGTCAACATAGATGACTGTGCCAGTGGACCATGTGTTTATGGCCAGTGTATCGATGGCGTGGACTCGTACCGCTGCAAGTGTCTGTATGGTTTTCAGGGAGAGCACTGTGAGAAGAACATCAACGATTGTCAACCGGACCCGTGTTTTAACAAGGCAACCTGTGTGGATATGATCAGTGGCTTCGCCTGCCTTTGCAAGCCTGGGTTCTCAGGCAAAGGGTGCAAGGACGTCAAGTATCCATGCGCGGACGACCCGTGTCTCCATGGAGGGACGTGTGTAGACAGCACTGGAATGGGAGACGAGTACTGGTGTACGTGTCCCGATGGTTGGGCGGGACGATACTGCGAGGTGCGGGTTGGTGCTTGCCTCTCGCAACCTTGCCGTAACTGTGGTCGCTGTGTCCCATCCAACGAGCCGAACGGTGACGGGTTCGTCTGTCAGTGCGAGGAGGGTTTCACTGGGGAAGTCTGCGAGACTATGATCGACTTCTGTGCTGGAAATCCTTGCACAGAGGCTGGGACGTGTTTACGGGAGGCTAGAGGATTCAAGTGCGTCTGCATGCACGGTGAGTAACTACTCATTGGGCAACCCTAACCCCATCCCTACCTGAAAAAAAATACAATATCACTTCACTACACTGAGGGCAGGTTAAAAGGTGTCGATCGGCTTAGGGCTGCGGCTCATGCAAATGCATGGTCCAGTGGTTACGTTGTTTGACTCATGTACGATGGTGCGTGGGTTCGAACCCTGCCAGGAACATGCTGTTTGTGCCCTTGGGCAAGACACTTAACTACAATTGCCTCTCTCCACCCAGGAAAATGAATGGTATACCTGTGAGAAAGAAGACCGAATGTGCGCTGATATTGGCTGCCGCGTGGTCTCTTGGCCTGATGAATGGGGAATAAGCTATATTTATTTGGACTTTTTTGTACATCGTAAGGCTATGACCCCTTGAACAGAGCAACCATGAAATTTCTTTGTTCTTTACATTAAATGACTATGAAAGTACAAAATTGTCACGCATACGTATCTCACAGGAACAAACACATGATCAGTGAGGATAAGAAATGGTTGAACAGAGCATTACTACAAATAACCCAGAAAGTGGCGATCTATTTTATCAGAATTCCATGAATATACATTTTGCCATGATGTCATCTGGACTATTTACTTATGATGTGTCCAATGCCCCTTTCCCATCTATCAGGGTACGTTGGTCAACGCTGTGAGATCCATCAGCAGCCACTGAGATGAGAGAGGGGACTTCAAGAAGTAACTACAGCCTCACCATCCAGTATGCATCAAGCATTTCGGCGCCAAGATTGCTCAAAGAACATTGGGATCTTATAAACTCTACAAAAGATGCTCACACTGGGACGATTCTACTCGAAACAGTAGTATACAAATGGTGTATATAGGACAAGAGGATCCTGTTTTTAGACTGAGTTTTGCTCAGGTCGCAACAAATTTATGTGCGAAACGTTCTGTGCGAGAAACTCTGGATCGATGGCATTAGTATAACTTTTTATGCCACCTTGCGAACACAAATTTCACCTGAACAGATGACCAGAGTTTTATTATTTTTTTTTTTTAAATCGATGTTAAAACATGTAAAAGGCATTATGTTTGGCATGAAACAAACGATTGTCAGTTATACTAATTATAAATGGGATTATTGGTGGGAAAATTTCGCTCAACTTTCGTGGGGTTATCATAAAAGTTAAAATATATATATCTTTATTTCCTCCGGATAAATAATCCAAAAGTTGAACAACAATGACATGGACGAATCCCTTTAATACAGATGATGTGAATATATTTTTGAAAATGTACATATGAATAAACAGTTTCACAGAAAGGTTGTAACTGTCCTGTATATTAATATTTTTGGTTATGAACATGCTTAGTACTGAAAGATAATTGTCCCAATTAAACGCAAAGGTCGAAGATCGCGACCCTTGGACTCGATATCAGGTGGTTTTCCACTGCAGATAAATGGCGCGGTTACGTTGGGAATACCCTTTGCATTGTTATGTACAATTCTATTGACACAGTATGAGTACATATTTACATGCAGACAATTTTCCTCGCATCACCAGAGTACGTCACATTATTGCTAAATATCATGTGATGGAAACAAACTATGAAATGGCTGAACTACTAAAGTCACGTGTCGGTGTGTTGCTAGCATTGAGCAACTGGACGTTATGGACATTTAGATCCAAAAAGGCATCTGAGCACGAAACATTTCCTAGTAGGGACACTAACTTCTAGCAATAGCCACACTGTATCAGCTTTCATAGCAGTTACGTCAGTTTTCACCAATATCAACTTTACATATAGTGCAGGACGTGCCCCGTTGAACAACAGCATTATGGGAATAAATATTGTTCTGGGCTCTTTGGATTTCCCGCACTAAGCAGGCCCAATACCACCAAAAAGTACAAGGAATTGCATTCTTCTATCCAGCGCTTAAATGAAACCAAAGCCGAGATGTCATGTGCTATATGTATGGAGCAACTACAGCAGAGCCAGCAGCCCAAGGTGCTGAGTTGTGGTCACTCTTTCTGTTTGGCGTGCATCGAGCACTGGTTCGATTCCAAGCAGCGGCGTGCCCCTAAGGACGGATCTAGACGTCGTGCGGTGCGATGCCCGGTCTGCTTACAGTATACCCCACTGCCGACAGAAGGTTTGACATCGCTGCCTACCAACTTCGCATTATTGGAGGCACGAGAGGAGAACTCGATCAAACTATGTGACGATGATGATGGTGATAGATCATCTCGGATGTGTTTACTTCATGTTGGTAAAATACTGGAGTTCCAGTGCAAGACCTGCGCTGGGCAGCTGGTTTGCCGGCAGTGTGTTGGATCCCAGCACCGGCCGGCTGCCGGTCATCGCATTGGTAGCCTCGCGTCGCTGGTCCGTAGGCAGTCTACCGAGAGGGCCGAGCTAGAACAGATGGTGATGGAACTCCAAATGAGAACCATTGAATTAACCGAAAGTAATGCAGTCCTTCAGTTAGATCTACTTGACCGTGAAAGCAATTCGAAAACAAACTTTATAACGACTACTGAGAAAGATATTAATTCTGAAAAATCCGGTACCGGCGAAACATCCAAATCAGAAACAGGATGCAGTTCAGACGACACAGTAATTCTGGGGACAGAGACATACCAGACGCAGCCAAGACCAAGATTAAGGTCGGGGAACCTTCCAGAGGGGAAGAGGAGGCCACCACCCGTCCCACCTAACTTGAAAACCAAGTCTCTTCCATCTGCAGGATTGGAGAGAAAGTATGGAGTTCCACCACCACCTCCGTCATCCCACACCAGAGACAACCGCCAGTCCAACACCTTGCCAATTAGATCTCCTCCGCCACCACCCCCTTCGTCAGCAAATCAACGGTCTGCTGGACAAGGGTTACCAACATCCACTCAAGTCGGGGACGGGCATCAGCCGAGAAGGTATCCTTCCAGAAACAACCGCCAGCCCCACACTTTGCCGCCACCACCACCAACCGCTCCGTCAGAAAGTCACCGGTCTGCTGGACCAGAGTCACCAACATCATCATCTGCTGTCGGGGACCAGCAAACTGTTTGTGACCGACTAGCTCCCAGCGTGCTTCCAAGAAGGCATCAACCTGCCGGCGTCACACGCGTCGACTCCCGATCCCTCAGACCACACCTGCATGCAAGGGTCCCCTCGTCTACCTCTGCTCAATCAGACAATTCCATGACCGAGTCACCATCACACTTGGAAACAAGCCAACAGTCTTATCCTCGACGATCGAGAGGCATGGCTCCACCTCCTCCTCCACCGCGTCCGAAGACGAGGCCCCCATCACACCCAGCCGGTCGGTCCACTTGAGCTCCGTCAGCGACAACCGGCGGATGTGGTGTGACATTTGGACACTATGAAATAAGGACTACATGTAATGGGTTGTATTGCGCCGGCATGCCTATTAAGTGGACAGAATTAGCAGTGGCAGGTCACATGTGAGGGTCAGAATCTACAGGGTGAGTAACAAAAAGCGGAATCCAAACTACTAAAAAATATATTTCATAATTATTCAAAAAAATATGTAGCACCAAAAATAATAATTACTGGAAAGCCAATTTCATAAACTACTTTTAGATAAAAAAGTTACTGAAATTACCCCGTCCGTTCAAAAATCACCATTTAAACGCAATGACCATAAAACCTCTTTTGTCCAAAAATGAGATTTCAAGAATTGTCGTCACAATTGACTTCAAACATCACCAGCGATAAAACATCAGTTTAAAAGTAAAAGATATTCTACAAAGTCCTTTTGAAGGCCGTCTTTTAAAAAAAGAGTTGATTTTAGTATAAATCATATTGTTTGACCAGACAGTTGTTGAAAAAAGAATTCTGTGTCATTTTCTTTGTTGTTCCAAATAGTCAGAACACACAATAAATTGTTTGGTTTTTTTGTTGAACGAAACAGGTTTTAGGTTCTTTGCGTTTAAATGTTGATATTCTTTGAACGGATTGAGCAATTTCAGAATCTAAAACTAGTTTATGAAATTGGCTTCCCAGTCATCATTATTTTTGGTGCTAAAATATGAATTATATTTAAGGAGGTTTGGGTTTCGCTTTTTTGACTCACCCTGTTTACATGGTAAAAAGAGACCAATCTTTCTAAGAGGCCAAATTTCATACGAACATCGGCCTTGGCTAGTCTAGGGTCAAACGTTGATTTGATTTTATATTTTGTTCCCCAAATGCAGAAAAACAATAATAAACAATAATGAAAAAGCTATATTGTTCTTACAATGCCTATAAGGCCTTTATTACATTTTTGAAAGTATTTCCCATTAGTAGCAGTCTGTAAATTTACAATATCAATTTTGAAACTGACAGTTATGCAATAGCGGTGTTTTTTTTCTCCCAATTATTATTTTTGCATCACCATTACAAACACAGCCTTACCAACTTCAATGTATTCACAGTAAACTGTACAATATTACAATCGATTCATCTCTCAGAACCATGCTCAGTTTTCGTTTTCTGATAAATACATTGATCTAAAAAAAAATACGCTTGTATAAAGCTGCAATTTTTATTGAAGAATAGACACGAAAATAAGTAAGCAAACACTCGGCCATATTCCCACAGATTTTGTACAACTTCAAATTACTCCAATTTCACAGAACTTCACACAAAAAGGGAGTTTTATGGCAAGAGTTGACTTCACGTCTCTATGGATACAGCTATATGTGTTTTCATCGTCTCCAAGAATACCAACATTTCATATGGGAAATGTTGAGCATTTTATTCACAAACTTACAGGAATTAAATATTCTCTGAAAACTGTCGTAATTAGTTAAGTTTGCTAGGCTAGAGACTAAAACTGATTAAATGTGAATGCAGCATGGTTTTATGGTTGAAGTCAGACTCAACAGAAATGAAATGGCCGTGAAGGAACCTAGGCGTGACACTTTCCTTGAAGAAATACACAAATTCTTCCAGATGACACAGTGTCAAACACATGTCCATTCCATGTAAATGGAGAAAAAAAAACATCGTGGAGGACCGAGACCAGGACATATCTCAAATTTGTCATTCCATTTCTTGATGTACACTCATCAGTAAAATTGTCAGCACATTAGAAAGCTTGTAAGTATAACCATAAGGTTTTTTTTTTAAACTATCTCAGTCTAGCCATCGCAATAATGAACAATGTATGTATTACACTACTTCCAATGATGAATTATCAGTTGCACTTGAATAAACATGTACATGAAATAGCAGTCGCTTATAAAATACTGCTGTCTGTCAACAGTGTTGTGGCGCAGTGAATTAGTTGCATCATCCATAGAGCTAGCACACTAGTCTTATCCGTGACCCTAGAAGTCGCTCGACAGCCAGTGTATGTACATGTACATGTACTGAACATGTACTGGACCAAAGTCCGTATAATGAACCAACCAACGGCTGTTTGATGACATGCGGTAATACTTTTTTTCCCCCGAAAGCCAGTGTGGACGGTAATTCTGTCCCCTGGTAAAAGTGTCCGGGGGGACAGAATTTATACCTAGGTAAAAGTGTCCCCCCTGTCCCGTTAATTCTGTCCCCCTCCAGGTAATTCTGTCCCCTCCAGTTAATTCTGTCCCCCCTGGTTTTGCACGCATAAGTTGTTATATTGATGTTATTATAATGAATTCAGCGCACAGGGTATACATTTTTAGATTTTTCCACCCTTCATCAATGATTATCAAAATGAATTTAACGTTTAGATGTTAATCATAGAGCTGTATAATAAAGTTTATTATACAGCTCTATGATGTTAATCAACCGATCTATGTTTCTGCAAGAAAGCAGAAAAGGCACGCGTAGTAATACTCAACCTATCGCTAGCGCACGCCCTCCGTAGGTGCGGTACACTCGCGCGCCCTCCCACCATGCAAATCGCTCGCTCCCGAAGTCGTCATCAAAACGTCGGAGTTGTGCTTTGACGTGACATAAGCACCATTCCCGAATTTAGCAAGGCGCCGCGCAAAAACAGTTAATAACTTTACTAATATACAGTCTGGGTGGTAGACTTGTGACGAGTGCACGGGGACACATTTACCAGGGGGGACACATTTAACGTCGTGCAGGGGGACAGATTTACCTAGAGGGGGACAGGTTTACCTAGGTAAAAGTGTCCCCCCGGACAGATTTACCGGGTCACGACCCGGTAAATCTGTCCGGGGGGACACATTTACCAGGGGGGACAGAATTACCTGCCACACCGGCATTTATACATCGCTCGAATGCAACATTTTAGAGAAGGCGAATTTCACCGACGCGAAATCAAGGTGTACCTTTGGTGAAAAAGAGTTGTTTTTGAAATTTTGTAGACTTTGAACCAAATGTTTTTTCGTAACACTTTAAACAGACACGACATTGTGTAGTACGTACCTCTCACGTAGCATGCGCGTAGGTCCTATACATTTTGACATGTGTACGTATCGTTTCACGTTGCAAGCGTAGGCCCGACATTTATTGCCCAAACTCAAGAAGTTGTGACAAAAATGCCTCAAAAAGCACCGTTAGAATTCTCTTAAATGTTATTTTTCAGCGTCAGACAAGGTGTCCTGACCTTGTACAGTATGAACTCCATTTCACGGCAAAGATTTAGGTTATAATCGAGATAATAAATTGAGGATACACACGTGATGACTGAACACACTGTCATGAACGCGCGATAAATCGACTTGAGAATCCAAGATGGCCGCTATTCACTTCATGTTTGTAACAACCACGGTGATTGGCTGAAAATTTTTTACCGTTTTATAGAAAAGACAAACTTTTGAAGCGCAGTTTATTATATTAAACAATCTTTAAAAATTATTAGCTATCTTCTTTTGATGAAATTTGGTTTATCTTAATGGGATATTTAACAATGGACAAATTGTTCGTCTATGTATATTCATAGCATGACATCAATGCATTGTCGTCATTGGAGTTATGGTTTGCTCACATTCATTCAGTGCCTTTAAAATGTGAATTAAAGGCAAATTTAAGTTAATAAATTAACATTCTGAAACAGTGGAAAGTTGGAGAATGTTGATACTTAAATTACATATAAACAATGCCCAAACTGCAGCTTACAGATGAAAACAAATGGAGGTTTTCAACATGTTCTCCATGGATGAGATTACATGTCGGATGTACTTGGAATTTCTGTGACTAAGCACTTGGAAATAAGGTAAGCAACAATTCTAAGACATGAAGTTTTTTTTAAATGACAATAAAAGTACAAAATGGTCACGCATACGTATCTCACAGGAACAAACACATGATTAGTGAGGATAAGAAATGGTTGAACAGCTAGAACATTACTACAAATAGCCCAGAAAGTGATGGCGATCTATTTTATCAGAATTCTACTGAATATTCATTTTGCTATGATGTCATCTGGACTATTGAATGATGTGTCCAATGGCCCTTTCCCACCTATCAGGGTACGTTGGTCAACGATGTGAGATCCATCAGCAGCCTCTGAGATGAGAGAGTTCACTTCAAGAAGTAACTATATAGACTCACCATCAAGCTAATAAATTATTAGTGGGCATCACTGAGCATTTCGGCGCCAAGCTTGCTCAACATTGGGCTCTTATAAACTCTACAAAAGATGCTCACACTGGGACGATTCTACTCGATACAGTTATACAAATGGTGTATATAGGACAAGAGGATCTTGTTTTCAGACTGAGTTTTGCTCAGGTCGCAACAAATTTATGTGCGAAACGTTACGTGCTCCGAGAAACTCTGGATCGATGGCAAGTGTATATATATAACTTTTTATGCCACCTTGCGAACACAAATTTCGCCTGAACAGATGATCAGAGTTTTATTTTTAAAAAATCGATGTTAAAACATGTAAAAGGATAGTATGTTTGGCATTAAACAAATATTTGTCAATTATACTAATATAAACGGGATTGGTGGAAAATTGTGCTCAACTTTCGTGGGGTTATTATAAAAGTAAAAATATATATATATTTATTTTATCCGGATAAATAACTCAAAAGTTGAACAACAATGACTTGGACGAATCCCTTACAGATGATGTGAATATATTTTTGAAAATGTTCATATGAATGAACAGTAGACAGAAAGGTTGTAACTGTCCTGTATATTAATATTTTTAATTATGAATAGGCTAAGTACTGAAAGAAATTGGCCCAAAACGCAACAGTTGAAGATCGCGACCCTTGGACTCGATATCAGGTGGTTTTCCACTGCAGACAAATGGCGCGGTTACGTTGGGAATACCCTTTGCATTATTATGTACACTTGACACACTATGAGTGCATATTTACAGACAATTTTCCTCGCATCACCAAAGTACGTCACATATTGCTAAACATCATGTGATGGAACTGACAAAATGGCTATACTAAAGTCGCGTGTCGGTGTGTTGCTAGCATTAAGCAACTGGACGTTATGGACATTTAGATCCAAAAAGGTATCTGAGCACGAAACATTTTCTAGTTGAGACACTAACTTCTAGCAATAGCCAAACTGTATCAGCTTTCATAGAAGTTACGTCAGTTTTCACCAATATCAACTTTACATACAGTGCAGTGCCCCGTTGAACAACAGCATAATGGGAATAAATATTGTTCTGGGCTCTTTGGATTTCCCGCACTAAGCAGGCCCAATACCACCAAAAAGTACAAGGAATTGCATTCTTCTATCCAGCGCTTAAATGAAACCAAAGCCGAGATGTCATGTGCTATATGTATGGAGCAACTACAGCAGAGCCAGCAGCCCAAGGTGCTGAGTTGTGGTCACTCTTTCTGTTTGGCGTGCATCGAGCACTGGTTCGATTCCAAGCAGCGGCGTGCCCCTAAGGACGGATCTAGACGTCGTGCGGTGCGATGCCCGGTCTGCTTACAGTATACCCCACTGCCGACAGAAGGTTTGACATCGCTGCCTACCAACTTCGCATTATTGGAGGCACGAGAGGAGAACTCGATCAAACTATGTGACGATGATGATGGTGATAGATCATCTCGGATGTGTTTACTTCATGTTGGTAAAATACTGGAGTTCCAGTGCAAGACCTGCGCTGGGCAGCTGGTTTGCCGGCAGTGTGTTGGATCCCAGCACCGGCCGGCTGCCGGTCATCGCATCGGTAGCCTCGCGTCGCTGGTCCGTAGGCAGTCTACCGAGAGGGCCGAGCTAGAACAGATGGTGATGGAACTCCAAATGAGAACCATTGAATTAACCGAAAGTAATGCAGTCCTTCAGTTAGATCTACTTGACCGTGAAAGCAATTCGAAAACAAACTTTATAACGACTACTGAGAAAGATATTAATTCTGAAAAATCCGGTACCGGCGAAACATCCAAATCAGAAACAGGATGCAGTTCAGACGACACAGTAATTCTTGGGACAGAGACATACCAGACGCAGCCAAGACCAAGATTAAGGTCGGGGAACCTTCCAGAGGGGAAGAGGAGGCCACCACCCGTCCCACCTAACTTGAAAACCAAGTCTCTTCCATATGCAGGATTGGAGAGAAAGTATGGAGTTCCACCACCACCTCCGTCATCCCACACCAGAGACAACCGCCAGTCCAACACCTTGCCAATTAGATCTCCTCCGCCACCACCCCCTTCGTCAGCAAATCAACGGTCTGCTGGACAAGGGTTACCAACATCCTCTCATGTCGCGGACGGGTATCAGCCGAGAAGGTATCCTTCCAGAAACAACCGCCAGCCCCACACTTTGCCGCCACCACCACCAACCGCTCCGTCAGAAAATCACCGGTCTGCTGGACCAGAGTCACCAACATCATCAACTGCTGTCGGGGACCAGCAAACTGTTTGTGACCGACTAGCTCCCAGCGTGCTTCCAAGAAGGCATCAACCTGCCGGCGTCACACGCGTCGACTCCCGATCCCTCAGACCACACCTGCATGCAAGGGTCCCCTCGTCTACCTCTGCTCAATCAGACAATTCCATGACGGAGTCACCATCACACTTGGAAACAAACCAACAGTCTTATCCTCGACGATCGAGAGGCATGGCTCCACCTCCTCCTCCACCGCGTCCGAAGACAAGGCCCCCATCACACCCAGCCGGTCGGTCCACTTGAGCTCCGTCAGCGACAACCGGCGGGTGTGGTGCGACATTTGGACACTATGAAATAAGGACTACATTGGTTGTATTGCGCCGGCATGCCTAAGTGGACAGAAGTAGGACAGTCACAGGTCACATGTGAGGTTTAGAATCTACAGAGTGAGTAAAAAAAAAGCGGAATCCAAACTACTAAATATATATTTCATATTCAAAAAAATATGTAGCACCAAAAATAATAACTACTGGAAAGCTAATCTCATAAACTACTTTTAGATGAAAAGGTTAATGAAATTACCCAGTCCGTTCAAAATATCACCATTTAAACGCAATGGCCATACAACTTCTTTTGTCCAAAAATGTGATTTCAAGAATTGTCGTCACAATTGACTTCAAACATCACCAGCGATAAAACATCAGTTTAAAAGTAAAAGATATTCTACAAAGTCCTTTTGAAGGCCGTCTTTTATGAAAAAAACAGCTTATTTTATAAATCATGTTCTTTGCCCAAGCAGGGTTGTTAATAAAGATATTGTGTACCACAGTTGTTGACAGTTGTTGAAAAAAAAATATTCTGTGTCATTTTTTTTTGTTCCAAATATAGTCAGAACACACAAATAGCTTCTTTTTTTTGGGGGGGGGGACGAAACAGGTTTTAGAAACATTGCGTTTAAATGGTGATATTCTTTGAACGGATTCAGCATTTTCAGTAATCTAACACTAGTTTATGAAATTGGCTTCCCAGTCATCATTATTTTTGGTGCTAAAATATGAATTATATTTTAGGAGGTTTGGGTTTCGCTTTTTTGACTCGCCCTGTTTACATGGTAAAAAGAGACCAATCTTTCTAAGAGGCCAAATTTCATACGAACATTGGCCTTGGCTAGTCTCGGTTCAAACGTTGATTTGATCCCCAAATGCAGAAAAACAATAATAAACAATAATGAAAAAGCTATATTGTTCTTACAATGCCTAAAAGGCCTTTATTACATTTTTGAAAGTATTTCCCATTAGTAGCAGTCTGTAAATTTACAATATCAATTTTGAAACTGACAGTTATGCAATAGCGGTGTTTTTTTCTCCCAATTATTATTTTTGCATCACCATTACAAACACAGCCTTACCAACTTCAATGTATTCACAGTAAACTGTACAATATTACAATCGATTCATCTCTCCGAACCATGCTCAGTTTTCGTTTCCTGATAAATACATTGATCTAAAAAAAAATACGCTTGTATAAAGCTGCAATTTTTATTGAAGAATAGACACGAAAATAAGTAAGCAAACACTCGGCCATATTCCCACAGATTTTGTACAACTTCAAATTACTCCAATTTCACAGAACTTTACACAAAAAGGGAGTTTTATGGCAAGAGTTGACTTCACGTCTCTATGGATACAGCTATATGTGTTTTCATCGTCTCCAAGAATACCAACATTTCATATGGGAAATGTTGAGCATTTTATTCACAAACTTAAAGGAATTATATATTCTCTGAAAACTGTCGTAATTAGTTAAGTTTGCTAGGCTATAGACTAAAACTGATTAAACCCGAATGCAGCATGGTTTTATGGTTGAAGTCAGACTCAACAGAAATGAAATGGCCGTGAAGGAACTTAGGTGTGACACTTTCCCTGAAGAAATAACACAAATTCTTCCAGATGACACAGTGTCAAACACATGTCCATTCCATGTAAATGGAGAAAAAAAAATCGTGAAGGACCGAGACCACAGGACATATCTCAAATTTGTCATTCCATTTTTTTGATGTACATCTACACTCATCAGTAAAATTGTAAGCACATTAGAAAGCTTATAAGTGTAACCATAAGTTTTTTTCAAACTATCTCAGTCTAGCCATCGCAGTAATGAATAACGTATGTATTACACTACTTCCAATGATGAATTATTAGTTGCACTTGAATAAACATGTACATGAAATAGCAGTCGATTATAAAATACTGCTGTCTGTCAACGGTGTTGTGGTGCAGTGAATGAATTAGCTGCTCCATCACACTAGTCTTATCCGTGACCCTATAGTCGACACGCGACAGCCAACATGTACTGGACCAAAGTTCGGATAATACAAGGCCCCAACCAACGGCTGTTTGATGAAATGCGGTAATAATTTTTTTCCCCGAAAGCCGGCATTCATACATCGCTCGAATGCAACACTTTAGAAGGCGAATTTCACCGACGAGAAATTAAGGAGTACCGTTGGTGAAACAATTGTTTTTGCAACATTGTAGACTTTGAAACGAATGTTTTTTTCGTAACATTTTGAACAAACATGTGTCTAGGCCTACGTACGTCTCATGTTGCATGCATAGGCCTGGCATTTATTGCCCAAACTCAAGAAGTTGTGACAAAAATGCCTCAAAAAGTACCGTTAGAATTCTCTTAAATGTTACCTTTTTCAGCGTCAGACAAGGTGTCCTGACCTTGTACAGTATGAACTCCATTTCACGGCAAAGATTTAGGTCATAATCGAGATATCAAATCGAAGATACACACGTGATGACTGAACACAATGTCATGAACGCGCGATAAATCGACTTGAGAATCCAAGATGGCCGCCATTCACTTCACGTTTGTAACAACCACGGTGATTGGCTGAAAGTTTTTTACCGTTTTATAGAAAGACTTAGACTTTGGAAACGCAGTTTATTACATTAAATAATCTTTAAAAATTATTAGCTATCTTCTTTTGATGAAATTTGGTTTATCTTGATGGGATATTTGACAATGGACAGATTTTTCGTCTATGAATATTCATAGTATGATATCAATGCATTGTCGTCATTGGAGTTATGGTTTGTTCACATTCATTCAGTGCCTTTAAAATGTGAATTAAAGGCGAATTTCAATTAATAAATTAACATTTTGAAACAGTGGAAAGTTGGAGAATGTTGATACTTAAATTACATATAAACAATGCCCAAACTGCAGCTTACAGATGAAACAAAATGGAGGTTTTCAACATTTTCTCCATGGATGACATTACATGTCGGATGTACTTGGAATTTCTGTGACCAAGAACTTGGAAATAAGGTAAGCAAACATTTTCAGACATGAAGCTTTTTTTTTCAAACCTGCTAAATGTGTACTTTTAAAGTTAGCTTGTACTAATATTATCTTGAGTCGTTTTGAGTTGCTCTAATTACATTTTGGAACACATGTCTTAAATAGGTGTAAGATGGGTTGAAATGGGTGTAAGATGTGTTAAAACAGATGTAAGATGGGTTGAAACGGGCGCAAGACGGGTTGAAACAGGTGTGCAGTGGCGTCACCAGACTTTTCAGTCTGGGGGGGCACAGGGGGGGCACCAGCATTTGATGGGGGGGGGGGGGGCACTTAGGTGGATACGGATCGCCGTCCTGGGGGAGGGGTCAAAGGGGTGCCCCCTCCCCTTTGGAAAATTTTCGCATATGGAGGATGGGCTAGATGCAAAATGGTGCCACATTTGATGCTAAATTCGATCTGAAGATATCTCCAGAAATTGCTATTTTTGAGGTAATGATTTTAACAACGCGCAGATTTTTTTTTACCAACCCAAATCTCAGAGGGGGGGGGGGGCACTCGGGGGCACTAGGTTTTCCAGGGGGGGCACGTGCCCCCCCTGGCCCCCCCTTGGCGACGCCACTGCAGGTGTGGAACATCACTATACCAAACACCGCTATACCGAACACTTGGCTATACCGAACATCATCCTTGGCTTTCAATTTTTGTGTACAAAACGTACCGAACATTGTTGTTGAAAATTTCCATAGAAGAGGGGCAAGTGGCAATTTCTCCAAGGAATAGATGGGGAAAGCCATCCATTGCTGTCGTTAGTAAGCTCAAAAACTGTGTAATTGCATGATTCAATAGTCAGCACGTGTTCAAAGTCGTCTTTCAGTAACTACCAGGACATGCAGGGTGAAGTTTTGAAGGGCGCTATTTATTAAAAAGTGAGTACCGGAGCACCAGCAGCTTAAAATCGCTATACCGAACGATCGCTATTACGAACAGTTTCTGTGGATCCCGCGATGTTTTGTTAGAGCGGCGTTCTACTGTAATGGTGTTCCACTGTAATGGGCTGAAACGGGTGTAAGATGGGTTGAAACGGGCACAAGATGGGTTGAAATGGGTGTAAGATGGGTTGAAACGGGTATAACGTGGGTTGAAATGGGTGTAGGATGGGTTGAATTTCCATCTTTCTGGGGCCAGCCCATTTCAAATGCCACATGATTTACACTACTACAAACACGACACAGGCATGAATATTCAACGCAAGCACCTTACAATCAATATGTGAACAAGGGGCTAAAAGTCCTTATGGTACCCCTCTAGTTTCAAAATGACAAGCAACGGGAATTGCTCTGGAGGAGGGGGGGAGCTTAGTATGTTCAAGGGGGGAAGTTTTGATCATGTATTTCATCACCAGACATTAGATTCTGATTGGGGGAGTTTAACCACGCCCACCCCACCCCCGAGTCTCCGATAGTTCATGCTGCCGCACATCCGCCAGGATTTCGTTTCCGGGTCGTAGATTTCCACTGTCTTGAGATACGTCGTGCCATCAAAGCCGCCCACCGCCATGAGTTGACCGTTGACAACTGACAACCCCACCTGACAGAAGACACAAATTATGAGGAAACGTTAACTCAAACCAAGGTTCGCCCTTAACGTTTTTCTTCACAAGCCAGCCGGACTAGTTACCCAGACTCTTTACTGACCCGCAGGACTTTTCCTAGTCCGCAACAGAATTTTTTTGTTTTTCTTGCCACCAGAATGTCATAAAAAAACAATGTGCATACATGTATAATAAATGTGAATTAATAACGTGAATATATCATAACAGTGGATGAAAGCAGACACAAATTCATTCATGGTATTAAGAAATTCAAAAAATTAATTATTAATATTCAAATCAACTTTAAAAACAAAAACAAATTATCATTTGCTACACAAAAGCTATCAAATTTGGTCCCTCAAAAATATAAAAATTTGGGGGAAAAAAAGTAAAAATCACGAAAATAAACTACTGCCCAATACTGTCCATGAGGGGACAATATTGAACAGCATGCACACGCATGGACAGCCATGAAAACCAGCGCGGCCACGCGTTATCAGCACAAATACCAGCGTTAAGACATCAAAATAAATACAGAAAGCGGAAAATGCAGACATAGAAAAGGGAAAAGGGAAGTCAAGTTAAACTGTATGAATTAAGTCACAAAATCTTTCTCCACCGATATTTTCATGACATTTCTCGATGTAAAATTCGACTAGATTACACTACGTAGGCCATGTTATTTCAACAACGCTGCATGTGCAGTACTGTCTGTATCTCAACGCATTCAGCCAATTGCCACGGTAAAATAGAGGGCGCTGTGGCTACACGCTCATTCATAAAATGGCCAAATGGTATTCTGAAGTTTGTGTCCTGTACTTTTTATGCTTTTGTGTACCTACACAAAAAAGCAGTGCAAGTCCATGTTATTCCTTTGATTTATATGCTTGCGATTGAGGCGCAATATTCGCGGAAATCCGCGGCTACACAGAAAAGTTTGAAACCTTATCCCAATAATTTTGACTCACCAGGCGGACTATTAACAGAATAGTGCTGGCTAGCCCTCAGCTTTTTGACTCACGTTTGGCTAGCGGGCTACCACTAAGGTTGAAACCTGCTCCAACCCCCCTGGTGATTTGGCTAAAAACCCTGCCTGAATCTAACAACTTGAGACACTTGTCAAATCGAGATGCCTGCCTAGTACATGTATAACAAGATCCAACAGGTAATAAAACCTACCCCACTTCGTCTTGAGTTCATCGCGACGATCGGCTTCCACGTATTTGTCGTTGAGTCGTAGCGCTCGGCGCTGCTCAACTCTGTCTGGTCGTCCCTCCCGCCGACGGCAAACAGCATGTCGTTGTAGACGGCGCAGCCAAGGTGTTTGCGCCGCGTGCCCATGGGGGCCACGGGTGTCCACTTGTTGGAACGGGGGTCGTAACGTTCCACTGTGTTGAGGGGCGAGGTGCCGTCTGACCCCCCTACGGCGTACAGGAAACCCCCAAGGACTGCGACAGCGACGCCCAGTCTTCGTGTGCTCATGGATGCTACACGGGTCCATCTGTTAGCATGAGGCTCATATCTGTTTGAAAAAAATTGAAAATGAAAAATGGGGCCAAAAGAAACATGTCAATGTGGTGCAAATAATGCCAGCAGAAAATAATACAAAGATATGTTTAGCTAGTCAAGCTGAAATCCTAAACTTTGCCAGTAGTTTAAAATAGTTTAATCTCAGTGACTCAGTTAGTCCGTCAGTCATTGACTCAGTCAAGGGATGACACGGTAGTCCTTTTGGGAAGAGTAAAACATCTAGCAAAATCATATTCAGTTTTTACGTAAATTCTTTATATTGTAAATTGAGTCTTAAACTTTGTTACTAGAGAATTTGTATCATAAGATGAATCTTATGAATAGTGAAACTGCGGTACCCACTGCTAAATGTACATCAGATTTGAACTAGCTAACCGATCCTGCAAGCTCAGTGGTTGAGTGGTTAAGACGTCTGCACTAGAAAGCAGGTCTCTGGTTCGTGTCCCACCCGAGTGATTTTTTCCAACTTTTACCCGGGAGGTAACACACTGAGCATACAGTGTTTATACGTCGGTGAAGGACAACCCTAATAATGAATTTACATCACCCAGACGTAAATTCATCTCATGAATAGTTAGTAATAGTAGTAATATGATTACTATATGATTGTTTTCAACACTGATTTGACAACAATACTTTGAAATAAAACTACAACTAAACGAGCTAAAAAGGCAGACAAATTCAGAAAAAAAAAGATGATGAGTAATTTCACATGAGTAATATTACCTCTCAACTATGTTGAGACATGAGACGCCGTCCTGTCCACCCACTGCGTACATGTAACCATCTAGGACGGCTACTCCTACGCTTGTTCTGCAGGTGCTGGTTGGCGCTACGTCACTACTCCATTGGTTTGTCTGTGGGTCATATCTGATTGGGAAATAAAACAGGAAAGTTATTTCATAAGCCAGTTTTACACTGGAATATGCGAAAGTACAAAGTTGCTCAGATTTTGCTTGTGCTTTAATATTTCCAAATATTTATTCTGAGCTTAGGCACCATGGATACCAATCAGATGTGAGATTGATTAAATATCTGAAATGGAAGGCTACCATGGTAAATTTTTCTAAATAATTCCCCCATCGGTGAATTCATCAGATATTCAAAATTTTGTTCTAAGAACAAAATGCAAAATTGAACAAGCGATAATTTAAAGTTGAATCCAAGGTACCCCGTTAAACCCTGTAACAACGTTGTAAAACTTCGAGGTAAACCTTGAGTTACCGCCTTTTAAGTTAAAGTTTGCGTTCTCCCTTAGGTTGTCATTTCTGAAGTGACACAAGCTGTTTTAACGTTTCACCTCTCGATGCTGTTGAGATAGGAGGAGCCATCATGACCTCCCACTGCGTACAGCAAGTCATCTAAGACAGCCACGCCCACCCCGCATCGTCGTTTGCTCATGGGTGCGACCATCCGCCACTCCACGCTCTGCGGATCAAAGCGTTCGACGCTTGAGATGGCATCGCCGCTGCACCAACCACCAACTGGGGAACAAGAGAATTCAACCAAAATCAAACATTAAAATAACCGTAAAGTCCTACACTTTACTGATTGATTGCGACATCTACTGTAAAATCAGGTTCGAACAGCCAGCCAACCTGACAAGCCCTACAGTCAAAATTGTATGCAGGAGGTCATGGGTTCGAGTCCTATCTGGGCAAGCTTGTGATTTTTATGTTATTACAAGCCCTCAGATACCACTCTGAATACAAAAAAATGTGTCAGAGAAGGACAAGGCCTGATACTGAGGTTACATCTCCAAGACATGAAATTCCATCCAACAAAATAGATGAGAATACTAGGACACGCGTCAGCATACTACACCAGGAACTCCTTGTTGCAATTTGAAACACTGCTTGTTCTAATAGGGCATGCAGCGCCTCCAAAAAAAGGATAATTACAGAACAAACAAAAGGGTATATAGGGGTGCATTTAGGGGAATCGGGTACCCAAATAAAAATAAAACATGGTACCTGGGTACCCATTAAAGAAACCAACCCCAAAATTTTACACATTTGTCAACGCAGCAAGATACAAGTGTGTTCAGTCACTTCAGTGAGCTCTTCAGCTTTATGGTGTAAATCGCATTTTTGCAAGCGTCACAAACATGAATGTGTTTTTCAACGTAGCCTTGTTCATTATGAAAATTCCCATGAATGACATTCAAAACCTTTCTTCTTCAATTTCTGAGAACTTACTAAGTAATATTGGAAGTTAATCACTGTACTCGATTCCATAACCTGGAACCGGTTCCTGATATCAGCAGTCCGGAACTCTGGTACCCGGTTCCGATGCACAGCCCTATAATAGGCTGCGTTGGAACTATTTGGCTACGGCTAGTAATAACGTGTCTATGGGAAGTGGCTCCACCTCGTTCCATGGATGCATGTGTGATTGCTAGCCACAACAACATAATGTGGACACAGCCATATTTGTGAAGATTCTAGTTCCTTCGTTAATCTGCAACTGGCAATAATATGCCAAAAGGCCCACCTGCAAAGAGCACCTCACCACACCGGATGGGTTTCCTTGGCCGCGTCCGGGGCCCCTGCATCAAGGGTCTCTCCTGGGGTAGGAGCAGGTAGTTCTTGGCCTCATCCACCAGGTCTCGACAGGCCTCGTCGCTACGGATCAGGAGATCTGTGCTGACTGTACCAACTAGGAACTTGGGGTTCAACAGGGGAAGTCGGACGTGTTGCAGAACCTGGGGGGGGGGGGATAAGAGGGGGAAAAGGAGAGATTGTGAGTACAATTGAGGGACATTACTCTTCCACCCCTCCTGCTGTCTGAACAGTCAGATCACATTTCTAGTATTAAAGCACTGTGACTAGACAAATTCCATCTACAGAGGTAACTGGTTTAGCTGGCTTCAACTATACTGTCAAGGCAGAGCTGTATAAACAGTCACAGCCAGCCATTCCTACATCATGTTTAAAACCCTAACTCCCTAGGCATTTTTGCTAGGATGCAGCCTCAATCCTGCAAAATCCTCCAACTGCCTCCATGTAAAAATGGCATACAGCCTCAATCCTGCAAAATGCTCCAATTTTTCTTGAATGTGGTCCGTGGAGGGGTGACCACTGCCTCAATCCTGCAAAATCCTCCAGCAATCACTGTCAATATGTTGAGGCAGAGCCAGTGACATCCTGGAGCAGTACGGAGGATTTCAAGTATAATCTAGGCCTAAATTTATGCACGGCTGAGCATAAACAACACAAAGTCCCACCAAAGGCCTTGACTCTGAGCATCCTCCAAAATCAACCAATCATTTTTGCCATATAGCCTCAATCCTGCAAATCCTCTGTTTTGCAAAGAGGATTTTAGAGGATCTGGGAAGGTTAGGGTTCAAACAGACTTATACTCTCATTGTGTCGAATTGAATTTGAGTAGCAGTAATTAAGTGGAGCTTGCCAACCCAATTAACACAACAACCGGACACTTAATCGTGAATTAATTTCCCCTATCTGATTTCTTCTTTTTGACATCTCTTAGGCATGATCAGTGTTTTCATATTACCTTAGCCAATTCCCCTCTTCTTTCAGGGATGTTGTATTTGACCCAAGATATGACGGAGCTGTAGACCTGTTCTTCACTGCGTACGTTCAGCTCATCGCTGCCGGTGATTTCCATCAGCTGATTGACTGGTAGCAACATAAACTCCTCGCTTTCCATGACCTACACAAGCACAAGAACACAAGAGACGACAAAAAATCAGACAGATACAGAACAATAGAGCGCTGAAGTTATGGGGTGTAATTTTAAAGTAAAACAGGACAAACCTGTGTTCAGTGTTCACAGGAAAGGAGTGCCAGTTTCTCCTTCGTGGCGAATGGGCCAGACTCAGCTGCTGTGGGGGATCGCCACACCTCCACAGCCAGTCTGTTACCGTCCCAGCATTGAATAATGCCGGTATCCATTTTACACCTGGGTTGAGAGGAGTAATTGAGGTAAAGCGCCTTACTCAAGGGCACAACACGCATGGCCACGGCGGGGCTAGAACCCACAACCTCACGATCATGAATCCTGTTCTCTACCGCTAGACCACATGTGCCCATCTATACTATAATTCCAGGAATCTCTGTCTGTCTGTCTGTCTGTCCGTCGATTATCTCCAGAACCGGGCACCGTATGAAGTTGAAAATCGGCGGATGTATTGCTCGGGGCCACAGAATGTGCAGTGCCGAGTTTGAAGTGGTTTGGGCGAGCGGTTGTCGAAAAAGCTGCAAAAAAGCAGTATTTTCTAAAGCCTAGCGCGCCAGAATATAGCCTAGAACTCCGCGCACTGATGTTCTTTTCAATTGTTTACGTCATGTTTGAGCAAGAGCGAGCATGCAACAATGACGCAACATTGGAAAAAGGACGGGCACATTGTAGGGCGATAGCACTGCACACCATGTCTTCGAACGTACGTGAGTGGCATGCACGGGCACATGCATTTTGTAGTAAACTGAGCAACCATCACAGCACGGGGATGACGACATTTTGTGCGTTTAACTTTGGAGTGTGCGTTCACACCATTGAATAATGTGCGTTGTTTGCACGAGCTGCAGTTCTCAACTGCCCCTTCCATTCACGCACATTTTCGATTGGCCCTGCACTAGTCTAATTTAAATTTAAAGAGTACAGCAAATTTCAAGACTTAGATTCCTTTTTATAACCGGATGGGAGAACATCCCGGGGGAAACTTGCCTGCAAGAAATTCTGTTGTGTGAATTTATCAGCCACTCTAAGCAAATCTCGACAGGCGTGCGTGTCAGCAAACGCCCGGATACCGAGACAGTTCGAAGGGTCCAACTGCCGTTTGAGGAATTCACAGCACGCTTCCTGGATCTCTGAAAGCTGCAGCAGGCAGGCAGCGGGGAGCAACGTCTGTACGTTGCTCTCTTCAACGGTGATCGTCGACGTGTAAGCAAAGTCAATGAGTTGTTCCATGGCTCGCTCGTCAATGTCCCGTATGGTGACCTCTGTCTGCCGACTCTCGGCCAGCTCGCCCGTGAACATGGCCCGGAAGTACGGACTGCACGCAGACAGGATGATCCGATGGGCGTAGATCTTGTTGTCGTTGACGACGATGACGACGTCGCAGAGCTCCCGCTGTCGGCGCAGGATGTTGATCATCTCCAGGGTCTCGCGGGGATGGCGGTCTGATGTGTAGACGAAGCGAGAGGACTGAGACGGTGTCTCAAACACCTGCTGGGCCCCTGCCATGGTTAGACTGGTGCCAAACAGTCAGAGTGATTACAGAAGCGACAAGGTCTGTCCAGTCCAGATGATCCTCTTTTGGTCAACAGGTAGTGCTGGATCCGTCATCCAAAAACCTTCTGCAAATCAAAATGAAAACTCTTTGTGTTTAATGTTCTGCCAAAATTTTGGTAAACTACATAAGTTCTGCTTAGTGCTCTTTGCCTTACCACAAACGGTTAAAAACAAATTACATGCCGGGTGGATTCTGTCCTGATTATTGCCAAAACAATGTGGAAAAAAATCCACGTTCCATACTGAGTAACATGGAGAAGTTCCTGTTCATGGCGTAGTCAACAAATTTGTTGGTGATTCATCTACTCTATGGCTATGGGGCTCCGCTACGCTAGTTCTAGGGGTATCTCGCGGCACCAACATGACCAACCATAAACTGGGTACCAAATCGTCTACCCCAAAAAGGGTGATTGCGTATCTATGGACCCGGCTCAGGGAACAAAATCTAACTTTAAATTATTTGACCTACCAAACTTGTTGGCGATATTAAGAACATACAGTTCATATGTCATAGATAAAGTTAAAGGGGAAGGTTTTGAATTTTTGAGGAGAATTTGGGGGTAAAATGACGATGACAATAACAAAATGCAAAATAATGATGGCAACACTGCAATGTACTGTGAGCGCACAAGGCATGCCGAATCGAACCGCATCAACCGTAAACCGCGTAGAAAATCGTAATGTCTACCCCAAGAAACTGTTCAAAAATTACAAAATGGGTGGGTGTCACTGTCATTTTATTGAGAAGTCTGCTTTACATGCTTAGGTTGAAAGTGTCATTTTTAAGAAAAAAAAATACTCGACTCTAATTTGATCAAAACAAAACAGGGGCCCTTCACCCCAACAATTGTCAAAGAGGTATCATTAGAACTGACAACTGGAGACTCGTCCACTGCCATTCCCAATAAAAAACTAAGTAAAAATTAAAGAGTAAAATTAAAAAGAATCAAAAATTCAATTAAAGACCGGCAATCCAAAATTGAATAATTTACCATGATTATCATCGTCTGTAACTAAACTTACACAAAAACATAGAGCGTTACACAGCCGACCCAACTGTCATCAGAATAGAATTTAACTTCAATGATTCAGTAATGAAAATTAAACTTCCGAATTGCATAGGCAGGCGAGAAAAATCGGAATATGGCGTAAACCACATCCACAGCAGAGATGAACTCACTTGACCTTATGATAATTGTGAACAGCGCCACCAAGCATCAAAATTATCAGGTAAACAATATTTCAATAAATATGATTTTCATTAATAATATGTCTTGTAACATATATTGTTTTACTAAAATTAATCAATAAAAAAAATTAAAAATTTAAATTGTATATTTTACTGAAATTAAGATGTTATTTAGATTCAAATATAATAACGTTATTCTGGGTTAAATATGATGTGTGTTGTTCGAGGACAATCATCCTGGAAACAGCAGACGCCGGGCCGTATTTCGTGAATTTTGCGAACCAAACTTTGTAGGATTCTGACAAGTTCCACGTTCGAAATGACTGTTGAATCGCCACCAGGGGAGCCAGAGGCTTCGTCACCGTCCAGGAAATCTGGCAAACGGCTGAACATCGTACTGCAATGCGCAGTAAAAGGCGACGCGGCCCGGCTTCAAGACTGTTTTTCGAAGGAAGACGATCCGTATCACGACCGGGTGGAAGGGCAGTTGAACTCCCGGGACGAGGAGGGTCGCTCGGCAGTGGAGATCGCTTGCACGGAGGGCCACCTGGAGATGCTCAAACTGCTACTCGAAAAGGTTGAACTGGCTGTTTAATGGGACAAGTTGCTTGTTTTCTCCCCATGAACATGTTGAAAAATATTGGCCGCGATTCTGATGATGACCCCGCCCCCACCCCTTCCCCCTACGGCCTACCCTTCCCATTTTTTTTCTCAATCTTAAATTCTTGCCCCCTCCGAACCCCCTTCCTATTTTCTTCCACATTTGTAAAGAAATAATTTTCTTCAACCCCTTTTAGTAAGTTTTACTCAGCTATTGAGGTTGGATGCCATTTTTATTTGGTAGTGAATATTTTGCCGGAGGTAACGCCGGCAAACTAACGTTTACTAAAGGTTTGCCGGCGGCAATCCATATCAACAGAGGGCGCTGTACTCTTTAAGATAGTGCTGAATTATAAGATGTATTAAATTCCCACCAAAGTTGAGAAGCACAGTTGGTGCAGTGGTTAAGCAATGGCTCTAGTGGGTGTCCCGAATTCGAATCCTGATCCCCGCCTCAATTCCAAGGTTTTTTTTTCCCATCCCCAAATAAATAAGAATATTCTTCTTTTATTATTTTAATATGTCTCAAACATTTTATTGCAGAGTATTACTTTTTCTTTTTCAGATTTGTGGCTCTGGAGGATTTTTTTTAAAGGGAAATAAAGTCCGAAATTATAAAATGGTCTGATTCCCATCTTGTAAATACAAAAATACAACGATAATATTGGCATGGAGCCAGACTAAAATTTGTCACCGGAAAAAAGTACAAAAAAACAGTAACTGCGCATGTTTAGTGCATATCCGGCAAGCTAACGTTTACTGAAGGTTTGCCGTCTCCGGCAAAATATCCACTGCCTTTTTATTTTCGGAAAAAAATGTAGGCCTAGTTTAGCACTTTAGCCTAGACAACTTCTATTCCTGAAAAACAAAGTAAATGTGCCTTTAAAAAAACACCAGCAGAGCAGGTTCTGAGGTTGGTGTTGAACTGCAAAAGCTCAGAGTCATGTTATAGAGTTAGGCCGAGTAAAAAATAAGGCTTAGGCCTAATAATCATACTATAGTTCTTGTTCAAACTTTTAGAAAAACTGAAGGAGACATGCAGTTTTGGGTGTTTTTTTCCCAAGATGGTTCCATTTTCTTGACTCTTTTGCTGACAGAATCCTTTTGCTGACAAAATCCTTTCGACATAGGCCTAGCTACATTTGTTGGAAACAAATGAAATATAGAGTGTATTCATGGTATTGAAACATTTGAGGTTTTGGCAAGAAATATCGTACAAATATTGTTGAAATCACTCTTGGGAATTGGTATTTGTGGTTTGGTTGTATAGGCCTCCTATCAGAAGTTGGCTGAGAAATGCCGTTTTTTTTTTAAATCCTAGGCAAAAGTAAACCTGGCGCGAAGTGTTTAAAGGGCCAGTTGGAAAAAAGGAAGCGGGCTGGTTTATGTTTTACTTGGCCTAAAATAACGACACTGTAGTTGAAGTCTAATAATGTCTCCGACTCTCCGTAGCTAGGTTGTTATGCTTCTGTTTTTTACTCTTTTTTGTTGTTGTCATGTCAGGGATGTGACTCCAATATGAGGAATCCTAACACAGGCAAGACGGCACTCGACATGGCCTGTATCTTGAACCGAGAGGACATGGTCAAGGAGTTACTAGACAAAGGAGCAGCTGGAGACGCTGCAACTAATAGAGGTATTGAAATTTAGCATTCTCAGATTCCTAACTATTCATATTACTTAAACAATTCATCAATATGCCGTTTTTTTTGTAACATTCTTCTGTGTGTCTCTTTATCTTTAGGCTACACCGCGTTGCATCACGCAGCAGCTTGGGGAAACCTGGCATGTCTGAAGCTCCTGATTCAATTTGGCTCCAGCCTGCAGGTCAAGACTAGCCATGGAGAGCGCCCTCGGGAGACAGCCTTGCGATACCAGCACGAAAAATGCGCACACTATTTGGACTGGTCTGGTAAGCCCACAAAGTCAGTTCTACTTTAACAGTTCTACTTTTAGAATCTTCGTCTTTGTACTAAATGAAATATGCTTGATTGATATTTCTATAGAGGCTCGTCGTGCCCTGCTGGCTGTCATCAAAGAGATCAAAGAGAATGTGGAGGACGTTCAGAAGATCCAAGGACGACTGACCAAAGATGAGAGGGTGAGTCATTACGAGCCCATCCCAAGTCAATTACAAGCCCATCAAGAGCCCATTGCAAGTCCATCAGAAGCCCATCACAAATCCATCACAAGCCCATCACAAGCCCATCACAAGTCAATTACAAGCCAATCAAGAGCCCATTTCAAGTCGGTCACAAGTCTATCGCAAGCCCATCACAAGTCCACCACAAGCCTATTAAAAGCCCATCATGAGCCCACCACAAGGCTATCACAAGTCCATCACAATTCCATCGCAAGTCAATCACAAGCCCATCATAAGTCCATCCTTAGTCCATCACAAGCCCATTGCAAGTCAATCACATGTCCATCACAAGCCCATCACAAGTTCATTTCAGTCAGTCAGAAGCCCATCACAAGTCAATCAGAAATCATTGTGCCCCAAGTCAAGCTACAGTCTATTCATATGAACTGTGACATTACTTTCTTGTTCATCTCGTGGTTCTTGTGATGAACTTGTGATTTACCAGTAACCAAAACCATGATGGTCTTGTTATGGACTATGTAGACACTGTCAGAGATAAAAACCCGAGGAGTGGCTCATTCAGGCTAGATTTTGCCTTTTCAATCTGAAATAATTGATGAGTTTTAATAAGATTTCAAAATGTGCATGACAGTAGTGTAAAATAATGAGGTTTTGCGGAAACACATGTGGAAGAATCTCTTTTGAGAAGACTTGTGGTTCTGAAAAGAACCGGTTGGTTGTGCAACTCAAAGATCCAATCAGTATACTCTGATCATCATTACTTTGTCTGGCTTTCTTCTGAAGACAATCGGAGCATATTGGATTGGAACGTCAAGTTTCACAACCAAGCGGTTCTTTTCAGAACCAAACATCTTCTCCAAAGAGATTCTTTCACATGGTGATACCATGGGTTTTAATGACTTGTCTTCCCCAGATGACAGCTCTAAACGCCTGCACAGAGAAGCAGGAGTGGTTGGATAATGGCGGCGAGAACTTGACAGTGGAGGACTTCAACAAACAGAAACAAGTACTGTCAGATATTCTGGAGCCTGTTCTCATCAAAATGTCCGAACCTCGTAAGTTTCTTTGTTTTGTTAACATTTTTTTTAAATTCAACACATGAGTTAAAAACCCTGACAGATCTATTATAGAATTAGGCAACACTAACCTCCCAGTATTGCAGTTAAGATACTTGTGATGCAGATCGTAAGTAATCGCAAGCCCATCACAAGTCAATCACAAGTCAACTCACAAGCTGTTCTAACGAATATTCCAGTTTGGTATATCGATGAAGTTGTCTAGGTCAAAGGTAATTCAGGATAAAATCGCAGACACGATATTACGCAGACGCCCATTCTGCTCGTCATTAACATGCGACCGTCGTACGACCATCTCCTTGCATGTTCATGCGCCTTCGATGAGCGTTTGAGTATCCCGAATGACACGTGACCCATATCATTGTGTGCATGCCCAGTTGCAAACCCCGAACTGGCTTATTGTAAAAAAGCATGCATTTGTAACTGTTGTTTATCCTCTGTTGGTCACGTTTATCGACATAATGAGCCAGCTAGTCAAGTTCTCCTCTGGAATCCTGAAGCCCCTCGACGCAAAGGTCGTCCCAACATGACCCTGAAAACACCTATCAAGCTAGAAACTGGTCTGAGTGGTCCATCTCTTTCCATCACTATGCTCGACAGGGACAGTTGGGCCCAACTCATCAAGTCATCATGAAAATGAATGAATGAAGTTCAGAAGACTTTGACTAGACTTGTGTATTGACCTATCGCGGTAGAATCGTGTGAACGCAGTTTGTGAAATACTGTTCAATTACGTGATATACAAATGGACGCAGAATGCGCAAAATCTGAGACAAACAAAACTTAATCTACAAAATTCCATAGGGTTGTCAAAGGGGCATTGCCAACTCTTAAACGGCGATAGGTTAATTGACGAGTGCCTTCCTTGTGACCAGGGCCCAATTTCATGGCTCGACTTACTGTTAGCAAAAAAATCCCTGCTTACTGTAGCAGAACATTCCGTGCTTGGGGTAAGCAGATTTCACAGGTTAGCAGGGAATTTTGGCTTCTGCACACGCAAACATCCTGTAACTAGGGATACTGTGCTTACAGGGTTGGCACAGAATGTTTCTGCTAGCATGGTTAGCACAAAATGGTGCTTGCATTAGCGCCAAATTCTGCGGTTAGCAGAGCCATGAAATTGGGCTCTGATTTGTGCTGTATCTGTGATCCGTCAAAAGCACTTCAACTGCAAACATCCAAGCTGTGAGTTGTTAACTTGAATATTTGTGATTTATTTTCTTTTCCTTGTTTTAGCTCCGGAAAAGCCACACAGAAGATGAGGCTTGCTTCTACAAACGTATGTGTGTAAATATTTATTGGTTATCGGCAGCAGCCATGTTGTGTCCGACTGTAAAACAGCACTCAATCTGAATGACATCACTGTTAGGACGCCAAAAGATATACTGTCTGTGCTCTTCAACCCATTCTCCAAACAAAGTTTTAATTTGTATGTTTTTAGCTGCGGCTTAGCAGCTCTACAAGTACTCGATGTCTCTTCGTTGGTTGGTTGGTTGGTTGGTTAGTAACAAACTTCAGCACATGCTTTTTTTGGCCATCAATCACCTTGTGCCCTAAGCCCTCGTTACAACACGTGCATCAGGTCTTATTGCAGTCGTGGAAAATTTGAGTCACTGGAGTCAAAAACCAGATGTTTGTACTGAAAACACTACTATCGAGGTCACTCATTTTGCGTTGGGGCTGGCACGGTACTGCACACAAACTGGGTGTTCCACATGCTATAAAACACTTCATGCACCAACTGACGTTCAACAAATGGGAATCTTTTTCAATTGACAGTCACGACCACGTGAATAGTAGTGTATTATAAGAACAGGCGTTCACATTATGTACATGACTTATAGGCTACAGCAGGTCTACAGTTTGGCGCCGCAGCTTCCCAGATCAATCGAGCTTGTTATGCAAGTTTCTTTATATACATGTATATATTATGCACGTATGCAACCCTCTGCCAAAAAAAGAAACTTTTAATTTCAGTTGCTGCTGACCCACTAATGGGCGAAATATTACCTGAATTATTGTCGGGTCGCAAAGCATTGGAATGTGTAAAGTAATTATACCATAATTAATTTCCGTATTTCTTAAATTAAGGCCTTATAATTTTTTTGATATCCCAATACAAAAATGAATAAATTTTGTAGATTTGGAAAAATGTGTCACTTGACACATCTTTGGAAATGACCTTCTTTTATATTTTCTTCAAAATGACAGCGCGCCAGATGGAGTAACACAGAGAGTTTAGTGCCGTATACTATCTTTAAAGGGAATATACATCATTTGCTTTTGCTGTAATTTTTAGAAATGGATGGAATCGGGGGGCTGGAAATATATAGCAAATATAGTTACACTGACTTTTTTGAGGTTTTGGGTTCGAAAATGCTATAAAAACAAAGAAAAACAATCATCTTCCTGTAGTCTGGTTTCCTGACTCCATTTAAGAAGAAACAGAGCAGTTTCCATACATTGGGGAATTGTAAGGTCAGGGAACCAGTCTAGCTGGCTTGTACCCGTTCATAGGTGTGTAATCGATTGCAAACAAGTGCGATGGTCAACTGGGGCCAGTATTTGAAAAAAAGCCAGGTTTTTTTCCAACGCTGGTCGGCCGATCAGCGTTGGAAATTGATACAAAAATACCACTTTTCTTGAAAATGACAGTATACCAGGTGCCATGATTTTACAGGATGCTTTACACTGTCATTCACTAACAGTCCAGCAAGGTATTTCAAAATGATTTGGTAGTTTTATTTTTTGATGTTTGCAAATGTATTTTCCCTTTAATCCATTCAAGCTTTTTAACAATAATTTGGTCGGTTACTTTTTGGATAGCTGCAAATGGTCCACTCCACGGTCAATAATACAAAGTTCACTTGATTGTCATAAGTCTCCTCGAGCAATAGATGCCATTATCTTCTTCATCAATTTTTGTAATTTCCACTTTGAGCTTGAAACTGCCAACGTTACATGAATACAAATGTACATGTATAAATACCAGTACAGGTCTGACCTTGACATTTAAAACATTCAGGTCTGATGAGGGAAGGTTTCTTATTTCTGTAAATTGAAAATTCAATCTCGCTGAGAGAAACAGGGGGCAGGTCATTTAGGGTGACATTTATTCAATTGAGCAGATGGAGTTTCTGCTCCAGTGATCTCTTCTTCTTTTTTACCGAACTCTTCAATGTAAAGAAGGTTGCTATTTCTTGTTCACTCGAAATCATCGGCTCCCTACTTGCGGTAAATGGAGTGAAAGTTTCTTCTTTGGCATGGGTGGCTAGTGCGCAAAGTGCTCGCCTCTCACCACCATGGCCTTGGTCCGATTCTGAGTGCACGTGTGAGTAGAGTTCCTTGATTATCTCCTGTGCCACGAGGGTTTTCTCCGCGGGGCTCTCCGGTTTTCCTCCCTCGGCAGAAATCTAACTCTTTCGATCTCTGCATGGCTGTGCTCTGCGGTCACAAAGGGTCGTAATATAAGCCGGTGTGTTGAGAAACATGATTTTAAAATGCAAACCATTTGATGTACGATTTTTTAAATTGAGATGCTGCATAATTTTCATGGTTGACATACGTCGATAAATATGTTCCTGCCAGGAAAATGTCATATAGCCGGTACATGATAACAACCAAGTAGGGCGGAAAAAGTGGATAATGGCTTTCTCTGTTTATAAAGGGGAATAATGTGACTTATTCGAATGTTACCTAAAACCTAGATTGAGGCACGGATCCTAGACACCAGGATAAACGACTGTTCTGAGCTCTAGTACAAAATGCACTGAGCTGACTTGCCTTAATTGGTTAGACGCGTGATAACGGGCATTAATACCCGTTGGCGCTGAATCGCGAATTTTCCAGGTGTTCTATTGTGTTGGGTTTTTGCAAGACATCTAAAACGGAAATATTCATAAAACTGTAAGCAAAACTACTCCTTTTTAAAGATTTAATTGTTCCAAAATTGTTTAAAAATAAATACTTCAGGATATAACAGATGGTATTGTGTAGTTTTTGTCGTCATAGATGAAGTATTTACCCGGGGAATAAACGTCAAATTTCGAGGAGAACACCGTTTACCCAAATTTCGTTTTTAATGAGGCTTTTATTAAAAAGTTTTATAGAGATAAGATGCCGAACCGATGAAACAAAAGCGACATTTCATTGTTCATCTTAAAGCTAAAGATATTGTGCTCGGCATAACCATGGTTATGTAGTTATCACTTATCAGAATTCAATAATAAAGACCAAAAACGTAGATCATGAATATTCAAAAATATAATTCGCTGGCTTGACAGACTTCGAGGCCAGATCGGGCGCAGAGCCTTGCAAATCTGATAGCCGCCACGCGCAGGGGTCTTTGTTGACAAGTATTCATGGTACTTGCCACCTGTATGGGCCGTTATCACGCGTCTAACCAGGAGTTGGGCCGAGTGGTTAATCCTTGTGTGTAGGATCCGTGGTTGCGGAGACCGATTTCATGTCGAGATCGTCGACTGTACTATGAACTTGAGGGTCAGATTGCTGTTTTTCACGGTCTGTTTATCGGGGACAAAATGACAAGGCTGTTGATATGATGAAGAGAAGGGTAAGAAGCTTAAGAGTATACGCGAGTGGGTTGAGGAGGGAATAAGTACCAGCCTGACGACGGGGTCGATCGCGCTGGATAACAGACAGATTTCTACTTGATATGGAATTATCAGTATACATGCATTAACTTGGGCAAGAGCCATTCCTACTTTCTGTAAATTGCTCGACCAATTAAGTGTTGTATTTACATCTGTGTTTTTCGATTTTACATAGGCCGGATTACCGAGGACAAAATCCTGTACCTTTTAGCGGGGCGGGGGGGGGGGGGGGAGTCTGCAAATGTGTTGTCAACCCCGCCCACCCCACCCCTATTGTAAGTGTTCTAGCCACGCTTCTGATAATTTCGGTCTTTCAACCTAAAAAAAAAAAAACGTTCCAACTGTGAGTGTGAGTTCAACCTGTGAAAACGCCATTGAATCGTGGGCGTTGTTTGCATGAGCAGTTCTAAATTCTCCCTTCCGAACAGGTGCATTTTCGACGGGCACTGCACTAAGTGATAATAATTGTGTAATTGGCAAAGGTGGCATTTGGTAATTAGATGTATCAATCCAAAATAATGATTGACTTCTTTCGGCGAGGGGACGTGCAAGAAGACCGGTCTCATTTGGAGGTCCGGAAAACAACATAAAACCCCCACCGATTTCAACCCCGAGCTAACTGACAGAACGAAGCTTGACACACGACAGCCTCAATTCATTTTACTCATTTTCTGACGAAGGAAATTGCTTGGGCGACAAGGCCGCCGAGAACTCGAGCGAAAACTCGGCGGGTATAACCCCAAGCAGCCGTCCTCTACAAGACATGTCAATTTCCAAAGCAAATTCATTTCGAAAACCAATTAAATCATTTTAAAAATGATCGACCGCTGCTGTTTTGATCATGGCATCCAGCCGACAGCCCCCTTAACGAACTTGGCGTTTACATGCATCTTGGTGATACACATGAGTACACATTCTTTTTGAAAATTAAATCAAATGACAACATCTGAATTGAAATGACAACATATTTCTCCTGGTGCATTTTAAATAATGCGCTGAATTTTAAATTAGAATTCTAACAAAACGTGCTTCGTGAAAAGGAAAAAGAATACGCGAGCATATTGTATGCCAATATTGAATGGCAAGTTGGGTGTTATATCAGGCAATTTAAACAAAGGTTTTCCCCTTTTTCAACGATCTACGAATACACAAAACCGTAACAATTTACAGGAAAATTTTGGGGCCGCCTTTTCAAAACAAATTTCCAAATGGGGAAAACAGGGTAGCGCAATTAGGGTTAAACTTCTTTGGGGGCGCCTGGGCGCAGACATTTTTTTTTTCAAGGGGGCACTGAAGGCAATTGATACCTATTTTTTTCAGTTCAAGATTTTAAATGGGGGACAGGGGACATCCCCCAACCGCGTAGTTTAATACACCACTGACCTGTCGTCCGGGCTGAAATAAAGGGTTAACTTTTATTTGGAATTCTTACGATTCAGTTACGATGTCGCTCACACCGGTTACAGCCCGATAGTCCGAAGGTTCGATAGTCCGAAGGTTCGATAGTCCGAAGGGTCATTAGTCCGAAGGTTCATTAGTCCGAAGGTTCAATAGTCCGAAGGTTCGATAATCCGAAGGTTCGATAGTCCGAAGAGCCCATAAGTCCGAAAATAGAATAAGGGTAATTTATCCGAAGGTTCGATAGTCCGAATAATAGGATTCGATAGTCCAAATCGACAATAAGGTTCGATAGTCCGAATTGAGAATAAGGTTCGGTAGTCTGAATTAATAATAAGGTTCGATAGTCCGAATATACGGTAGGGTTCGATAGTCCGAATTGAGAATAAGGTTCGATAGTCCGAATGGGCAATAGGCCTACGGTTCATCAGTATGACACTTCGGACTATCGGACTTTATTCTCAATTCGGACTATCAGACCTTGTCGATTCGGACTATCGGACTTTATTGTCGATTGGGACTGTTATAGTCTTTTCGGATGGACTATCGAACCTTACTGTCAATTCGGAATAATGAACCTTCGGACTATTGAACCTAATTTTCGTTTCGGACTATTGAACCTTCGGACTGATTAACCTTATTCTAAATTTGGACTATCGAACCTTCGGATAAATGAACCTTCGGACTAATGAACCTTCGGATATCGGACCATTGCATCACATGTTCGGATTAACGAACCTTATTTCATTTTTGGACTAACGAACCTCCTCTTATGGAAATGTTGTGCATTCGGACTGTCGAACCTTCGGACTATCGAACCTTCGGACTAAAGAACCTTCGGACTATCGGACCTTCGGACTATCGGGCGGTCCCCGCTCACACCCACCTTCCAGCAGATCATATTGCAATGAAATGCTCCTTGGCTTCGGACACAAGCCAGATTTTATCGAAATGGATTCCTTGAAATGCTTGACATTGGCATTATAACCTGACGCAGTGACACGCCAGAATCAGATATCAGTTTTCCGCGCCTGTTCATTTTCTTCTCGTGATACATGTATTTCGTAATCGACTGAACAAACAACGCCCAAAATAAAAAGTTACATTGCCGCCTACATAAAGCGCCTTGATGCTACAAGGATAAGCAGATTATGAAGCAAAGCCTTCGTTGTCTGAGCTGACAAGCGACAGCAGTGACCATGGCGCTGACCAAACTGAAAAGTCACCCACGGTCAGGTTTGTGAGGGATGAGTACTCGTCAGATGTAGATCGAGATATTACGTGGCAACTTCGTGACTGCGACTCTCGATAATTCTTGGGGGAAAACATGTAATCCTATAAGTCAGCATCAGCAAAAACAGCACACAAACAAACACACATCAAATATTTGACGGTGTTGTGTTGGGGGGGGGGTGACGGAGGCCGTGCCCCCCCCCCCATTTTTTTTTTAAATCGGAGTGAAGACACTTTTTTGTCTTACATTTTCAGCTTTACACATACCAAGTTTTAGTTTTAATATTACAGTGTTGAAATAGCGCATGATAATTATCATAATTTGTCTCTTAAAGGGAATGTACATCATTGGCTTTTGCTGTAATTTTCAGAAATGAACTATTTGGGGGGTTAGTATAATAGATCAAATATTGTTACACTGACATGTTTGAAGTTTTGTGTTCGAAAATGCTGGAAAAACCAAGAAAAACAAAAATATTCAAGTAGTCTGGTTCCCTGACTCCACTAAAGATAAAATGGATCAAACATACCGGAAAATTGTAAGGTAAGGGAACCAGTCTAGCTGGCCTGCACCCGTTCATGAGCGCTAGCATGGAACCAATAGCTAGCAAAACAAAATTTAGACTAAAAAACAATGGTAAATTTGGTGCAGTAATTGAAAAAAAGTTAGGTTTTTCCAACGGTGGTCGGCCGACAAGCGTTGGAAATGTAGACAAATATACCTTTTTCTTGAAAATGGCTTCACACCAGGTGCCATAATTTTACAGGATGCTTAAGCATGTCATTTACCAACATCCTAGTATTAAAGGTATTTCGTTACAACTTGGTAGTTTTATTTTTCGATGTTTGCAGATGTTGTATTTTCCCTTTAATTTGCAACTCTTATCTTAATTTGCCTTCGTCAAATGTTGTGCATTCCTTCGGTTGAAGCCCAAAAAAGAGACAAGTTTCGCCAAAAGGAGCCATTGGGAAGTCCTATTTTTGGTCAAACAGTCTGTTGGATTCTTGGGTACGGGTAAAAGAGCCCCCATGCCAAGTGTAAGGCCGAAATGTTAGTATGGGAAAAATGCCATGTTACCAACTTTTGTGCTCGCATGACGTGTGTGGGCGGCCCTTCAACCGAGTTAACTCCAGTGCATGGCCATAAAATAGGGCTACATGCATGACACACATTTACGAATCTCCTTGATTGTTTACATTTTTAGAATCAGAAATGCAACTGGATTAAATCTAACATCCGCCCATGGCAGTGGTCTAATCCTCGTTAATTCGGCCGGTGCATTGTTGTTTCTGCTCGGCGAGCTACAGACAAACGTAATCCGGTTACTCGGTCCATAAAGACGCATATATTCCATTGTATTCATTTACTTTCCTTCTAACTGTAGTGCTCATTAATATGTAGCCTTGAAAGAATGCGACAATATGCCCCTAGAGAATTAAAAATGGGGCATTGTGCATGAACTAGATTCGACGCTTCAGTGGCGGTTCTGGGGGGGGGGGGGCCTACGGGGGCTTTAGCCCCCCCCCCCCCCCAATTATAGAACCCCCTCCCCCCCGAAAAAAAATCCATAAAAAACTGCACTAGCAAAATGTACGAATTTGACGTACATGGGAACGGCTCCCCCTAAATGAGAAGGGTGCATTTGTACACTTTTTACTTAATATACTGTGCCTGATTGTAGGATTTTATCAGCGCTCCCCACTAAAAATATGGCCCAAAGTGTTTGAATTCTCAATTGAAAATTACCAAATGCAAAAGGAACTTGAGGAAATAATGAAAAAAAAAAAAAAATTTAATAAATTTTAAAAATAAATTTTATTTATAACTAACTAACAATACCATATTTAGCAAGATATGTGACAGAGGGACTCCCCCCCCCTCTTTGTGTTGGTCAATTATTGTGTTACCAGAATCTCAGATTTTTTTTTGGAGATATCGGGGGGGGGGTGCCAGGTAGAAACATTGGGGGTACCACTCACATATCGTGCTGGGTATAAACAATACTGCAACCAAAGCCCAAAAAATACCCGAAAATGTAGACAAGCAAAACATATTCACCCGAACAAAAATTCATCAAAAACACGAGCTTGAGAACCTTGGTGCACTCGCTGCACCCATGCAATCTTCTCGGTCTTTATTACTTTTGGCCTTCATTTATATCGCAAATTTTCTGCTCTTTAACCCCAGTGCAAGGCATGTAATAGTCATATCGATTCTCGATGTTCACGCATCGTTAAAAGCAAGGCGCACGTCTCCTGTAGATTAATGGATCTCACCAGAAGGTACTTGATTATCTGGAGTCATGGACATGACACCGCATCGCCGCTTTTAGTTGATGTTTTCAAGGAAGAAGAAAAAACGATTTGGACGCTGAGTGAGCCACTGCTCATGCGTGCACGTCAGTGATGACGTGTAGTCAGAAGATAAAACCGGTATCGGTGCTTGTATGGAAACTGCGACACCGTTACGAGAAGAGAAAATATTAATGAAGAACCATTCGTCCGAGCAACTGCAGTCTGCATTCTGATGCTGTCAGTGCGTGAAGTCTTTGGTCGTTTGTGCACACTTTTGCAATCACTGACTGTTCAGAATCTACAAGAGGAGTTTTCTTTGCGTCGACATCAGTTACGTACAAGGAACTGATTCTGTTTACCATGGACATCAACGCAAGCGTCTCAAACACGACTAACAGTGGGCTTGATGAACTTAATGACACTATGACGACAAGTGGATTCGAACCCCCAGACACCCCAAACTACGGCTGGGTAGTCTTTCAGTTTGTCTTCTACGTGCTGGTGATTGTGGCTGGGGTTCTAGGAAACGGTCTCATCATCCGCGTGTACTCCATCAAGGCTCGGAGCGTCAAGACCACCACGGCTGTTCTCGTTATGGCTCTGGCGCTGTCGGACATGGCAGTCTGCGTGTTTCGGTTCCGTAATCTGGGCATCCTCCGGGCTCATTTGACTCAGGAACCGATCTCCCTCGCCATCCTGTACCTTGAGATCCCGGACAAGTTTGTCATCGCTACCACTGTTGCTCTGACGGGTCTGATCGCGTTCGACCGGTATGACTGCGTCTGCCGCCCGCACAACCGTCTCCTGGCGTACAAGAGCGCACTGGGGGCAGCAGTGGGATGCTTCGCGTTCTCCGTGCTTGCCAATGCTCCACTGGTTGTTCACATCCTGATACCATTCTTCCAGCCGTTGCTGATCGCTTTGTTGACACCAACCTTCCAAGTGCTCGCCTTTTCGGTCACGTTCGTCCTGATCGTCGTGTGCTACTCCAAAGTCTACCGTCGAATTCGTCAGCATGTAAGAGTGGGCGTTGGAAGCTCAGAGGCACGACCAAGGGTTGTCCTAAACGGCGACAAGAACATGGAACCGCTGAAAATGGCTCCGGCGCTGGCATCGGCTCTGACTTCTACGTATCCCACAGGAGACACGCGTGTTACTGCTCTGAGCACATCTTCTGCTTATGGCCCCAGTACCTCCACCTATCAGACTGATGCTGAACCGGTGCGCACCTGTGTGTCGACTTCGTTGACAGTCCCTGGAGTTGCCACTGATACGAAGGCATCAGCTTCTCCCGGATCCCCCACCAAGGCCCACCATCACCCTTCCGAGGGTCAGTCATCCCACCGGGCTCCGCCTCATCCCACACGCCGTCCAGACGGGCAACGTAGACGGCACTCCCTCCAGCGTAAGACCACCCGCATGCTCTTCATCACCAGCGTGGTCTTCATACTGACCTGGTTACCCCAGGGTGTCTACGTGGGCACCCAGCTCGTCAGTGGGTACACCAGTGGCCCCCCGGTCTCCTCCGATGCCGTCTTCAACCTCAAGCCCCTTCTGTTTTTTAACAACGTTATCAACCCGCTCATCTACGGCCTGGCTAACAGAAGATTCCGTGAAGATTGCTTAGACGTTCTAAAGAAGCTGAAGAAATGTTTTTGTCGAATTTAACCCAACCGTTATGCATTAATGTTTTGAAAGAAAACTGTTGGAAATCCCGAGTCAGATTCGACTTTGATCCGGGTTAGATTTTCCCTGACACTTTTTGGGTCAAAATGGTACTTCTCCGAGTCACCTTATGGGCCATTTGACCCGGAACAAATCATGTCATTTTGACCCACGCAAAAATGTAATTTGGACCCGGAAAATGTGTTTTGTCCTGTTTGCTCCAATTGTCATTTTGACCCAGAAAAGTATCAGGTCAAATCTGATGGGATCCGGGTCAAATTTGACCCGGGACCTTTAAGAGTGAAGGGTTTTACGCCATAATTGACTTGCTTCGTAAGATGAATGTCATGCACAATACGCTGCACATTACCCTGATTATAATACAAAAAAAGAAAGAATGCACGATTACAGAAATTAGATTCCTTATGCACATAACAATACTCCGCCTTATAAATGAAATGGGGATATTGACACTTTTAAGAGAATTCCACAGAATGCATGATGCGCTCGCACAAGACTGATGCACATTTTGTTTAGCAAAAAAAACATTAAAAACACCAAAAAAAATAAAACAAAACGTCAAAAACAGGATTTCGGTATAACACACCGCCTTGTCTCATTTCGGCTTATTATAAGCCTATTGTAATAAAACAAAAAAGTATGTAACAATTTAATTCAAGACAGACTGTTTATGGAAATCCGGTACACCTTAAAAAAAATTGTAAATTAATATCCGTTTTACAAAATCGTGCCCGTTGTATGTTTGTACTTAACTGTTGGTCCCTATATTGTTAATGAACTGTTATCTTTTTCAACACATGAAATTTGATGTAAACATGACAATGTTCAAGAAAAAATAACAAGTGCCAGTAATCATGTCACTTTTTTCATTACAGCATGCATGGGGCTGTTGCTATAATGATATTTTTTTCTTTTATAAATTCCAGAGTTACCCTATAAGCGAACACTAATTTTTGTAAGTTTGATTTTAACATCCGGGTGCTTTATATAACAGTTTACAATTACTAGCACGGAAACAGCTAGTAAGAATTGGTAACAAATACACATGTTTGTATACACCAAGCACTGCTATTAAATTTACAGGACGACTATTCAAAGAATTGAGTCATTTTTTTGAAATAAGTGTCATTTCCTCTTAGTGGTTGTGTTTATGCGTTACTGTGGAAACTGGTCAAGGCTAGTTTAGAATATAATTTTAAAATAAATTGACCATTTAACCAAAAGTTATTAACCTGTCACTGGCATTGTACAAAAACACTGACCTAAACATCACGAAAAAAATACACTCCTACGTAATAATATGCCAGGAACCCAGCGTAGGATCTTCCATCCAACCTGTTGTCCTCTTTTTTTGTTAAAAGCCACTTGACCTGTGAGTATTTGTCCATCATCAATCAGCTGCATACTTGGCACTAATGTACTCCTTGGAAGCCTGTATTTTAAAAGGAGAGACTTTAGTGGGAAAGTATAAGGGATTTATTTGGGGCGGTGTTATTTTTTCTCCTTGTTTGAGGGGAGGGGCAAGGTTGGGGTTGGGGTGGTTTGGGGGTGTAAGTGAAAGGTAGTAGATTTGGAGGCCAAACTTAATAAAGCATTGTAGCCAGTCATTGTTTTTAACTTGGCAGGAGCTTCTACATGTAACTTGGTGGTCAGTCGATCGGTGAGATGGTCTGTCTTTCTGTCTGTTATGGTTTCTTTCTGTCATTCTGTCTGACTGTCCCTAAAATTTACCAAAGCATGGTGTATTATGTGGGGAGTCAGGTTGGCGTAGCGGTACTTTCCCCGCCTTCCACCGCTGTGACCCAGGTTCGAATCCCGCCTGGGCCAATATGTGGATTGGGTTTTCAGTCCCTGCCTGATTCATTGGGTTTTCCCCAGAATATTTTTCTGGGCTTTTCCTCCCACCTCTAAAACTGTAACTTCTCCTCATTGTCTTCTCTCTACAGGTTTCTTCAGGCTTGCGAGCTACAGTGCCTAGGGCGCTTTTGAGGAATCCTTGGTTTCATTACCAGAAATGATTAATGATAATATTAATGACAATATTAATGACGACAATATAAGTTTCGCATTTGTTTCCGCGTCGCATTTTTCAACTCTGGCTGGGATCGTTTTGATCGATTGTGCATTCGCACTTCGCACTTGTTTTCACGCCGTTGCCACTACCTATAAAAGGCACTCATTCATTTGCGCGTTTTATAGGAAAGGTTAATAAACTTTGCTAGCCATAAATCGTGAATGTCGAACGGTAGAAAAAAACCTTGCAAAGAGCGCCCTCACTGAAGCAATAGTTTGTTTTCTCAAATAACTCGGCGTCAACGTATAATACCATAGAGTAATATAACTCTATGGTATATAAAGACGTGTCCCCGGTGAGGGCGCTTTGTGCATCATGCCATTCATTCGCTTCGCTCGTACCGTGATCAGCCCCACTGCCCAATGCAGGGCGCAGGGAAGAGCTAATCTCATTCACAACATTTTGTGAGCGGAGGCAAGGCCTTGCAAAGCATTGTGGGTAGCTTGCCGCCTTGATGTATGGGCTATTCATGATCACTATGAACATCTTCATCACTTAAAAATTCATTAAAAGTCCATTTCTCCGTGAAAAGAATCTTTAAGAGATGTTTCACGAACATTTACATGGGGCTTATAAAGAACTAGGTTAGGGTATTTTCACGGTTTTTAATGACCCTGGCCACTGAGGATTATCATTGGTTATACATAACGGTACACTGAGTCTATCCCCATGGATAAACAAAGGACCTTCTTAAAGGGTGTTTTCACGTACTCCTAATTTGGCTTAATATTTTGAAAAATCCGTGAAAATTTAGTTTACTGTAATTTCAAGGGAAAATGGCTTTTTAACGATTTTTTTAAGGGATGAATATGTTTACCGCGCACGTGTTTCGAAAACTTATGCGCACACGGAACTGTTAACTTCCCGCCATTGTTCAAACAAATTCTATTCAATCGGGACTCGAAGAAATTACGTCGTGCATCCCAAAGAATTGAGCCCCTTCCATAGGCCCAGCGCCGAAAGCGCAGTGGGTGTCAGAGAGTAGGTGTTGAAAGTTGTAAGACGACATTAGGGTAAAGTGCTGTTCTTTTCTTTTGCAACATATTTGTAACACGAATTAATCAAACAGTTTTTAATTATTGTGTATAATTCTCGTTTCTCATGCATAATGCTGGTAATGGATATCTCCAGGTCAAAAGCAGTTCATTTTATACCGTTGCCGTATTGTATGTTGTATTATAGCAAGCTATGTAGGTCTATGTACGTACGTGTTGACTAAGGCTCAAAGATAATTAATTTGCATAGAATAGATGCAGAGCTAAGAATAACACTTGTAAACACTTGAAATCGTTGATAAGGAAAGTGACCCACTGACTCGTCAACTTTGTACATATTTGCATCACAGCAGACCAAAAACAAAACACTTCAGTGTGGACTTCAGAACAATTTGGAAAAAAACCAGATTTTGTGTAAGCCTATACTGGGACAAATGTAGTTTTTACATGCAGGCGTATTTGAAAAGCTTAGTGTTAAAAGGTTTTATATAATACATCCATATAATAACAAAAATGAGTTTGGACCTGAAATAACTAGGCTTCGACTAAGGCCATGAGGTAAAATAATCTGTTCCCAAAGGATTTTAATTTAACAGTAAAATCGGGCTAACAATTGTATTTGCCATTTAAAGAATATGAATCCAAGATAGTTTTTGGCATTTTTCTCTGAATTTATGGCTCGTAAGCCCTTTTGTTGGGCTTACAAAATAATGTAGCCAATAGTCAGCCATATTATATTGAAATTGAGGTAAACTCTTCATTTTTGGAGCCTGACGTTTCGAACAGTGTGCTCTGTCCGTCTTCGGGAGGGTGAGTCGGAAGGAAGGACAGGCACACTGTCCGAAACGTCGATGAGTTCTACACTTAGCCAACCGGTTCCTTTCAGAACCACGCTTCTTCCAAGAAGAAATTTCTTCCACGTGGTTTTACCAGCAATCTTTCTACTTTATCTCATCCGCCATGCAAAGCTTCAAGTCATCTACATTATTCTCTGATTAAAAATGTTAAATTTGTGACAAGCCACATTAAAAATAAATATGAAAGTGATGCTTTGAACGCGCTCCAAATATTATAATAGTCTGGCACCATCCCATTCAACAGTTTACAATTATTTATAAAATGGATTCAGAAAACGCAATCGAAAATGTTTGGATTTAAAACAAAGTGTTTTAATTTTGTATCAAGATATAGGAGCCTACTATGATTATTATAATACGACTTGTTAACACTTTTGAAAATGCATGCTTTATTTCATTTGATGTAAACTGCTTGCATGTGACAGAACGCCGAGGTCGCTTGTGAATCACTAACTCGTAAAGTTTGGGATGACGCCTGTGTTTAATAATGTGATAAATCAAGATATTCATTTGTTTTAGCCGAATGCAGTCCCGTCATCGATCGCACCAAGCTAGCAACGAAGTGACGTATCGTGTGTACAAAGTCCATAGACAACCAGTCACTTCGTGGTGCACCTAATAGTGGTCAATATTAGTGTGCGAACGCGGAGTAGCTGCAGTGTTCGGTCAACCCTCTACGTAAGTTTGTCTACAGGAAGGGTTCATTTCTTTTATTTGTGGGCTTGCTTTTTGGTGTCATGGATTACACAAATTGTTGGGATAACATGTGAAGAAGTTTCGCTGTTGCATTTAAGGCTCACAGACTGACTGTCAGTTGTTACACTAAGTAGTGCACTGGGCTTGAGGCTGCATTTATTTGCAGGACTTGCACATTGTGATGCAAAGTATACATCACCGTGATGCATTAATCTGGTGAAATCGGGTATTTCATTTCTGTCACATTACAACACCTATTGTCAAGGGCAGATCAAGGGGGCGCGAGAGGGACAATTCCCCCCCCCCCCCCTCCAAAAAAAAAAATCTTTAAGTGACGTCGCAATAAAGGCAGGTATTGCGTACACCACCATCTTTTCCTCAAAAGAAATTAGTTAAAGTGTCCAGAAAATTGCTTCAAATCGCACCACAGAGCATCTAGAATAACTAGAAATGTGTTTGTGGACAAACACAAGCTGTTTCGGATATTCGAAATACCCTGTGCACGTGATGAACAATCAGTGACGTCACTAAAAATGTCATCCATAACAGCACATTATACGTACTTGTCAAGTTATAACCAAATCGAACATATACATGTAGGTCTGTAAATATAGGCCTATAAAGAACAAAATGCCCCTTTAAGGCACGTCACATGACATTTGATGATGACATCAGTTGAATTTTCATCTATTATCTTTATCTATAACCTTTCGACATTGGTACGATCATGAATTTCTTCTAGGACCATCTGTGGGTGGTAAGTGTGTACCAAGTCTAACGTCGATCGGATTTACAAAAGTGCCAAAGTAGAGTGTTTTAAAACGTGTACAAACCCTATGGGAAAAAATGCATTTTTAATGTAATGTAACCCAACACCTGATGACGTCACGATCACAAATTTCTTCTAGGACCATCTGTAGGTGGTGGTCTAAGTATGTACCAAGTCTGATGTCGATCTGATTTACGAAAGTGCCAAAGTGGAGTGTTAATTTTAAACGTGTACAAGACATATGGGGAAAAATGCATCTTAAATTTGACGTAACCCAACACCTGATGACGTCACGATCACCAATTTTTTCTTGGACCATCTGTGGGTGGTGGTCTAAGTATGTATTAAGTCTGAGGTTGATCGAATTTATGAAGGTGCCAAGGTGGAGTGTTTTAAAACGTGTACAAAACATATGGGGAAAAATACATCTTTAATGTGACGTAACCCGACACCTGATGATGTCACGGTCACGAATTTCTTCTAGGACCATCTGTGGGTGGTGGTCTAAGTATGTACCAAGTCTGAACTCGATCGGATTTAGAAAAAATGCCAAAGTGGACTGGTAGAAGAAACGTGTACAAAACCTATGGAGAAAAAGTCTGAAAAAGAAGAAAAAAAAGCAAAAGAAAAACAAAAATCTTAACGAAAACAAGAGCTGTTTCGGTGTGTAAACCGAAACAGCTAACAATATTTTTGCGCAATTCACTGTAGTGTCTGTACGAAATACCATTTTGCATCGCGTAAGTGCCCAAGCATAGTACATGGCGCATGTACGGTACCGAGCCGTATCTGAGCCTGTGTTTGCGGCCGGAGTTCCAATGCGGCGTCAGGTCGAACAGCTAGCTTGCCGGTGCGGCGAAATACTTACGGTTCCAATATGTTCTTGGGGGGGGGGGGGGGTAATTCGCGATAGGAGATACAGGTTTTGTACCGAACGCGCCTTGAACGAAATCATATTAATTGGATAGAACATGTTAAACTTGAACATAAACATCTACACAACTATCCTTTATAAACTAGGCGTTGTTGTGTTATTCCTGTGTTATGCGTGCGAGATCTAAAAAGTGGATCAAAAAAATGTACTGCGTGGGGCTCGGAGCCCTTTAAAGGGGGCCAGTGTATCCCCTGGCTAGTGAAATGAGCGAGGGGGTAAAAATTCAAATTGATGATTAAAACAAAATTGATGCAGTTTGCAAACTCAAAAGATGCTGCCCTTACAAAAATGCGAGATGATTCCATTCATGTATCCAAATTGTGAGTTCTTGATACATAGAGGTCGAGAAAAAAGGCTCATAAATTACACATGAACATTTTTCAATTAGTATTTCCATTATTGCAAATCTTCTCCAGAGAGGCCATATAAAGCTTAATATACTCGATCGTAACCCCATCTAAAAACATGTTAAAATTGTGCAGCAGCAGGATTCCAGTCAAACCAGTGAGTTTGGCGGTTTTGAGACATCATCTCACATTGAACATTTTTTTTTCATTTTGCCGATGCGCATGGCTACGGCAACGCGCGCGCGCATACCAGAAACCGAAGACTTTGTTTTGGCCTTAAAGGTGAGTGCGCAGAGCTTTAGGAGGATTGACGATATAGGTAAACGGTTACACCTACTTGCCAATAATTTTAGCAGAGTTTTTAACACACCCACGACCACTGATGACAAGGCAAAAGGAACCTCTTTTCCAGTGGAACAAGTTCTTCTAATTTGAAAATGAAACGAGCTGATCTTTTGAGGTTTTATCAATTTCAGTGTACGTTTTATTTACACGTACACTAGACAATAACGGCTTTATTCCCGCTTTTCATTACTTAATCATTGACAAACAGGACTTCCATTTGTGGCCGCCCGGGTGATCCAAAGAACCATGGATAAACAATCTAAAGCAGCCCCCTCAGCCGCAACAGGTGAGTACGTAAACTTTAAGCTAGTTGCTTGGAGTCAATTTATAACCTTACTGGGGAGTGGAGGGGCATTTACCATCCCCCCCCCCCCCCACCCACCCACCCTCACTGTCACACCCCCCCCCCCTCAATTTATTTTTTGAGTCATAGCCTGCTTCTTCATGTACTTCTTTTTCTATAATAATGGTCAGATGAAAAAATATATACACAACATTTGCTTTTGCTTGAATTTTCAGAAATAGATGGATTTGGGGGGTTAGTAGGCCTATTGTTACACTAACTTGTTTGAAGTTCTGTGTTTGTAGAGAATCCAAGAAAAACCATCGTGTTCTTTTAGTTTGGTTCCCTGAACCCACTTAAATTGAAACATTTGGAGCGACCTATAGACATTTTGGAATTGTAAGGTCAGGGATCCAGTCTAGCTGGCTTGTACCTGTTCATTGGTGTGTTTATCGATTGCAAACAAAATTCAGACTAACTAAATATGGTAAATTGGAGGCAGTATTTGAAGGAAAAAAACAGTGTTTTTTTTTCAACGTCGGTCGGCTGACCAGCATTGGAAATTGATACAAAAAAATGCCATTTTGTTGAAAATGTCAGCATAGGCCTACCAGGTGCCATGATTTTACAGGATACTTATAAAACCGTCATTCACTAACAGTCAACTAAGGTATTTCATAACAATTTGGTAGCTTTGTTTTTTTTATGTTTGAAAATGTTGTATATTCCCTTTAAAGGCAATGTTATCCAAGTACAAACGACAAATGGAGATGGAATTAAGTACATGTATCATTTTAAAGGATATTTTACTTTTTGCTTCTGCTTGTAGGTTCCCAACAACCAACTAGAACCATCGCAAACATCGGCACAGTCAGCGAGAGCTACAAAACTACCATTGTTGGTTCTTACAACTACCCGATGCAGGGACCAGGTAAATATAATCTTGTTTGTTATAAAAAGGAATGTAAAAGACTTTTGCTGTAATTTTCAGAAATGAACTATTTGGGGGGTTAGTATAGTAGATCAAATATTGTTACACTGACATGTTTGAAGTTTTGTGTTCGAAAATGCTGGAATAACCAAGAAAAACAAAAATATTCAAGTAGTCTGGTTCCGTGACTCCACTGAAGATGAAATGGATAAAAAATACCGGAAAATTGTAAGGTATGGGAACCAGTCTAGCTGGCCTGTACCCGTTCATGAACATGGAACCAATGGCCAGCAAAATAAAATTTAGACTAAAGAAAATGGTAAATTTGGAGCAGTAATTGAAAAATAGTTAGGTTTTTCCAACGGTGGTCGGCCGACCAGCGTTGGAAATGTATACAAATATACCATTTTCTTGAAAATGGCTTTACACCAGGTGCCATAATTTTACAGGATGCTTAAGCGTGTCATTTACCAACATCATAGTAAGGTATTTCGCAAATGTTGTATTTTCACTTTAAAGGGAATATACAATATTTGCAAACATCAAAAAACAAAACTACCAAATTATTATGAAATACCTTACTGGACTGTTAGTAAATTCTGACAGTCTAAAGCATCCTGTAAAATCATGGCACCTGGTATGCTGTCATTTTCAAGAAAAGTGCTATTTTTGTATCAATTTCCAACGCAAGTCTGCCAACCGACCAAACTGGCTTTTTTCAAATACTGCCCCTAATTTAACATATTTAATGAATTTTGTGTGCAATCGATTACACACCTATGAATGGATAAAAGCCTTATAGACTGGTTCCCTGACCTTACAATTCCCCGACGTCTATAAAATTGCCTCATTTCAATTTAAGTGGGGTCAGGGAACCAGGCTACAAGGACATGATTGATTTTTTTTTTCCAGCATTTACAAACAAAACTTAAAACATGTCAGTGTAACAATATTTGCTATAAAATACTAATCCCCAAATCCATCCATTTCTGAAAATTACAGTAAAAGCAAATGTTGCATATTCCCTTTAAGATAAAAGCAATTTTATATCTAATGAAGTGTTAATGAACTTTTAATTTTTTTTGTTTTGGTGGATGGGGGGGGGTGGTATACTACACAAACGTTTGCACTGTTTGTTTTAGTCTTGTCATTTGTTCCTGTATGTATCCACGACAAATAGCGCCCCCTATGTGTGACTCATCTGAAAAGTTGCACATTAATTTTGCATGTATGCACAAATTATTGAAATAATGAGCTAATAGGGGAGGGGACATGAATAATCACGGTTCGTTATGTGAGCTGTTGGCCGATGTAATTTTTTTAAATATTTTTTAGATTTTTTGTAATTTTTTTTACAAATGTGTACATTGCGATTGACTTCAACTTTATCTTTAGTCAAAATTGAAGGAACTAGATATGTCATTATTTTGGAGTGTATTGAGCACTGTTGCTATTATCTTAGTAGATCTCTGGATAACGATGTCCATGCAATGAACTTTTTATACCACTTATTTTGTCTGAATCTATTTTTGTTGGTGTAATAAAAAAGTGAATGTTCATGACATTGTATAAGGCAACAGTTGGCAAGTTTGTGTCCAACAGCAGTACAAGAGCCAAAACATGCATTTATTTACTTTTTGGCAAATTTATTTTGGGCGATGCCTTACTAATGCACTGCAAATCCCAAGTCCTAATATCTTTTATATATTTTCTACGTCTTGGAAGACAGTTCAGTCCATTCCAGAAACCACGTTTGATTGAAGCATTTCCTTTTTTTTTATCTGAATAGGAGTGCCTGCACCCGGACCTCAACAGACACCAGGCCAAGAACCAAAAGGTGAGGATCCCTACCAAGAAGCTGGTAACAAGACTAGGGACATTTTGAAGGGAGTTTATAAAACAACGGGCAGCTACGTGCAGTTGTTGCCTGGGGTTGATAATGACCAAATGCACATAGCTTGTATGTACACTAAAGTACAGTTAGAAACACGGGAAGGGGTAGCAGATGTCACTGGCCAGAAAGGAGAAATTGGAAAAACTCAACGGAGAATGCCAAAATGGGGAACTCATCAAACGCCTAATTTTTTTTTGGCATGGGAGGTGTCGGGAAGTCAACCAATTTTGATAAGATTGCATATGACTGGGCCAATGAGGCAAGCAAAAACCTGAAGAGGTTCAAGCTTGTCTTTCTTTTAAGTTAAAAATGTGTGCCCTGGCGAAAACTGAAATAGAAAAAGATGAACTTGATAAATTCATCCTAGCCAACCCAACTGAGGTCTTGATTCTCTTGGATTGTTTTGATGAAATGAAGACCAAAAATCTTCGGACTTATCCTAAAAGCACTCAATAGAACAGTATACCAGGAATGTTTCATCTGGGTCTCAACCCGCCCCTCTCATCTTGAGACACTGATGTCAATATCACTCGTCAAACATCTTTGCACTCTTGTAGAGGTTCTGGGGTTTACTGACGACGATGTTAAAGAATACATTCGGAAATTCTATGACAAAGATCCTGATAGTGGCAATGCACTAATCCAAACCATTGGAAAGTTCAACACACTGCGTGATTTTGCTACGAATCAAATGTTTTTGCATCTAATAATTGTCAGCAAAACTTTTGAGGTCAGCTATTTGGCAGCAATTATTTTTTTGGCCTGTATGGGGAGTGGTTTATCCATAGTATCACTTAACATGTCTATTGTTTTGATTTTTTTCAGAACCACCTTTAGATGACAAAACTCTGCACGAGGTCGCTACGAAGCTTGGTCCTAATTGGGTAAAACTGGCAGTTGAGCTGGGCTCTAAGATGGTACAGATTCGGACTATTGAGAGACGTCACCAAAACAATATCACAAAGCAAGGTCTGGAAATGCTTGTAACATGGAAACAGGCACAGTCCACCAGTGACGAGAGGATCACGTTGTGCAACGCACTGATGAATATCGGAAGACCAGATATTGCCGTATTTCTGCACGGTAAAAACATGTACATGTCTTTACTCATTGCATACGTAATGTGAAGAAGCAATAAAGAAAGAGGTTACTGGCATAAATTGCAAATACATGTCTCTGCACATTGTAATGTAATATACATTTGTATGTCAAAATGACAATTGTCTATGTCAACATGACAATAATGTCAGTTCGAATCTGTTCACCTTAAGTTGGTATAAACGTGCTTTTACAAAATTTCGATTTTCTTTTCCGAAATTTAGAGGAATATAATGTCCTGTAACAAATAAATTTGCTTGTTTTTGCAGACTTTTATATAAAGTATTAAAAAGTGGTGTTAAATGGGGCGCTCCAGTTCAGGTCTTGAGCGAAATCCAATAAATATTCGTATCGAATGACGTTTCAGCTAATATGGGTTGTAGGTTAATTTTGGAATCACGCGTTTTGTATTCGCCTTTACTGCCGATCTAGCTATGCAATGATCGCCGGGCCGGTATGAGACACTGATACGCCATCATAGTAGGCCTACACATGTACATGTACGTGCAGTAATGATGTGCAAACCCGACCCGAAACCGAAACCGACCTGACCCGAAACCGACTTCGGTTCGGGTCGGGTTGGTTTTAGGGAGTTAAGATCGGTTTCGGTTCGGATTCGGTTTATATCTCTTATGATTCGGGTCGGTTTGGCCTGCTGGACCCGACTTGATGCACATCATTCACGTGCAGCCAGGCCAGTCTGGATGCACCACACTCCTACGTTCTTTCAAAATCTCTGCTACTATTGCGTCTTTTCCTCTCACTGGATCGCAAAGTTGTATTACGGTACAACACTGTGCGTATGCACAGTATGTACAGTTATAGTCTGTATAGTATACAGCTCCAGCTGTTACAATTATAATTAGTAACTGATTTGTCCCAAGAGCGCATGCGCACATTAGGTCCTACTGGCTTCAGAACGACTAAGGAGCATCTCGCTCTTAATTCAAAAACTCCTTAAAGCTATAGTCCATCATTTGCAGCCATCCGAAAAGTAACTGGCGTAATTAAAAAAAACCAAGAAAAACCAAGGTTCCAATATGTTCTTGGGGGGGGGGGGGGGTAATTCGCGATAGGAGATACAGGTTTTGTACCGAACGCGCCTTGAACGAAATCATATTAATTGGATAGAACATGTTAAACTTGAACATAAACATCTACACAACTATCCTTTATAAACTAGGCGTTGTTGTGTTATTCCTGTGTTATGCGTGCGAGATCTAAAAAGTGGATCAAAAAAATGTACTGCGTGGGGCTCGGAGCCCTTTAAAGGGGGCCAGTGTATCCCCTGGCTAGTGAAATGAGCGAGGGGGTAAAAATTCAAATTGATGATTAAAACAAAATTGATGCAGTTTGCAAACTCAAAAGATGCTGCCCTTACAAAAATGCGAGATGATTCCATTCATGTATCCAAATTGTGAGTTCTTGATACATAGAGGTCGAGAAAAAAGGCTCATAAATTACACATGAACATTTTTCAATTAGTATTTCCATTATTGCAAATCTTCTCCAGAGAGGCCATATAAAGCTTAATATACTCGATCGTAACCCCATCTAAAAACATGTTAAAATTGTGCAGCAGCAGGATTCCAGTCAAACCAGTGAGTTTGGCGGTTTTCAGACATCATCTCACATTGAACATTTTTTTTTTTCATTTTGCCGATGCGCATGGCTACGGCAACGCGCGCGCGCATACCAGAAACCGAAGACTTTGTTTTGGCCTTAAAGGTGAGTGCGCAGAGCTTTAGGAGGATTGACGATATAGGTAAACGGTTACACCTACTTGCCAATAATTTTAGCAGAGTTTTTAACACACCCACGACCACTGATGACAAGGCAAAAGGAACCTCTTTTCCAGTGGAACAAGTTCTTCTAATTTGAAAATGAAACGAGCTGATCTTTTGAGGTTTTATCAATTTCAGTGTACGTTTTATTTACACGTACACTAGACAATAACGGCTTTATTCCCGCTTTTCATTACTTAATCATTGACAAACAGGACTTCCATTTGTGGCCGCCCGGGTGATCCAAAGAACCATGGATAAACAATCTAAAGCAGCCCCCTCAGCCGCAACAGGTGAGTACGTAAACTTTAAGCTAGTTGCTTGGAGTCAATTTATAACCTTACTGGGGAGTGGAGGGGCATTTACCATCCCCCCCCCACCCACCCACCCTCACTGTCACAACCCCCCCCCCCTCAATTTATTTTTTGAGTCATAGCCTGCTTCTTCATGTACTTCTTTTTCTATAATAATGGTCAGATGAAAAAATATATACACAACATTTGCTTTTGCTTGAATTTTCAGAAATAGATGGATTTGGGGGGTTAGTAGGCCTATTGTTACACTAACTTGTTTGAAGTTCTGTGTTTGTAGAGAATCCAAGAAAAACCATCGTGTTCTTTTAGTTTGGTTCCCTGAACCCACTTAAATTGAAACATTTGGAGCGACCTATAGACATTTTGGAATTGTAAGGTCAGGGATCCAGTGCAGTCTAGCTGGCTTGTACCTGTTCATTGGTGTGTTTATCAATTGCAAACAAAATTCAGACTAACTAAATATGGTAAATTGGAGGCAGTTTTTGAAGGAAAAAAAACAGTGTTTTTTTTTTTTTCCAACGTCGGTCGGCTGACCAGCATTGGAAATTGATACAAAAAATGCCATTTTGTTGAAAATGTCAGCATAGGCCTACCAGGTGCCATGATTTTACAGGATGCTTATTAAACCGTCATTCACTAACAGTCAACTAAGGTATTTCATAATAATTTGGTAGCTTTGTTTTTTATGTTTGAAAATGTTGTATATTCCCTTTAAAGGCAATGTTATCCAAGTACAAATGACAATCGGAGATGGAATCAAGTACATGTATCATTTTAAAGGATATTTTACTTTTTGCTTCTGCTTATAGGTTCCCTACAACCAACTGGAAACATCAGAAACATCGGCACAATCCGCGGTAGCAACAATCCTGTCATTGTTGGTGCAAGTGGAATTAGTTTCACTTCTTACAACTACCCGATGCAGGGACCAGGTAAATATAATCTTGCTTGTTATAAAAAGGAATGTAAAAGACTTTTGCTGTAGTTTTCAGAAATGAACTATTTGGGGGGTTAGTATAGTAGATCAAATATTGTTACACTGACATGTTTGAAGTTTTGTGTTCGAAAATGCTGGAATAACCAAGAAAAACAAAAATATTCAAGTAGTCTGGTTCCGTGACTCCACTAAAGATGAAATGGATAAAAAATACCGGAAAATTGAAAGGTATTGAAACCAGTCTAGCTGGCCTGCACCCGTTCATGAACATGGAACCAATGGCCAGCAAAATAAAATTTAGACTAAAGAAAATGGTAAATTTGGAGCAGTAATTGAAAAAAGGTAAGGTTTTTTCCAACGGTGGTCGGCCGACCAGCGTTGGAAATGTATACAAATATACCATTTTCTTGAAAATGGCTTTACACCAGGTGCCATAATTTTACAGGATGCTTAAGCGTGTCATTTACCAACATCATAGTAAGGTATTTCGCAACCGTTGTATTTTCCCTTTAAAGGGAATATACAATATTTGCAAACATCAAAAAACAAAACTACCAAATTATTATGAAATACCTTACTGGACTGTTAGTAAATTCTGACAGTCTAAAGCATCCTGTAAAATCATGGCACCTGGTGTGCTGTCATTTTCAAGAAAAGTGGTATTTTTGTATCAATTTTTCAACGCGGGTCGGCCGACCAGCATTGGAAAAAGCTGGCAGTTGTTGCGTGGGGTTGATAATGGCCAAATGCACATAGCTGGTATATACACTAAAGTACAGTTAGAAACACGGGAAGGCCGGGTAGCAGATGTCACTGGCCAGAAAGGAGAAATTGGAAACTCAACAGAGTATCCCAAAATGGGGAACTCATCAAACGCCTCATTTTCTTTGGCATGGGAGGTGTTGCATACTGGACCGAGACCAGTCTAATGTGGCTTTCGCGAAGCCGGGATTCTGGGGTTTGCATTCATGAGCACCCTACTGTGATAATGGCTTCTCAATCAGTTAACGACCATAAATATGTTTGCACATATAGCGGGAGTGCATGGTTTATCCTAGAACATACCACGGAGCCTTTTTTATAGCTCTATGATCATCCAGTCAGGCTATCCCCAATGTATGTGTGTCGTTGTTTAGAGCCACCTACCTCCCATCAGAATTTGAGTGACGAGTGACGAACCAGTTAAGTGCTGGAGAGCTACCTACATCTAAGAAAGCCAAATTAGACTGGGCTCGGTCCAATAAGAAGTAACCAATTTTGATAACATTGCATATGACTGGGCCAATGAGGCAAGAAAATCCTTAAGAGGTTTAAGCTTGTCTTTCTTTTAAGTTAAAGATGTGTGCCCTGGCGCAAGAATCCAACCTTGCTGATTCCACTTTCAATTAAATTCTTGGCGAAAAGTTAGGAATAGAAAAAGACGAACTTGATAAATTCATCCTAGCCAACCAAAATGAGGTCTTGATTCTCTTGGATGGTTTTGATGAAATGAAGACCATAAATCTTCGGATTTATCCTAAAAGCACTCAATAGAACAGTATACCAGGAATTTTTCATCTGGGTCTCAACCCGCCCCTCTCATCTTGAGACACTGATGTCAGAATTACTTGTCCGAAAACCTTGCACACACGTAGATGTTCTGGGGTTTACTGACGAGGATGTTAATGAATACATGTACATTCAGAAATTCTTTGACGAAGATCCTGATAGTGGCAAAGCACTAATCCAAACTATTGGAAAGTCCAACACACTGTATGATTTAGCTACGAATCGAATGTTTTTGCGTCCAATTGTTGGCAGCAAAACTCTTTTCATTTTTGTTCAGGAGCACGTTTAGATAACAAAACTCTGTACGAGGTCGCTGAGAGGCTTTCTGCAAAATGGACTACACTGGCAGTTAAGGAGCTGGGCTTTTCCACGGTACAGGTTGAGACCATCGAGAACAAATTTCAAAATAATTACGTAAGGCAAGGTCTCGATATGCTTGTATCATGGAAACAGCGCCAGTCCTCCAGTGATGAACAAAAGATGACCACGTTGTGCACAGCATTGAAGAAGATCGGAAGAGAAGATATTGCTAAATTTCTGCCCGGTAAATACATGTACATGTCTATTTGCTCATTGCATGGGTAATGTGAAGAGGCATTAAAGAAAGAGGCTACTTGCATAAATTGCAAATAAATGTCTCTGCGCATTGTACGCGTAATGATACATTTGTATGTCAAAAATGACAATTGTCTACGTCAACATGACAATAATGTCATGTCAAATCTGTTCAACTTCTATATTATTATACAGTTTGTTATCAAAGTTGAACTTAAGCTGGTGTAAACATACTTTTTCAAAATTTCGATTTTCTTTTCCGAACGAAATTTAGAGGGATATAATGTCCTGGCAGACCTTTATATAAAGTTTTAAAAGTGGTGTTAAATGGGCACTCCAGTTCAGGTCTTGAGCGAAATCCAATAAATATTCGTATCTAATGACGTTTCAGCTAATATGGGTTGTAGGTTAATTTTGGAATCACGCGTTTTGTATTCACCTGATTGCCGATCTAGCTACGCAACGATCGCCGGGCCGGTATGAGACACCATCATAGTAGGCCTACACATGTAGATGTACGTGCAGCCAGGCCGGTCTGGATGCACCACACTCCTACGTTCTATCAAAATCTCTGCTACTATTGCGTCTTTTCCTCTCACTGGATCGCAAAGTTGCATTACGGTACAACACTGTGCGTATGCACAGTATGTACAGTTATAGTCTGTATAGTATAGAGCTCCAGCTGTTACAATTATAATTAGTAACTGTTTGTCCCAAGAGCGCATGCGCACATTAGGTCCTACTGGCTTCAGAACGAATAAGGGGCGTCTAGCTCTTAATTCAAAAGCTCCTTATTTCAAAAGTTGAAATTAATTAATTGATTACTTGTCGTGGGCCTATATTTTTTCGTGCGTTATCTTATTGGAAAGCTCATAACTAATGTAATGCCAACAAAATTATCAATTCAATTTGAAAATTGTATTTTTCCAGGTGGCACACCCCAAAAAAGCACGTATATGTACCAACTATAAAAGTCCCTGGTCAACAAAGGTCAGCTATAGATTGGATGTATAGTGTGCCCTCGAGCCTCATGCATGTGCAGTTAGAAACAGTTCAGGTAGAAACATGGGAAGGGGTACAATTAAAACTTGGAAGACAATTCAATCTGTTTCATAAACAATGTTTTATTGAAGCAATAAATGTTGGTTGTTTTGATCTGAATAGAAGTGCCTGCTCCCAGACCACAGCATAGTCAGAGACCAGACCAAGAACCAAGGCTGGAGGCTCCTAGCTACCAAGAAGCTGGTAACAAGACTGGGGACAGTTTGAAGCATGAGGTGATTTCCCCTTTTAAAAGCCAGTAGCTGATTTCAAGAAAATTGTGGAGCTTGCGCCATGCATAAGACTTGCGCAACAAATTTGTTGCGCAGCTGCGCAATAAACTAACGATCCATTTCACGAACCTTGGCGTAGCTGCACATCATTTTAAATAATTTAAACATCTTGGACGAGGAAAATAACAGCATTACGACGGCTGTTTGTGTATGAATTAGTTCGTTCACGAAACAGTCGTGGGTTGTACCACTTGGTACTTTGTTATTGTAGCTTTCTATACAAATCTGATTGCAGTACTTGGGAGCGACTTTCAACATGGACACTTTGGCCTGCTCTGACACAATAAGTTCATCTTCCCGTGCTTCACTTGCCCTATTTATTCCCTGGCACACTTTTTCTGTTAACATGCAGTGTTTTGTGTATCGTCTATGGTCTCTCATTACCCAAAAACAACACTTGCCCACGGCCACTACCATGCACTAGTACGTTTATGTTTTCTGCCCAGCCTAAATATTAACCAAATAACTATATAAATATTAACCAAGTCACAATATAATACTCATTACTGCTTTTAATATATAATTAACTCGTAATATTTGTATTAGACTAAACTCTTTATCACGTGATGATACTATTCCAAAAAAGGGGCCATTCAAAATTTTCAATGTGTTTCAAATTTCGATTTTTTTTCAAATTTGTTTTAACCCATCCACCCCCCCCCCCCAATTTCGTTTTTGAAATGCTGAATGGCTATTCAATATATCCTATACTACCGAAGAACAAAGTAATGCTTCAAATTAGCCAGATATTTTAGGTCAATGCTCTCGCAGTTCAGGAGTTTTCAATGGCTGCTTCCAGCACGCAACTTTGATGTTGAAACAGGAGAAAATCACAAAAAATGTTGTAGTGCCGTTGTTAATGCTGAATGCATGTACCCATCATTTTTTGGTTTCACAAGTCATTGAGTTTAACATTTTGCACTGACAAGGTAAAAGCTGAATGATAATAAAGTTCACCAATCCCCCAAGAAATATTTTGTCTGAGATACATTTGAAGACCCTCCCCCCCAAATAACAGTTCCCATGAGTTTCTTGAAAACTATGGGCTCCGTGCGCCAACAAAAGAGGGCGCGTTTTGACCTCTCTTGAGAGCTCCGTGGACGGGACACGCGCCGTGCGCGTAAGGGAGTATATATATGGGGGACCCCCCCGTGCACCCCCTTCCTCCCAGGAAGAACCCACACCAACTTTTTTGTTGTTGCTTTTTAGGGTCCTAAAACACATTTTGGATGTTAACAGTAAACAAAAAACCAATGCTCTGGAGACATCCAAGATGGCGGCCAAAATGACAGCCAAAAATGGTAAAACTGAAAAAGACATATATCAGCCAAATAATGTGATAAAAGCATAAGTAAAATGGTTAGGCCCAAAAAAAGGTCTTCGGTTTCTGGTATGGAGCTTGCCCCAAAAGTGGTGCGGCGACGCGGCTTTTTTTTTTTTTTACTTTTTTTTTCTTCAAATGTCGGCTGATGACTGCAAATGGTGCCCAACTAAATTTAGTGCAAAATGTATGGGAGCCAAGAGAGGCCACATAAAGCTTATACTCGATCATAACTTCATCTAAAAACACGTTAAAATTGTGCAGCAGCAGGATTCCAGTCAAACCAGTGAATCTGGCGGTTTTGAGACATCATCTTACATTGAAAAGAACACTTTTCAATTTTGCCGACGCGCATGGCTACACGGCGACCCTCACGAACTCTTTTCTTGTACCCTTTTTTTGCTATCAAGCTTCAAATTCAAGACGTCGGCCAATATGGCGGACAAAATGGCCACCATATTGGTAAAAAAATGGAACAAGTCATATATCAGCTTAATAATATGAAAAAATCATAAATAAAATTGTTAGTTACAAGTATATGATTTTGACCCTCACAAACTAATTTCTGGTATCTTTTTTTGCTATCAAGCTTCAAATTCAAGATGGCGGCCAATATGGCGGCCGAAATGGCCGCCATATTGATAACAAATGGAAAAAGTAATATATCAGCCTAATAATATGATAAAATCATAAATAAAATTGTTAGTGATATGTTTTTGACCCTTACACATTCATTTCTGGTGTCCTTTTTGCTATCATGCTTCAAATTCAAGATGGCTACCAGGATAGCCGCCAATATGGCCGCCAAAAGTGGTCAAATGTGAGACAAATGATATGTATCAGCCAAATAGTATGATAAATGCATACATTTAATTATTACTGAGATATATGCTTTTAACCCTTACAAATTCATTGCAAGCATTCTTTTGTTTTGCTACCATGAACCAAATTCAAGATGGCTGCCAATATGGCTGCCAAAAATGGTCAAATTTAAGAAGTTGAGATATGTTTGAGGCTTTATTGAATTTCTGGATAGTGGATTTGTCTAACTTGTAAACATTTTTTGTTCCAAATTCAAAATTGTGGTCCAAACAAGTGACCGTACTAAGTCAAAATAAATAAGAAATACATCAAAATATATATATATATATTAAATAACTATGAACACTCACTAAGTGCTGTGGAAAATAGTATCTGTTGGTATCTCACATAAAAGCTAAAGTAAAATATATATAGGCATTTTATATAGTGATTGTCCACTGCTTTAACACACACACACACACACACACTTGGTACATGTATTGTGAAAGACAAACAAAAACAATTTGGAGGTATCTCAACTAAAAGCAAAAGTATAGACATTTTATAATATAGCGATTGTCTTCCGATTTGATGGCAAGACGGGTCCTGACCACACTGACTCAATGAAGTCTCCACACATCGGGTCCAGCCATGCTCTACAGAGGTGGCATTTCCTGGATGGGTACATCTGACCTCTTCCACTGCGCTGCCTCGTAATTGGCACGCTTGATGTGAGGTACCAGAGACTGCTTGCATGGTGGAAGCCTGGACAGATCAACTTTAGATGAACTCCTGATGGCCCCGCCCTCATCAACAATCCTCTTAAGTATGAGGGCCCTTACTGTCTTAACTTCCTTGAACCTGGGGAATCCATAGAGGAAGTATGATAAATCCTCTAGCTCACCTACCAGCTCCGCATCTACTTCCCAGCTTTTGCCCAATTTGGCAAAACACTCTTGATACCGTGGCTTAATTATCAAGCTTCTTCAGAGGGCTCTTCTTTTCCTTTCCCTTGAAGGCACAGTTGCAGTCCTCGCCAGTAAAGCAGCATATGCCAAGTAGCTGGTAGGTGAGCTAGATGAAATGTTATGCTCCCTCTATCTATTGATTCCCCAGGGTCAAGGAGGTTAACACAGTAAGGGCCCCCATGTTTAGAAGATGGTTGGTGATCGGGGCAGGGCCATCAGGAGTTCATCTAAAGTTGATCTGTCCATGCTTCCACCATGCAAACAGTCTCTGGTACCTTACATCAAGCGTGTCAATTACAAGGCAGCACAGTGGAAGAGGTCAGATGTACCCATCCAGGAAATTCTACCTCCTACAGATATGGCTGCATGAACCCAATGTGTGGAGACTTCATTGAGCCAGTCTGGTCAGAAGAGGCCGTCTTGCCATCCTGTCTTGAAGACATCTCGGCTGAAGTCACAGAAGAGGAAACGTCAGATAACAAAGATATTGATATCAATGGAGATGATGTATAAATGAATCAGACTTTTCCGGTCTTGACGACTATGACAGCAATTAATACTTTGTCATTATCAAAGCGGCTGACAACCACTATATAAAATGTCTATATCTTTATGTACATGTAGATACATGTACCTAGCCTAGGGCCTAAAAGTAATTTTTTTCTCACACCACTAAACTGTGTGTTCATAGTTTAATATATTGTTGATATGTTATTTTGTTAATTTCTTTTAATTTACTGCAGTCATTCAGACAGTGACCATCTTGAATTTGAAACATGTTAGCAAGTTATAAAACAAATCAAGACATGTAGGCCTAAAATGAGTAACAAATATCTCAACTTTTTATGTCTGCGATACTTACACAATGTGGTAAGCAGACTGAAGAGGATTTCGCCTGTTCAACGCAAAGATTGCAGGCGTTTTTCATACATTCAGAAAAGAATTTGGGCCGTGTGCCATTATAGGGTGTCCCCTAAAAGACGCGCAGATTCTCTTCATAACACCCGCTGTGGGTTATTGTTTTGACAAATGACCAAAATATTGCATTTGAGCAGCAGCTCGACTGACTTCTCGTTTAAAAGGAGACTGACAGCCTAATTGTTTTCACTTTCGGTCTGGTAAGTGTGGTGAGCACTTTCCAGTTCTTTGTGAAATAACTGATACCCCAATTGTTTCACGGCTTTTATAGACCATAAAAGAACCCGCTCTATGTAATTCTCAATGAAAGTACAAAATAAAATGACAATCACATTTTTGTGCAAGTAAAATCATATCCGAGGCCTCTAAAATTCTGATCTTTTTTGACACATTTTATATCATGAATTGTTTTTTCAGACCAGCCAGGACACAGAGGTGCCAAGGTCACCAGAGCCCAGCCATCTTCAAAAGGTGTTAGATGAAGTCAACAAGCTGAAGAAGAATCTTTCTCCAAGGGAGCAGTTGGATAGCAGAGTACAGTTACCCTACATCGCCATTGGGTACTTCAACGAGAAGGGCGGAAGCTTGTCCCTGGATGAGTATGGCGTGCACCTCACCATCCCGCGCGGTGCAATAGCTTTAGGCCCTCCACAGCAAGTCTACATCTATGTTGACCCTACGGCACCACAGAAGGGTGCAGTTGAGTCGACAGTGGTCTCGCTTTCACCAACTGTCAAGTGCGGCCCCGAAGGGTTGAGATTTAAAGAGAGTGTTGTGCTGTCCTTTCCTCACCACGCTGTTTTGGTAGGTCAAACATATGACAACCTAGGTGTAAGAATGCGTCATGATGACTTGCAGGATAGGCAGCGGGAGGATGGCAATCCTGCTTTAGTCACGGAGAAAGAGGTGTTTGTCCTGGCCGATCATTTCACCAATTTTGATCTGGTTGGAACACCTACTCATGGGAGCAGTATAAGGATGAAGGTCGCTGCCTTTGGAGGCGTCCTTGGCGTGCGATGTCGTCAGTATGCATTTCGGGTCCATGTTTGGAACGACGATACAAATGTTGAACAGGTATGTAAAGAATTTAAAAAGTATTGAGAACGTTTCTCAAGTATTGAGAACGTTGTATTTATACTTACATACTGTAGCCACCCATGCTTTCTTTGACGTTGCGTCCAAATTGCAATTATCATAAACGTTTTTCCTGAGAATTCCGTGACAAACCTTCCATCTGTGGACATGGTATGCACAAACAACACGGAAGGTGAAATATTGTCAATTTACAGCAAGTTCGATCAGCAATCACTGGATTTAAAAATACAGTGATCAACTTGTGACATACGACCATGTACCACTCTTAGTCCATCTATGCTCATACACTGATCCCAGCTCCCTGCTATGAACTGCTATATGTACATTTTCAATTTTGTAACCGGCTGGTTCCTATGGGGTGTCACAGAAAAAAATTACACCCTAACTTTAAGTCTTTGCACCTTCAAAATATGTACCAAAATTGAGCAAAAAAACAAACTAGAACTTAAAGTGCAATTATGTTGCTACATTGTGGTGAAAACCGCATTTCATTTGGTTCCATAGTTACAAACAGTTGAGCGATTATGTCACACTAGTCAAAGGACACTTATAAGAACAAGAAAAAAAACAAGAAAAAAGGGGAAAAATCCATAAGGAAAAAGAATGACTGTAGATCTTTTTTTTTTAAATATCAATTTTCATGCCTGTACTGTTTGAATCACTCATTATGAGCAAACTCGAAAGGAAGTGTTTTTTTGACTAGTGTTAAATAATTGTTCATTTCTTCATAACTACTGGACCAAATTACTTGAGGTTTTCACCACAATGTAGCAAAATAATAGCACTTTATGTTCCCGTTTGATTTTATTCAATTTTGATACTTATTTTTGAAGTTGCGATCACTTAAATTTAGGGTGTAATTATTTTCTGGGACACTTTGTAGACTTAGTCTAGCACTCTTCATCGGATATGTAGGAAGTTTAGTCTAACTTTTGTTCCCCCAATCTTTTGATGAAATCTGCAACTTGGCATATTTATAACTGTATTCTTTTCAAAGTATGTCATCCGAGAAGAAGAGCAGCGCATGAACTCAAAGATGTTGGACGTTTCCAGGAAGATACTGTTTGTCTGGGATAGTGGGAACTTGGCTGTCAGAGTATCAGATCTTAACGGTGGTTGGACATTTTGGGGAGCGAGGGAAGAGGTTGGTAGATACACCAATTTCCATTCATTAGATGGAATTACGTCAGTGAATGGCAAATCCCATTTAATAGAGGTTACAATGATATGCGTTCTCCATTTGGTTTCAGGATTTATTTTGGAAAACTCATTGTGGTTTGAGTTACTTTCTAGTCTTATTTAAAAATTCCAATCCCTTAGTGGCAAAAAGGGATCGCAATGTATCTTTTAAGGTCGTCTCGGGATAGTTAAAGAATGTTGTTAAAGTCACTTATGTGTTTAGAATGTCTCTTGTCTTATCCATGCATATATTTCCAAGCAACGTAAAACTGAAATGAAATTCTGTCTCTGATTCCTAAGATATGCCTAGTCCAATCATGTTCGAATTGTCTAATCAAATATTTTTTCAACAGGCCATCGATAAAAAAAAGGTACAACTCTTCCCTGAGAACTCTGTAACATTCAACTTGAAACAGGAACATTCACAAGACAGAGGGCTTTACTGTATTGCTCGCACATTCCAGCGTTCTCCAACTGAAGATTCGGGGAATCAATCCATCGCTGATATTAAAATCAATCCGAATGCTGTAAGTTGGTGTCAAATTTCAGTTGCTGGTAAAGGACAATACCAAGTCAGAAATAGGAGCGATTCACAATACCGCTAATCAGTCTCTAGAGGGTTCAAATCCAGAGAAAAACTCGCTGCCTTGTGGAGAACAAAAATCGACATCGTGCAACCCACAGCGTATGTGAGCATCGGTGTACGTTTATTATTCGGCGATGGTTTTAACATTTGGAGGCATCAGTAGAATGCTTCTTACATACCTCAAAACTGAAGGTTTCCTTGAAATAACCATTGATGGAGGAAGGCGTCGCGTAGTTACCTATGTCGATCCGCGAGCCGGAAAAAGACCTTTGGGGAGAGGGCGCACCGTATTGTGAATCGCTCCATTTGCAATGTATTTGCTTCCTTTATTTTGTTAGATGGACTGGCCCCCGTACTCTATGACTGTAACTTGTGAAATAGACTGGTTATCCAGGCGTGGATCCAGAGAGTGGGGGGGGGGGGGGTCAAATCCAACTCCCAGCTCTGACTCAAATTGTTTTGTTCCATAGAAATACATTGAAAATAATGTGAACCCCCTCTCCCCGACCCCTGCTCTGACACCCTAAAAAAAAATTCTGACAATTCTACCGGTAATAATACTTGGCCGTGCACACAATTTGTTCAAAGCCAGCTGGGTTTCGGGGGTATTTGTATTAATTCTGTAATTTGGTGTTGATGATCGTCGGATTTAAACAGCGCCCCCATTTAAAGTATGGTACGACCCCCCCCCCCCCCCCCCCCCCCCCCCCCCCCCCCCCCCCCACACACACACACACACCCCTATTGTTTTTACGGAGACCAAGTGTCCGGAGAAAAGAACCTGTGTCTGGAGAAACAAAACCTGTCTACATTTTATCATTGATTTGCTGATGACCCCCCCCCCTCCCCCCGCAAAAATTCCTGGATCCGCCCCTGTTATTTATATAATGGTTTCTGTTGCTTGTGGCTTAAAATAAATAAGTCTTTCATTGACATTACATGTAAATGCAGTAATAAGTCATAATAAGTCAATTAGGCTCCATGCAAATGGCGAAGGTGGATTTTGTTCGTAAATATCAAGTTCCCACCAAAGCTATTTTAATCCACTAAATAGACTTAAATGCGCTCAGTACCCAGCCTTAGACCTGTATATAATCCCTGATATTCTCAATCGCAAAGGATTTATACAAGTATATTTTGCAAAAAGCTTGTCAGTTAAAAAGTTTCTAATGCCTCATCCTGAAGTCAAGTAGTCTTACATGAGACATGCACATGGTGGTTACCACGAGCCAGCGCTAAACAAATCTAGCTTGCAGGTTTGGGGACTCTAGGAGATTTAACTACATTGCAACGATTAAAGAATTCTTACACAACGGATCTCAAAATAATTTCTTTTGTGCGACATTTAAAACGTTGAAAGCTTGTTTCCTAGTAAGCACAAGAGCGAAAAACATAAAACCAATATTTTAAGGGATTACCGTATGTTTTTTTAACTGCAGGAAACCTCTACCAGCGGTCGTCAGCAAAGGGCGAGTTTCCTCAATTGTAGCAATGTTAAAAATCGCTAATGTTCTGCAGACATCTGTGATGAGATTGTGTCTAGGGTCTTGAGGCATTTTTCGTGATTTGTTTTTTTTTTACTCTTCGATTTTTCCTAGACGTGAAAATGAAACCACTATGAATTTTGCATGTGCTTCATTGTTGGTTTTGAAGGGTTTTTGTCATTGTTTGAGGAGTAACAAGTGTTATTGTTGTCGTTTTCGCAGCCTGATGCTATCCTGCCTGCTGAAGGAAGAAGTCGCTGTACATGCTACACAGTAAGTTTCTGGCGATGTACACTATTTTATTTAACCTTTCTATTCTATGAGAGAACAAAATTATAAATTTTACCAGCTGAGGTCTTATAGGCTCACGGCAACAATGCGACTTTACTATGTAAGACTGGTTTCAGAGTTATGACAAACATTTAGTAAAAACAATAGAAATAATGCTGTTCAGTGCAATTTAAGCATCCATAATTGTCTTTCGTGAATATGCAGTACGTCAAGTTCATTGCCCACCCGTCAGTTTATTTCAGTTGTCCAACATTTCTGATTATGTACAAGAATGTGTGTGTCTTAGCTCACAATTTTGTTGTTGAGTTTATAACAGGTCCAGAACAAGTCCATCCCAAGTTCAGTCACAAGTATAGCACGAGTCCATTAACAATTGAAAGTCTAGTCACGAGGAACAGGGGACGAATAATAAAAAAGGAATGTCTTTGTCACGTGCAGTTCATATGTATAGTTGTGACTTGGTTGGGAATTTATGGACCTGTAATGTAGGAAATTTGTTATGCAAAATATTTCTCCATTCTCAAGTGGCAGAATGCATTGCAATATGTATTTACAATTCGCAAGGAGCTAACTTTTTACTAAGGAAGCTCATTTTGTTTACTGTGTCTTTTTCTCAGAGTGACGGGGTAGCTGTTGTGTGTGACCAATGCATGGTAAGATGATACGATCCGATTCCCACATAAAAGTAGGTTTCACTAGAAAGTTGGCATTTCATGGAAATGCAACTCCTTACAATATCTTTTAGTCTCTCAGCCTTCTGATACGTATCATGCAAGAAGTAGACTAGAAGCAAAAACAAACATACAAACCGTGCAAATCCCATTTAGAATGTAGACCTTACGCGTAACTGTCATCTTAGAGTAGACGCCTTTGTTTTGCCTGGATATTCATGAGCGATCATTTTGAGCAGTCACGCCTACTAATAGATACCATTCTAAGATGACTGGCCGCTACGCGTAAGGTATATATTTTAGACCCTGGCCGCTTAATGTGCATTAAGATGCCTTAGAAACTGCTCAAAAATTGGGCTACCTTATCTGTGAGAAGGAATTTTCCTCGAATGGTTGTAATTTGTTCAGATGTTAATACGGGCGATTCCCAATAGTGCGCCTCCAAGAGTTTGCAGCGCGTTGGCCAATCACAATGCGCGAAATCAGTCGACCTTTTCCAAACGGGCGTTGGGTCGACTGATTTTGCGCATTGTGATTGGCCAACGCGTTGCAAACTCTTGGAGGCGCACTATTGGGAATCGCCCGTATTAGAAACGGCACCAGGAGCCAAGGCAAGGTACCTCTCTTTCCTGGTCAAAAGAAATCCCAGGTCTTTTATTTGAGATGAAAATGTTCTGTACTGATTCCATTCAAACAATATTTACCATACAGAAATCATGCATCTCAATAAATGTCCATGTTGTTAAATGTCCATTAAATAAATGGCAATATGACTTCCCACCTCGTCTTTTTTTAGCTGTTTCAGTGTACACGCCGAAATAGCTTTTGTTTTTGTTATTTTTTGTTATTATTTTTTTTAGCTTTTTCGTATTTTATTTTTTGTTATTTTTAGCTGTTTCGGTGTACAGTGCGAAATAGCTATTGTTTTGTTATTTTTTTCTAGTTTCTTTTTTATTTTGTTTCCACTGCGTTTTCCATAGGATAACACATGTTTTCATTCTCAACTCCACTCTGGGGCTTTTAGTCACACCCGATCAAGTTCAAACCTTGCACATACTTACACATACTCATGTGTCATGTGACGTCATTAATGTGTTCTAGATGAAAATTGAGGTGATGTCATGACGACGTCATCAATTGAATTTTTCATTGATATTTCATTTTGTTTTTCATCTCATCTCCATATCTCGGGAACAGAACTCTTTTTGTATTAGGTTTGGTACGTCATAGATATATGCATAATATTTCGAATAACATGTGACACAGACGTCGCTAGACCATTTTGAATGCGGGTGCCATCATGAAATATGCCGGCGGATCGTCACGCAAAATTAGTGTTAATTTCAGCACAAATTCAGCCCTTACGTGATACAGACCGCGATTCAGCCAGGAATTTGGTGGTTGGTACCCGAACCACACAGTTTTGTTTTAACTCTGATTTCTAATTTCTTCCACAAATATGTCTTGAATTGTTAATTATGTTGGTTAGCTTGAATGGATTAATTTCAACTTTCAGTGGGGTATAAGTCCAACTTCAAAAGTAAATTGTCTGTTGGCCCCAAATTTGACATTTGCTTGTCGCAAAACTGCATGCTTGACCGCGTCTAGCCCGACTGCATCTGGCCGTACAGTATTATCGCAAGCTCTGTAGTACGGCCAGACGCCCAATACTCCCCTAAACGCTGAACTCTGATGTAGCGATTTTGCTACCGAGTTTGATCGAGATTATCTTCTCATCCAGGACAGAAATTTCCAAAGTTAAGGTTCCTCGTCGTAAAGGAACTCATACCTTTTCGAAGAAAACGTTTTTTTATTAAAAATCTTCATCCATCTGACCAAAAAACCGGCTTTCAATCATCATCTCCCACGAATATCGTTCCGAAAATGTTCCTCCATGCGATTTCAAAATGGTGGCCGCATTGTAATGTCTGCATTATAGGGGCGCGCTTGAGTAAGGTTATGAATATGCATTATTCAGTTCATGACCTCGTGTTTGTATGGCCAGCCGCCCCGCGCGCCTTGCAAACGTCATGAACTGAATGCATATTCATAATTTGTGATGTATCACATCACAAACATCTCATCAAAACTGTAGCTTGACTCTCTTTCGAAATTGGTACTCTTTAGCTTGAACCATGATTTTGAGTCGTCACTAAGAATTAGCTTAATTCGTAACTGCCTGCGATCGAGCACGTGCTTGTGTTTTGCACAGCTGTGTAGCTGTCAACCCCCGTATAATAATAATAAGCAACCTCGCGCAGCAGCTCATGCCAATGTACGATCTTTTGCCATGGGTTGCAGAATCGGATTTTAGCTTCGCTGGGTTTTGAGCAGCGGTGTTTATTATTTAGTCTCTCCATTTTTCCTTCTTCCCTCTTCCTTTCCCCTTCCTTCTTAATTTTTTATTTTCTATTTTGCCGACAACACCAGTTTGCCGACAAAACTCACTAACCCACCCCCCCCCCCACGTAGCGACGCCCATGGATGTCATCACGACGTCATCAAGAATTAAATGTGGGTTTTTGAAACACATATTTGTAAGGGAATGTTGAACGTTATGAAACTTGGTGGGCAGGGTATTGATAAAAGTATTCATGAAGTGAGGTCATGATGACATCATCAACTAATTTGCTTGTAAGTTTCAACATTTTAATATTTTTTTCAAATTGCAAAACTTGACATGAAATGCAATTAGATTGATTCGAACAAGGCACAGACCAAGACCAAAAGCCAATGTTTTTTTTTTTCTAAACATACGGCGTGATGACATCATCATTAGTCATGTGACGTTTTCTTAAAGGTTCATAATTTACATTTCTATATCTAGAGTTCTAGATAGCCAATTGCGTTGAAATTTGTAAATTCCCAGTTACGTGTGTGTTATAAATGGAAATAAAACTGATGTCATAATGACGTCATCATGTGAGTTTTTATTGATTTCTAAACTTTGTTAATAATAATTATTTATAAGCTAAATTCACTTCTACACAGCCCAATATTTTCGGAACTATATATGTGCACATGTACATCCGACTTGGATGAAACTCCTACATGGCAGATGTCACTAAACTGTTTTGAAACAACTAAGTGTTTGTCCACAAACACAATTCTAGTCTCTTTTCTTTCTCTTTTCTACTTTTTTTGTTGATTTTTTTGCAAGCGCCCACCCCCTCCCCTCCCCCTTCCGACGCCCATGGCAAAGGGGCGTCTTTAAGAAAAATCTTTTGAAGCTTTTTAAGCCATTTAATATTCATATTAAAGCAAACCTAACAACATGCAGCAAAAAGATGAATTAGCAAAACATCGAACCAACCATTGAATAAGTCACCAAAATGGAATTTTATTTTTGAATTACTCAGGCAGATATTAGAGCAATACATCACGGAGAGGTTATCGCACACGATTACGATGGATTGTTAGAGGAAAGGGTAAACTCCTTATGTTCTTATCTCAGCATCAATGATAGACATCTTACACTCCTGGAAAAGATTCCCAATTTGGAGGGCAGATCTAAACAGGATCTCATCGGAGAGAACAGAATTCGCGCAAGAAACGTACTGGAAATCTTTTTTAACGATCGCAGACGTAAATCCAGTAATGTAACAGATAACGAAGCGATAGAGTCACTGGTACAGATACTGAATGAGTTGCAATTTACAGGCGCTGTAAATATCATTAGACAAGATTTCGACGAGCCCATGGAGGTACAGTAGTGATAAATAATTAAGCAGTTATGTAGTAGTAGGCGTATATAGTACGTGTAAAAGTAGTATATTAGTTGCGCGTGCTCATTCGCGAGTTAATTACAAGTGTTGCTCGCCACAAAATTTCTCGCGATTGCTCTAAAATATATAATTGGCTTGTTTTCCTAGCATGTTGCCGTTTATGCTTACCCAGTTCTTCCGATTTGTCATTGTTGTAAATTTTAAACTGTGAAATGTAGATAAGTTTCTTTTTCCACAGGGTAAGTCAAAAATGCGGAACCCAAACCTCCAAAAACATATTTCATATTTAAAGATATGTAGCACCAAAAAAATAATGACTGGAAAGCCAATTTCACAAGCTACTTTGAGATGAAAAAATTACTGAAATTTCTCAATCCGTTCAAAGAAAATCACCATTTAAACCCAATGACCCTAAAACATGTTTCGTCAAAAAAAAAGCAATTTATTGTGCATTCTGACGGTTTGGAACAACAAAGAAAATGACACAGAATACTTGTTTCCACAAAATGTCAACAACTGTAGTACACAATATCTTTATTAACAATCGTGCTTAGGCAAATAATATGATTTATAAAATCAACTTCTTTTAAAAGACGGGCCTTCAAAAGGACTTTGTTGAATATTTTCAACTTTTAAACTGAGGTTTTATCGCTGGTGATGTTTGAAGACAATTGTGATGGCGATTCTTGTAATCACATTTTTGGAAGAAAGAGGTTTTAGGGTTATTGCGTTTAAATGGTGATATTCTTCTAACGGATTGAGTAATTTCAGTAAGGTTTTTTTCTAAAAGTAACACCTGAAATTGGCTTTTCAGTCATTTTTTTATGGTGCTAAATATTTTTTTAAAGTATGAATATCATTTGGGGATTGGGGTTTCGGTTTTGTTTGACTCACCCTGTACAGTATCAGTGTAAGTCCCGTGTTATTTGAATTTAGAAAAGTATTGAATATTAAGTCAAGACTTATACTAAATCAAGAAAATAATTTAAAAATCTTTCATAGTTTTGTCACGAAATTAAAGTAATTTTAAATTAATGCAATTATGTAATTTTTTAAGTTTCTGTTTGCACAATAAATATTGTAAAATTCATAGAACAAAACAAAATATACAATAGCGGAGTGCTGTGGCCTCGTGGTTAAGGGCACTGATTCGTGGTCTGTGGGTAAAGCTGCAGGTTGTGGGTTCGAGTCCTGGCGGGGTCATGGTGCGTGTGCCCTTGAGCAAGGCACTTTGTCACTCATTGCTTCTCTCCACCCAGGAGTAAATGGGTACCTGTGAGGGCAGAGATGGTTATGTGATTGATTTAGCTTGCTTGCGCCTAACAGGCAGCATCGAGCTGTATACTCCCCAGGGAGCTGAGATGGTATTTGGAATGTTAAATTGGCCCAATGATCAGGGGTAATAATAATACTGTAAGCGCTGTGATTTAGTGTACTAAAAAGAGCGTTCTTAAATGCCGATTATTATTATTATTAATAGGCCTATTTGTAAATACGGTCCAGTCAACATGATAGGATTGCAGATATATGTCGGACCTGTTTCTCGAAAGAGTTTCAATTTTAATCGAATGGTAGCTTTAAGGATAAACTCATGACACTGATAATGAATTCGACAAAAAAGTTTATCGTTCAGTTCTTCAAAGAGGGAAGAGGTTGGCAGATAAGATACGTGTCTT